ATGTATGAGATACGAACTGTCCTTTTATATGAGCAATCATGTTTCACTGAAAGCATACTAAAAGATATTTTTTTAATTTATAACAAACACGACAAAAAATGAAAACACGACAAATCATGTACTGAATCCTAAAAATTCTATGACTCATCATCATTTTTAATATTTCAAGAGTGATTCCAAGTTTTTTTTCGTAAAAATGTGTACTATCCAAAAGTAAACGACTAGTCAATAAAAATTTGTACATTGTGAGCTAAACTAATTCAAATCTTTTGATTTAATTATTTATTTGGAAGAGAAATCTAAAAAATCTATAGTTCAAATTTGTAATTTATATCTGGGAAAAGTATTCTCTCATAGTCAACTACAATTCCTTTTCATATTTAATTTGGAAAAATAGTACATGTACTATTGATGTAAAAACAATATTTGCAACATATATATGTCGAATTTTAACATCCGAACAGGAATATTCCAGTCATTTCTCAAGTTATATTAACACATCAAATTAAGGTAATAGTATGTCTTGCCTAAAACAATATTGTCATGTTTCACCTCAGCGAAAAAAAGAACAAAGTGAGTGAGTAGAGAAATAGATATTTATTTTAGCTCAAATTGAGAGATTTGCTTTCTTTTGAAATATGTTCGTAATGCCTATTCTATTCAGAAAAATTTAGGGCTAGACATCTCAAGTGCTTCAAGCTCTCGAAACATAATACCACTTCATCATTGTTGTCCCAGTTAATAGCGTATTTGATTTGACTACTGATGTTCGTCACATAAGCTGTTAACTATAATAAATATTTCATCAATTTTAAACTCTAAACAAATATCTATAGATTATTTTGAATGCGTAAGTATATGCGTATATACAGTAACCGTACAATATAAACTTACCACAACCTTTACATGAAACCTTACTATCAAGGCGGAAGTTTTAAGTTCACCTTAAATTTACTACAGCATAGTTAAAACTACTTTTTTAGTCAGTTTAATTCTGTGTGTGTCATTAAATTTAACTATTTTTTATGGAATTAGTAGGTAATTCAGTTTACTAAAAACTGAAACAACTACAAAATCTCATTCTATACCAATTACTTTCTTATACAACTTTTTAAATTCAGTTGGGGACCTATTGTACTAGGCAGAGTAGTTAAAAAGTAGTCAAATCTACCTACTATTTTTTTTGCGTGTACGTTTAACACATACCATATAACCTTACTGCAATATGTTGTGCTATGTGGATTATTTGAACTAAATACATTTTTTTTCAGTGTGTGTCCCTACTGATCTCCCTGACGTATTTTCCTACTTGATATTTTGTGTTAATAAGAAATGAATTCTTAAAATTTCGAAAAAAATATTTGTTATACGCCCATTTTTTAATTAATTAAATTGAGGTACATATTAATAGGGTTTTTTTTTTATTTCAATTGAAAGTGTAATATTACACATTTTTTATAAGATTATGAATATACAGTGTTTGTAAGAGATTTTAAATATATACTTCTGTACTAAAAGCTGGATTGCTTTTCAGATAAATTCAAGTTCTAGAGAACCCTAATAAAAATATTTGCAAAGAAAACAATCGTTTCAGAGTATTCGAAGGGAGAGACGAGTTGTTCTTATGTCTACGTATAGCTTTAACAAAAATCTTTATCGATTATAACTACATATTCATAAATGCAATAATTTTAAACTATTTTTTTAGTTATTTCTAAAAACTTGAAAAAGAAATGCATATATGGGAGATTTCACGTGAAGTGATCAAAGGCGGGAAAATATGACATTTTTCTTTTATTTTTTTTCTCTTAAATATTTAAATAAAAAAATTTTTATTACTATCAAATACGAAGTTTTTTTGATGCTCTTTCGATTGGTAATATGCATTTTTGAAAAAAAATTTGTTGACAAAAAAAAATGAAACTCAAAAATAAATTTGACTTTTTTGGGGTGAAAGGTACGATTTTTTCTTTTTTTTAATCGAAAGCTGAGGTTTTTTCCTATAAAAATGTAGTTGAAATAGTAGGACAAGAATGTTTAAATATTGAAAAATAGTAAACAATGATCAAAAATAGCCAAAAATATTAGTTACCAATATTTAAACATTCTTGTCCTACTTTTTGAACTGCATATTTTTATAGGAAAAAATCTCAGCTTTCCATAAAAAAAATCGTACAAATGCCCTAAGTTTAAGCGTGTTCGAAAAAAAAGAGTTTTTTTTTACTTTCATCACTTCACCTGGGATCCCCCACCCCATATGGGAAATTACCGCCCTATAAAAGCCGGGCACTGTAAGTGAAAATTATAAACATATTGATTTTAAAATACTTTTTTCTCGTAACACGGACACTTTTTACAAAATCTGTCAAAACACCAAAAATCCTTATTTTATATAAATTTCTTAAATCCGAAATATTGTATGAATCCATACAAAAACGAATAACGTAAGAAAGTAATATAATAATAGCTGCGACTTTGTGCTCCCTGCATGCTTCTACCACTCTCTAAATCTCAATTAGTATAGTTTTCTACTAATGAAAGAGTGCATATTCGTTTACTAATTGAATTAGTAATAGTTTTGACTAATTTTTAGTAAAAAACTACTAATTGCTAGTAGAAAACTACTAATTCATTAGTAAGTCGTATTTTTTACTATTTCAAATTAGTAAGCCGATTTACTCCATGAATTAGTAGTTTTCTACTAGCAATTAGTAGGTTTTTACAAAAAATTAGTCAAAACTGTTACTAATTCAATTAGTACACGAATACGCACTCTTTCATTTGTAGAAAACTACTAATTCAGATTTAAAGAGCACCTATATGGACGTCATTATATTATATTATATTACTATGCTGTAAAAAGTGTCCATGTTTCAAGAAAGTCTTTTAAAATCAATGTTTATCATTTTCACGTTCAGTGGCCGTTTTTATAGGGCGATAATAAAGGTCTCTCCTTGTCAAAGAATTTCAGAGACCGTCCGCCACCCTTAAACTGATATTATATGCGCGAATGCAGGAAAATATAATAAAGGGTTGTTTCATATGTAACCTAAAATTCAGCAAACAAACTGATCTATATAAGGTTTGTTAACTTTGTCTGCACATTATTAATAACCTATTCTACACAAAAAGAACCGTAAACTGAAATTAATAATATATTCGTGGCCCATATTTAAGAATATTTTATACTTAAACTTAGTATATATTATTCTTAAAATAAGAATATATACTTAAATTCAGCATATATTCTTATTTTAAGAATAATATAGGGGAGAGTGACAAACAGTGAGACACTTTTTTCAGAGTGTTGCCAAAATCCACGTTTCATAAACTTAAATTTTTGCCTGTCCCAGTGTTTAATGTCCCACTGTTTAAATTAAGCAATCGCAACAAATTATTTAAATAAAAATTGTTTGTGAAATTTTAAAATATTTTAAATTATCGGATATTATACTTAAAAACATAAGTAAACGAAGTAACAAATACACTTTTTCTTAAAACTGTCCTATCTATATAAAAATCAGCATTGTATTTTAAGAAAAAATTTACTCTGTTACGTCAAACACAGTTTTTTCAATTTTCTTTATAAATAATGAATCAATGTGGCTAAAATTTTTGGAGATAGTGTGCTGTCATAAACATGGTTTACATTTAAATTTTGGTCGAGTTTCTTTAAGTAGTTTTTCAGAAAATTAAAGTGTCCTCCCAAGCAGCACGGTATATCCCTTGAATACCACCGTGGAATATTACCATGATCTTCCAGGAAAATCAAAATGTCCGCATCATGGGAATATTCCACAGTGACATTGAGGGTAATATTAAAGGAATATTCCAGTGATATTGCGGGAATATTCCACGGTTATATTGAATTTTTTTTTAAATGTTGAAATAATAGAAATGTGTTATAAATTGTTATTTGAATAAGCAGGAAGATTAAAAACACATTTTTAAAAAAAATTCAATGCAACCATGGAATATTCCCTCAATATCACTGGAATATTTCCACAATATCACCTGAATATCCCTTTAATGTCACTGGAATATTCCATGAATGCCACCGAGGAATATTCCCTAAATGTCACTGGAATATACCCTGAATGTCACTATGGAATATTCCCATGATGCGGACATTTTGATTTTCCCAGAAGATCATGAGAATATTCCACTGTGGTATTCAACGGATATTCAGGGAATATACCGTGCTGCTTGGGCTACTGTTTAAACTGTCCCACTGTTTGTCACTATCCCCTATACCAAGTTTAAGTATAAAATATTCTTAAATATGCGTCACGAATATATTCTGAATTTTAGTTGACGGTTTTTTCTGTGTATACAATATTAAAAATTTGACTACAATTTAAATTTAAATTGTAGTTAAATTTTACACAGTAAAAATAAAGTATTACTTTTAGCCCCTATATTCTGTCTTTTTTTCAAGGTGTAAACGCAAGTAGACCATGTTATCAATAACGCTGATGCAAGTAAGATGATATTGTTTTCCAACAGGCTATCTTTATGGCTTAAATCAGATTTATAAATGTCTTTTGTAAATAAGTGTCTAATTTATGCGTCTTAGACATGAAACATAACCTCTAAATGTACACATACTAATAATACCAATATGAATAAATGTTAATCTTTATTAAGAATTTATCACTCGGTCGTATTTTAAATAATAAATGTGGAGATATCGATCACTCCGAGTCAGGATTAAAAAATAAGAATTATTATTTTTTACATTTCAGCAGAACTGCTTGAGTCTACGATCATATACTTTGTCAGACGTTGGCACTATCTTTTTTTGTTTTTATCCTAACAAATGTTAACAAAAATGTATATTATATTTTTTACCGTTTCTGAGGAGGGCAGCAGTGCTGCTGAAACGGAAAGTAAGAATAATTCTTATTTTTTTTAATCCTGACACGGAGTGATCGATATCTGCTTTATTATTATTTAATCTTATCATTAATTGAAAATTCATGCATTTGAAAAAGGGAAAGTTTTTTTTATTAATAAATATTATTGTCTTTATTATAATTTTTAAAAGATAAGTACAACGTTATTTTGTTTGTATACAATAAAAAAGTGAGAATTAAAATTAAAGAAATTCTTTATAAAGAATTAAAATCTATCAGATCCAATAAAAATACAGGTTTCGTCTTTACACTGCACTAACTTTTTCAACCTTTTTCTGAATTTATGACGTTTATCACGTTTCATTGTATAGCCAAGATTTTTTAATTGTTCAGGATCTTGAGTGATATTGTAATATTCAATGTAAGACTGCAATCACATTAGTAAATTTTTTAAAATATTATTTTTAGAATGTTTTAATAATTTTAAACAATGTCAATATTGTTACATAATTCGACAGAGGACATATGACATACTTTTATGATACTAAATTATTTAATAATTTAGTATATCCTAGCGGGTTTCATGGATTTAATTTTATAAAATTGTCAATTTTAATTCAACTCTCTAAATTTGAATTAGCTTAAATTTCCTGATTAGTAGCGCAGTCGGTGTTTTAAAAAGCTATGTGTTCAGCTGTGAATCAGTCTTAAGTCTTATGCATAAATGTTACACGGAAAGAAAAAGTTCGGGAAAAAGAACGGACACATTTCAGGGAAACTTCAAAATAATTTAATAGATTTTTCAATACTTTTACAAAAAAAGTCACACGAATATAAAAGTAGAATTTTTACCCCAAAATCGATATAAAAATTACCTGCAACAAATTTTATCCTAGTTGAGGACACCACCGTCTATGTGAATTAGCATTGGTGAAAATTACCCGCAACAAAATTTACCCAGCGTTTTTTCTGTGGTTGAGTATTATTTTTGAGTATTATCCTATCCTATCCTATATATATATATATATATATACATACGTATATAGTAATAGTAAAATAGGGATGAGTCAATGGTACACCTTTTTTTACCCCCCGCCCCCCCGATTATCGTATAAGTGAACAATTATTTGAATTGTGTTGAATATGATTTTATTGATTATTTGTAAGATCTATTATAGTCTCTCTAATCGATAGAATGTAACAATATTATTTATATAGATAAATGAACATAAAGTAAAATTTTTAAGCCATTACCTCATTATCTTCAAAGATGCAAAATATATTATTATAATTTTTTGAAATTCTACGAATACAGTTGAAAGTATTGTTTGTACTATCTTGACATTTGCAGGCAAACTCTTCATCGCACTCCTTTAAGAGAAAAAATCATTAATTTGCGATAATTAAGTTAATAATATCAATACGTATATATTTAATTATATCACAGAAAAAACTGGACCCACGGTCGGGACAATTAAGATGCGTATTAATCATGCACTGATACTGTTGAACCAACCATCAGCCAAGTTTGGTTAACTGTTGCAACAGTTAACCAAACTTGGCCGACCATCGGGACTAATGTATAAAAAAAATTAATTATGGCTCAATCCATTATATTTCTCCAAAAGATATATTGAGCCCTATTTTTAGAAAAATCTAATAATCAGTAAAAATTATATTTCATTTCCTCACAACTTACTATTTTCGGCAATTACTTTTAAAAACTTGCCGTTAATTAATATTACATGACAATATTGCGAATATTGCACGGCATTATTGATTGTTCTGCAATCTTGCTGTCAAAACTGATTATATCTGCCTTAAGTTGCAATATTGCGAGTGTCAAAATAGACAATCGCAACACATTTTAAGTTATTCATAAGTATGTACATATACTAACTGCCAAATGTGGATCATTATCATTAGGGCATTTGAGGTTGTGATGCCTTCCTGAGTTCTCTCCTTTATACTCAATCAATAAAGTTCGGTCAATTGATAAATTATGCTTCAAAATAGAAATACCATCTGAAAAATATTCGAGTCCAGCAATACCTAAGATCGTAGCAAAAATGTCAACACTGCTAACAGGAGATAATACAATCGACTGCTTATCAACTTTTGGTCCCCGTATGTATAGTGGTATATGTACATCTGTTTCGTAAGGTTGTCTTTTATCCAACGGCATAGCAAATTGGCCTAAAAATTTTATTTTGCATTGAATTGACGGTTTATCATCATTCCTTCAAATGTTACTAAGTATTTAAATAATTTTTATTCCTATTAATTATTAACTAGCAAAATTACACGCGCGCAAGCGCGCGTCCAACTTTAATTGCAATGGTTATTTTAAAATAATAATAATATTAATAATAATAATAATAATAATAATTCTGCATCAGTGGAGTATTAAATTAATAATAGGTATATTTCTAATTTTCACGTTATCATTTATTTATACACAGAAAAAAATGAGTTTGATGTTATATAAATAAATAAATTAATGTAAAAATTTTAAAATATAAATATTAAAATTTTAGAAATAAATATTTTTGATAAAGTCAATGTTCGATGAATTTTTTATAATCTTTCAAATTACAAAAAATTAGTTATGTTAAATATTTTTTTGTAATTTTCTATAAATATTTCGTTGCAAATAAAAATTTTAAATTTATGTTTTTTTTCAAAAAATTTAATTAACTGATAATTAATAAATATTAAAAAATTATGTAATCAAAAAGAAATTTAAATTAACAGAAAATTATTAATTATATTTTAAAAAGTATTAAGCAATTAAAAAATATTTAAAAATTTTGAAAAAATAAAACCTAAAAAAAATTTGTAATGTTTTAAACTTTAAACTTAAATTAAAAATTAAAATCAAATTGAAAATTTTTTAAAAAAGCAAACTATTTTTATATTGTTTATAGATAAAAAAATATAACAATTTAATAATTAATAATAATAAATTTGTGAATAATAATATATAATAAATAATAATGAATAATGAAAAAATAATGAAAGATAAATAATAATTATAAGTTAAAATGTTCTAATTATCTGTAATAATCATTATATTTAAAAAAATGTATATATAATATAATAAATTTATAAATAATAATAAAAATTATATTATAATTGAAACTTTTTTTTCTATAAATACCAAGTAGGAAATATACTGGTGCTGCACACAATGAACAATATTTTTTTTTTACTTTAAACTGTCACTTAGTATATGACTTAATTAATAGCGATAAATAAAAATATCCGTCGTGTTAACCATAAAATATTACGAAATCAAGAATTGTCAAAATTTTAGAAAAACAAAAGGAACAAAATACGACTAACTTCAAGTGTGGACAGACGGAATGAATGAATGAATACGGAAATTATTATAGTTAATTTAACACCCGCCATTTTTCCGAAATGCACTATCACTACAATTTACTGAATTTTGAAAAAAATCCGAGACATGACCCCATCTTTTCATATGAAATGCCTCATATATATGGGCGAAATCACGTAAGATTTCCGTCGACCCTTTAAATTCGGCCAAATATATTTTTTTCTTGTTCTGTAGTAAAAAAAAGAGATACGTATTTTTTTACTTTTTTCTTTTTTGAACAATTTTCGAGTTATTAATTTTCAAAATTTCAGTTTCTTCAATGTATATTTATTTTCAATGGCTGATAACTCGAAAAAAAATGAATTTTTTCAATTTTTGAAAAGAAAAGAAAAGTTTTAGTTTTCTTTTACTTTTCAATATTGTTAACAAAAAATTTTTTTTTCATTTTTTGATTTAAAAAAATTCAATTTTTTATAAACAAATTAAGTTTTTTTTAATTTGGATATGAAATCACATTTCACTATGAAAAATGAAAAAAAAATAATTTTTAACAATTTTTTTTTAATTTTCAAAAATGCGAAAAATGCTGCGCGCGGTGTTTAAATATTTATTTAAACGTATAAAACTTATCGACCCACTCTAAATTTTTTTGCAAAATCTTCTTAGTATTTCGAGGTATGTTTTAAAAATAAATTTAAAAAATATCTTATCCAAATTAAAAAAAACTTAATTTGTTTATAAAAAATTGATATTTTTTAAATAAAAAATGAAAAAAAAATTTTCTTAACATTATTAAAAAGTAAAAGAAAAACTGAAACTTTTCTTTTCTTATCAAAAATTGAAAAAATTCATTTTTTTCTAGTTATCAGCCATTGAAAATAGGTATACATTGAAGAAACTGCAATTTTGAACATTCATAACTCGAAAATTTTTCAAAAAAAGAAAATAATAAAAAAATACGTATCTCTTTTTTTCACTACAGAACAAGAAAAAAATATATTTGGCCGAATTTAAAGGGTCGACGTAAATCTCACGTGATTTCTCCTATATACATATATATATATATATATATATACGGAAAAAATTTCAGCACATCAGATGCTCTGTTGACAGTGGCAACAGCAATACATTTCATTATGCACGTCTGCGGTGCCTTTACCAGGCAGCAGACGTACAGTTTGGCACAAACGCTGTACATAATGTACGGCAGTTACGCAAAAATGGCTCAGATTGGCGTGCAGAATGAATGTACAAGAAATTTTGAAACACCGTCTACAGCTGACGTGCTGAAATTTTTTCCGTGTATATATATGTGCCATTCCAGGAGTTTTTTAGCACTTTTCGGAGTAACCTTTCCAAATTAAATGAAACATTTTTTTAATAATATTTATTAATATAAAGGTCCAAAAAAATCACTTTTTAAGTAAAAACAATTGTTTATTTAAAAAATACAACAATAAATAATGCAAAAAATTCACTTTTTTCCTGCAACTCCAAATAAATTGGTTCAAAGATCAAAATTTTCCTTATTTTTCAAGCTTTAATACCGCACAAGAAACATAGAGTCCGAGAAAATATTCAACTCACAATTTTTTAAACAATGTTTGTTTACTTTTTTGTATTTTATTTACTGTGAAACGTCTGCTAAAGCTGCGCGCGACGTTTGGAAGTTGTCGCTTTCGTTATTGAGCAGAAGCTCATTACACTAGCGTAGTAGAAAGCATGTTGTGCGAAAAGTGAGGTTATGTTGTCATTAAACGAAACGTAAAAATTTCTGGTTATCACATTGAATGGTTTTTAATTATCTACTTTGCAGTAAAAAATCATAAAAAACATTTTTGAAGGATGAAAAACCTCACTTTTCACACAACATGCTTTCTACTACGCTAGTGTAATGAGCTTCTGCTCAATAACGAAAGCGACAACTTCCAAACGTCGCGCGCAGCTTTAGCAGACGTTTCACAGTAAATAAAATACAAAAAAGTAAACAAACATTGTTTAAAAAATTGTGAGTTGAATATTTTCTCGGACTCTATGTTTCTTGTGCGGTATTAAAGCTTGAAAAATAAGGAAAATTTTGATCTTTAAACCAATTTATTTGGAGTTGCAGGAAAAAAGTGAATTTTTTGCATTATTTATTGTTGTATTTTTTAAATAAACAATTGTTTTTACTTAAAAAGTGATTTTTTTGGACCTTTATATTAATAAATATTATTAAAAAAATGTTTCATTTAATTTGGAAAGGTTACTCCGAAAAGTGCTAAAAAACTCCTGGAATGGCACATATATATATATTTTTTTAGTACTAATTTAGACTAGCTTTCATGATTTTAAAATTTTTTTTAGCAAACTGTTTTTGAGATATGAATTTTTCAAAATTTTTAGGACTTGTTTATGGTTTTCGCCATACAAATCAAATTCTCGGGTATTGTCAATATGATATTCATAATCAGCACACCAAAATACATATGTACGTAAAGTAAAAAAAAACGGATAAATTTTTTAAAAATTCCGAAAATATTGAAAAAATCGTTTACACACGATCGGGCTGGGCTTAAAATTTGATATATTTGATACAGTTTGATTCAAAAAATTTTGAATAAAATCGATTTAACAATTGACTAGATTTGCATAAAAATGGTTCCTTTACGGTTTTTGAGGTCGCTGAATCCAAATTTAAGGTCAGATTTAAAAAATTAAAAATGGTGGACCCAATATGTCGGAAAAATTTAAAATTGATTCGATCCGTTCAAAATTCAGTACTTGAAAGTTTTTGGGGTCGCTGATTCCAAATTTGACCTCAAATTTAGATTCAGCGACCTAAAAAACCCTCAAGTACAGTAAAACCCCGTTTATCCGAGTTTTCGCCTTATCCGAGGTAGGTCCGGTCCACATTAGCTCGGATAACCGGAGTCCTACTGTACTGAATTTTGAGCGAATCGAATCAATTAAAAAATTTTCCGCCATATTGGGTGGCAATATTGGGTCCGCCATTTTGAATATTTTAAATCTGACATCAAATTTAAATTTAGGGACATTTAGTGCTTACAACATCTCACTAAAAGTCACCATTAAACTGACGACCATTGCTTCAACGCTTCAGTACTTGAGCAGTGCGCTCAACTCCTCTCGACTTTTCGAGCTTTTTCCATAACAATTTCTTATACTCACCAACATGATAGCCATTATCGGAAGTAAAAATAATGTATGTGTTGTCGAGCAAACTTTTTCTTTGCAGTGTTTGGTAAACACTTGAAATCATTTCATCCACAGCTAAAAGTGTTTCCCAGCGTTTCCTATAAACTTTATCTAATTTAGGCAATACGTCTTGAGGAATTGGGATAGGCCCCATTTTTACCAGCCAATGTTTACTCTAAATTTAAAAAAAAAGATAATTATTAATTTTTTAAAATCAAAACTAACATTAAGAAACAATAGTATAGATGATAATTTTTTTTTTGGATTTACATAATTTAGTCAAGATGTTAGTTGTTTTTGGTCAAAATCCACATTGTATTTTAAAATTTCTTAATTAATTATTGAGCTTTCGCCCGTCAACGTCGGGCCTCATCAGATTTAAATACTGAAATTAAATTTACATTTTTTTGAGTTTGTTATAAAAATAAAATTTAATTAGATTGATAAACATAACCTCAAACTCGCGGCCAATATGGATTTCCACTCTCATTTAATAATTTTAAATAAAAAATTCTATTAGAAGAATAATTTTCCCAAAAAGGGAGTGCTTCCGTAAAACCAAACATATGTAATTTAAATTATGTGGTATAATGATTATGTGTTTCAGTATGGATACATTGACAAAAAAGAATGGTTGTGGCAACCATATAATATTTGTACCTATGATATGGATATATCAACCGTCGCGAAACGTGTATATGTCCGCAGTCCTAAACATTTTCTACAATCATTTAAGAATTATATTGATCCCGGTTAATGTGTTTTTTAAGTTAAAAAATGGAAGCTGAGTGCATTGATTCCCTTAAAAAAATAGGCTTTGAAGAATATATTCCGCATATTCCTAGTCATAATTTGTAAATGGGGAAATTCTTCAATGTTTGCGACACTTAGGCACGCACTATAATTATAATACTATAATAAAAGGTGCGATATGATTGTTTATTTTGTTAACGAATTTGTATTTGGCGATTATTTCAAAAAAAATAAATACGTTTTTATGGGACTCAATGTTTTAAATTAATCAAAAATAACCTTATTGATAATATTAAACAAATAAAATAAACATAAATTGTAATTATAAAATGGTTGCTTCAACAATATTACATAATATGGTACACTAAATAATGGTCGAAGCATCAATTAAAAATGGTTGTCACATCCATATTAGCATTTGTATGTTTTCCAAATATATGGTTCCCACAGCCATATATTCTAGTTGTGCTAACAATTTAAAGCTAGCTATTTAAAATATGGCTGGAGCAACCGGAGGTATGGTTGGGACGTATTTTTCAATATAATATGGTTGAGACAACCAAAGGTATGGCTGTGGCAACCATTGATTTTTTCCATGTACTATACTATCATCATATTATTATATTATAACCATTATTAATTAGTATTTACAATAAGAGTATGTATATGTATTTGATTTAAAGATGTTAAGTCAGTTTTTTTATTAAATCTTTTTTTGTGATTCAATTTTGTGCAAATAATTTCAGTATTTTCAAACCGGAAATTGTGATCTTGGTCATGTGCGTGGATGACCAAAGCAGTACTTCTGTTATCAAGTCTGCAGTCTCTTTTATGTTGATAAATTCTGTCTTTAATGTAATTACTTGTTTCACCATTATAACTGGCTCCACATTGACATGGAATATTATAAACAACGTGATTCCTATATTGGAAATTTGTAATATCTTTATTTTTTGAAAAAACTTTAAAGGGATCATTTTCATAAGAGAAAACGACTTTAACATCATACACCCTAAAAAAAGTAATTTTCAATCTAGAGGATTCCTCTAAAATAAATGCATATTTTCCTCTTAATTTTGGTATCAAAATTATTATTCTTCATTTAAGAGGATTTTCCTCTTAAATTAAATGTCGACATCCAAACCTCGTAAAATTGTTTTTAATGTCAAAGCCATCAATAAAATATTTATAATTTCAATCAAATAATAAAATCTTTGCAGAAAATACATTTTTAAATTAAAATTAAGTAAAATTATAATAGTTCATTTCAATATAATAATAAAAATTGTTTTTTAATATAACATTAACAATGTCATGTTTTTGGTTAATTATCAACATTTTATATTGATAATTAAAATACAAAAAATAAGTTTTCATTAATCAGTTGTAATGATCAACGAGATTTTCAGCGCAAAAATAATTTTAAAACATGATGATATGTTTAAAAGTTAACATTTTTTATAGGACAGAAAAAAATTTCATATATGAAATTATTTAACGTTTTAAAACTTTTTTAAAAAAGTAAATAAAAAGATTTAAAAAATTCGAAAGATTCAAAAATGGGGTTATAGTATTTCTATTTACCTGAGTAGTAAAATTTCACAAGAAATATCCAAATTTTTTTAAATCTAAAAATAGCGTTAAAAATATTCATTTAATTTGAATTTAACTATATTTTCTGTATTTTTAATAAAGAAAATCCATTTTTTTGTCCTTTTTGTTGACATTTTACCAGAAATATTAAAACTGAAAGGTTAAAAAACAACTTCACAACTATCATACCCAGGGAAAGGGATCAAACGATTACATTATTTTTTTCCGTTTCCTTTTTTTAAATCTTCTAAATTTAAAACGGAAAATCTTAATTAAAGAGGAAAATACAAAGGAATCCTTTTGTCATTCTTCCATTAAAATGAAGAATAAAAATATTCTACATTTCAATTGAATAATCTTGTTTTAAGAGGAAATATTTAGAGGATATTAGAAGAGGAATTTTCCTCTAAGTATAAGATTACTTTTTTTTGGGTGTAGTCTCTGTAAATGTTTTCAAAAAAAGATTTTAATTCATTTACAAACGGTAAAGCAATAATATTACTTGTGTCGAACGGTGTTTTTTGTAGTTCAATTGTAGAGAAGAGTTTTTGAAATCTAATATTTATATGTTTTGATAAAAAAGATGAGGGATAATTGTTTTCTTCAAGAGTATTAAAAACAAAATTTAAAGTTCATAAAATTTAACATTAGAGAGTCTAACTGCTCTGTTCACTAGACCGTATACTATAGATATATCTTATCTTTTTCAGATACGTTTGAATTAAAATTAACGTATCTGCCAGAAAAGGTATCCTTATGATACCAGTTGGTGATCATAGAATCATTCTCTCTAATGATTGTGACGTCAAGAAAATTAATAGAATTATTATTTTCAATTTCTATAGGTAAATAGTATATTTTCATTATATTTGTTAAAAGTAGTAAGTAAACTGTTAATGTTATTTTCCTCAACAATGACAAAAATATCATCAACATATGAGCGATAAAAATAATAGGGAAAACTTAATTTTTTTAAAACATCTGATTCTAATTTTTCCATTACAAGGTCAGCTATGATGCCCGACATTGGTGAACCCATAGGTGTTCCAAAAATCTGCTTATAAAATTCTCTGTTAAAAGAACAATAGGTATTGTCAATACAAAACTCTAAGATATCCAAGAAGACGTTATCAGGAAGTTTGGTATGTTGTCTAATTTCACGCCATTTTAACTTTACACATTTTAATACCAATGATTTAGGAATATTAGTAAAAAGAGATTTTGCGTCTAATGAAATTAATCTACAATTAGGTGTAATTTTTTTATTTTCAATTTGTTTAATAAAATCAAAACTATTTTTAACATGATATTCTGTTTTGTTAATAACTTTTTGAATAGGGATACTAATAAATTTAGACAAATTGTAGGTGGGAGACCCACAAAAAGATGTGACAAGTCTCATGGGACATAGTTCTTTATGTATTTTTGGTAATCCATAAAATTTCGGAGCTATTGAATTGTATGAATGTAAATGTTTAGACATAGAGCAATTTATATAGTTTTTTGTTAAAAGATGTTGTACTTTTGTATTTAGTTGTCATTGAATAATTTGGGTTGGATCTGATTTTAATTTTGTATAAACTTTAGTGTCTTGTAATAATGCCAAACATTTATCTTCATATTCTTTTTTATCTAAAATAACAGTTGTGTATTGTCTTTGTCGGCTTTACAAACAACAATATCTTTAATTTTTCTAAGAAAATTTTTAGCTTTTATACCGATATTATTAATTATGGAATTACTCAAAATGTTACTAGTTATTTTGCAAATAGCATTGAAGTTTATTAGACAACTTACTTCTAAAATCATTTATTATTTCGTTAGGAATTAAATTGATTTTTTCTTCAACAAGAGATAACGTTTCTTCAACTCTGTTAGTCTTATTGTGTTATTGATTCGTATAGAATTTGTCACCTAAGCTCAAAAAATATAAAACATCTTTTGGAATAGTTTTTTTCGACAAATTCTTTATCCACTTATTATTAATTTTCTTATTAAATTTAAATTTATAATATTTGTTATTTAACCATTCGAATTTCGAAACAGACTTCTGAATTATTTGTTTTTCATATTTATCAAAAATGAAACTGAAACTTTGGAACTGAAAAAAATTATTAGTAACTTGATCATTATTGATTGTTTCATATATTATATTCTTTAAATTAAGTAAAAAAGACTGCAAACTATACGAATTGTTATATGAATATCATCAATTTCCAAATTCAAAACTGAAATTCTATATTGGAAATCTATAGTGGAAATCCATATTGGTGAGTTTGAGGTTATGTTTATCAATCTAATTAAATTTTATTTTTATAACAAACTAAAAAAAAGATAAATTTAATTTCAGTATTTAAATCTGATGTGGATTTTGACCAAAAACAACTAACATCATGACTAAATTAAGAAACAATGTTAATAATAGTAAAAATATTACTTTGTCTTCAAGATTGTTAAAACTCAAAGTTCGTTTGGCCTGAATATATTTATATTTATCATTATGTCGAGGTGCAGGGTTAAACGGCGAATGAGCAGCTGGTGGTGCTAAGACCATAAGAAAAGGAGTATTGTTTGACTGGATGTTAATAAAATCAATAGCATATTGTTTCTGCAAAATCAAAAATAAATTTTTTTTAACATTATGATTAATGTGATAAAAAAAATTATTCGCATAAACAACGCACAATAGATTCCCGAATAAGACCCACACAGAAAAAACCTAGTCTTATTTTTGTTGCAAATCAAAATGAGCCAATGCTAAACGATAAAGACATTGGCCAAACCAACCAGGTTCATTTTTGTTGCACATCAAAATGAGCCGCCTACACGACTCATTCCGAGTTCAGTTTTTTTTCTGTGCAGTAAGAAGGATAGCATTGAAATGGATTGAAACGTTTAAATGCGTTTTAATTCTATTTTCTTCTGAAATACTTTTAAATGCCTAAACGGAAAGAAATCTGCTGCGATTTGCGCATGAGGAAGTCCTTAGGAATATAGCATGGACACTTCCAAGTAAAAACAATAACAGTCCATCTGAATATCAGGTGAGACTCATGCAATTATAGCTCACTCACTTAGGATTTTTGCTCGAAAGCGTCTGTTGCTATATTCCTAAGGACATGCTCATGCGTAAATCGCACCAGATTTCTCCCCGTGTATACAAGGAACAAACCTGAAGTGCAACAAGAATTAATCCAGGTTTTTTGTGTACCTGGGGGATTATAATTCAATCAATCTCTACCCAGATAGCATGTAAGCTTGCCGCGCAGTATTGCCAACCTTGCACGGCAAACTACCCGCAAGCTTACTACAAGCTTCAAATGTCTCGCCTGACCCAAGCTTGCATGGTAAGCTTACCGAAAAATTGCAATGTAAGATTACTGTGTAAGACTACTGCAAGATTACTGTGTAAGGTTACTTCAAGATTGTACAATAAGATTATCGCAAGATTGCTCAGTAAGCCTGCACGGTAAGCTTGAAGCAAGGTTGGTGCAAAGTTGTCAAATAATCTTGCTTTAAACCTAAAAAAAATTTTTTTTTTAATATTTCGTTTAATTAATATAATAAAATTTATATAATAAAATTATATAAATTAAACTATAAACATTAAAAAAAAGTTTTTAGGTTCAAAATAAGGTTATTTAGCAACTTTGTACCAACCTTATTGCTACAAGTTACCGTGCAAGCTTACTGAGCATTCTTGAGATAATCTTATTGTACAATCTTGCAGTAATGTTACACTGCAATTTTTCGGTAGGCTTACTGAGCAATCTTTCGTTTACCATACAAGCTTGGGTCAGGTGGGACATTTGAAGCTTGCGGCAAGTTTGTCGTGCGAGGTTGGAATTATACGAATTTGATCAGGTTTCGCTCAAATTCGATTTGAAGCAAAATATTGCAACTATTTAGTATAGTATAACAAATAAAAAATAAATACTGACAAATAAGTCACTATTTAGTTGATTTGTGGATAAATTATGTTAAATTAAACTTTAATAAGTAATTGAAGCTAAGTCTAAGCAAATGTAAACAAACATGAAAATGTAATCAATTATTAACTAATTTGTATTGAGCATTTTTTTAAAAACAGAATAAAAATGTTTCTTTCTCTATATGTAAAAGTGAAAATTGATATATAAAACTACAAAATGATATCTGTTGGAGAGGGTAAATGTTCAATGAAATACCCCCACCGAGAGAGCTATTTCACCCCTTCCCTTTTCCGTCAGATATACACGGAAAAAACAAACTAACTATTTTAGCACCAAACTGCTTTATCCTTTATTAGTATACAATTTCGTTTACCTATTAAAGTGTGAAATAATGCTTTTTTAGTTTAAAGTAAGTCCATACTAAATAAGTATAATGGTTATACTCTTATAGTAATAGTGACGTACTTTAAAAGCATAAAATTGATGCCCGCGAAGTACGACATATAGTCTACCTAAAATAGCAAGAGCTTCTTCCTTTTTGGTGGATAAATTCTTGCAACCTGCGTTTTGGCCTATATCGATATATCGATGGTTGGAAAAGGAGGGAGGCGTGGCCAAAACGCAGGTTGCAAGAATTTATCCACCAAAAAGGAAGAAGCTCTTGCTATTTTAGGTAGACTATATGTCGTACTTCGCGGGCATCAGTTTTATGCTTTTAAAGTACGTCACTGTTACTATAAGAGTATAACCATTACACTTATTTAGTATGGACTTACTTTAAACTAAAAAAGCATTATTTCACACTTTAATAGGTAAACGAAATTGTATACTAATAAAGGATAAAGCAGTTTGGTGCTAAAATAGTTAGTTTGTTTTTTCCGTGTACTCAAAGGATTCAATTTTTCGTAACCTTGAGAAAATTGTTTAAAGATAATACAAATACTTACAATAACGTCTGTGAGATAATCTTCAGGTTGATTACCATATTTTCTTTTAGTACCATTTATTGATAGAGAATAATTATAATATTTTGAATTCCCAATGAGTGCATACCAATGATCCCAACCAGGAGGCTTTCTTAAACCACCCGAAGTCTCTGAACCATACTAAAAAAAATCATGTAATTGTCTAACACTGCAAAAACGAATGTCTTCTTTTAAGAGATATTTTCTCATTTTCAAAACATTTTATGGTGTCTTAGATTTTGTGAAAAAATTATGCCCCTCAAAAAAGGTAAAATTGCATTTGTTGAATTTAAAAAAAACTGGTTCACCAAATTAGATTTATCTAAAATGAATATTTTAAAACTTGGTTGGATATATCCAAGATACTTAGTATATGGACATTGTATATCTTTGGAACCTTTAACTTTTATGTCCTTCTGATATATTGTTTTAATTTTTATCATGTACGTAAAATGTAATTTTTTTTATAGAAACAGTCATTTATTGCCAATTTCACCAACTCCGGAGATACGTCCATATAAGGGTAATATTTGTTACATTTATTCTGATCCCAAAATGAGATTCAAATTCGTATTCAGCGTCTCCGAAGACCCCCGGGTAAAGAAGTTAAAGGAAATCAGATCAATTTTGAAAAATTAGTTAGCCATATTGGATCCATCATTTTAAATTTTCAAAAAGTAACATCAGTTTTATAGACTTTTTGCATTTTTGGCCGACTTTTTTGACAGACCGTATCTTCATTTGACGATATCGATACTGAGACATTAATTATTTATATTTGACGAGATCAAGTAATGCCTTGTTAAAACTTCCTGTTCAAGATCTTGAACATTTTCCCGTACAAGATCAGTATAGCTAAACTTCTACCACTTCTGGTCAGTTAGTATATAGAAAATTAAGAAATGGAAATAAGTTCATAGTTTTCTTGTTATTTATTTGTAAAAAAGAAAATATAAAAAATAATACAAACAGGGATCATTTACAAACTACGTCACTCTTCTAAGGGGGGGGGGGGGTGTAAAGCTGTTTGTGAAGAAATGTAGACAAAAATTCAATTAGTGTGTATCAAAACGTGACGTTAGGGGGAGAGTGGTCTAAAATAATATTAAATTAAATTAAATATTAATAATATGTAATTTAACTTAATTTAATTTTAATTAAATTTTTTATTGTAGGAAATTATTTTTTATATTAAATTAGAGCTTTTTTTCTTAGAAAAAACTGACCTAAAAACTCTAATTTAATATAATTATTACCACATAAATAATATCTTAAATAAAAAAATTATTTTTTGTATTATTCCTTTTACAAAAAATATCAAGTTAACGAGAAATAAAGCCTTTAAGGCCAGGTGCAACTCGTCAAATGTAAACAAACATGAAAATGTACGTAATTATTGACAAATTTGCGACAGCCTTTTTTTAAATAGAAAATAAAAATTGTTCTTTCTCTATGTGAAAATGAAAAATTCATATATAAAACTACAGCCTGACACCGTATTTGACTAATAATATGAATAATGTTAATAATTATAATAAAATGAAAATTACGCTGAAACAATAATTTTCTCAGGGTTACGAAAAAATAATCATTTGTGTATATCAGACGCACGGACGGAGAGGACCTAGGTGGGAGAAATAATGTTGGAAGGGGTAAAAGACCTAGTCTTTGTCATCTGGTGGGGGTACAATTTCAGAATTTTACCCTTTCCAACATGTGACCGTCCAATCGCTCAACTCCTTCTCCCACCTAGGTTTTCTCCGTCCGTGCGCGTCAGATATACTCAAATGGTTTTTTTTTCGTAACTTTGAGAAAATTGTTGTTTTAGTGTAATTTTCATTTTATTATAATTATTAATATTATTCATATAATTAGTCAAATAAGGTGTGAGGCTGTAGTTTTATATATGAATTTTCCATCTTCACATAGAGAAAGAACAATTTTTATTTTCTATTTAAAAAAAGGCTGTCGCAAATTTGTCAATAATTACGTACATTTTCATGTTAGTTTACATTTGATGAGTTGCACCTGGCCTTATAGCTTTCTCTCTGAATCCGAATATGTATATTTTCGACAAGTTATAACTGATCCAAGAACATGTACAGGATCATACGTAACTCAAGAAAATGTAGATGAACTTGTTCCAATTTCTTATAATTTCTTATAATATAAATTCTTATAAAATTTGTACAGGAAAATGTTCAAATTGTTGTACACAGGGTGTACTGTAATTTTCAAGAAGAAAATTTACTTGATTTAAATATTTTCCAGCATAGAAAGTTCTATATCCTTTTTTCTTATTTAAATGAACTGCGAAAGTATCTTTTTCAGGTCCATCTTGCCATTCGTGACTGTTACAACCTCCACTTATACTGTTATTGACAACTCCGTGATTATGTTGGTATCGACCAGTTAAAATTGATGCCCGATTTGGGCAACAAATTGGGACTGCAGCATACTAAACAAATTCAAAGAAAAAATGTTTTTAGAATAGATAAAATGGGTTCATCGTTCTGTAGCTATTTTAAATGGTTTTAAAAAATAAATTTAAGATTATGCTGCGTAACTGCAAAGCTTACACTGTATACTATGTGCAGCAAAGTATAAATTTGAGTGCAGAAAAGTGAATCTTCTTTCAAAGTACAGAAATCAACAACAACTTTGTGCTGCATTTACATTAACGTAAAGTGGCGCTTTTCTTGCAGGATTTTACACAAAATATATTACTTACGCTGTTACTATAAGAAGCTCCTTCATCTATAACTAATTTTTTAGTTTGCGTTAAAGGAAACTGTAACAAATCATGAAATTAGTCAGTGAGAGATAACATTTTTTTTAATGCAATTTGTTTGAAATGTTGGGGCAAGTAAGAAAATGTCTGCCTGTGAGGAAATGTTGTAGTAAAAGTTACGGAAATATAACGCTGAAATTTTCTGGAAATCTAAAATAACAAATTACAAACATTTCCCAAGCAGCACATAATATTATCTTAATACCAAGGTAACATTACACCTAAGATTCATAATATTACGGTGTCCCAGATAGCACCGAACTTTACAGGAAGTTAATAGAAAGTTAACGGCGATAAGTTTGGAAATTAACGTTGTTAACTTCCCCTTAAGTTCGAAGAAGTTTTATTTGTCCTCAGAGTTTAAGTTAACACTTTTAACTTGTTGAAACTTAGAAAAGTAAATTTGCTGAAAATTTTCCTTTGTAATTTTACACAAAATTTTTGTGGTAAACTTGAAAATGTATTTTCATGCGCAGATGTTTTCTATAGCAGCTAGGGCTGCGCAATACATTTTAATTACATTTCTCTATAGATAAGCTATGAATGTATTAAAATACATACATCTTGAAAAAAAAAATATTTTTTTTAATTTTGAATTTATCAGAAAAAACTTCTTGCAAAATTTATGCAAACTTACTAAAAAAAACTTTCGGCAAACTTACTGCAAAATTCGGTGCTATCTGGGATAATGTTACAGTAATTTTAAAATGTCCACCTAAAGGTATTATTATAGTACAAGTAATATTGAGATAATTTTACAGGGTAATATTACATTGTAATATTAAGGTAATATTCAAGTAATATTACATGTTGCACTGAGAGACTTTTTATTTAAAGAAAAAAAATCAACAAGGCGGAAATCGAACTCCGAATCTAACGCATGTCAGTCGAGAGTAACAAAATATGAATAACTCTGAGCAACATGTATATATATATATATATATATATATATATATATATATATATATATATATATTTTGTGAATAACTTAAGGAGAGGCATCATCCCCAATTTTGACCCACTTAAATTTAAATTATTAAACGAGGTTATATTTTTTTTCTTCCATCATTTGGATCTTAAAAATATACAGGATGGTCAAAAAAATAAAATTTTAATTTTCGACCATTTTAGAAATTAAAATCTTAAAGAAATTAATATTTTAAATATCTATCTTTTTTTATAATTTTGACTATTTTTTATCGCCAATTTTTTTCTACGCTTTTTTAATGATTCTTAAGAATCCAGGGTGGCGATCATTTTTATGATTCTAAATTCCCGGTCAATTTTCTGTTTTTCCTGGTCAAAATTTTGTAAATAATTAATTTTTTTACACAAAAAATGACCATTTCTTCTAAAAAATTCATAACTTTTTTATTTTTTAATATTAATTCTTCTAATAAATTTTAATAATGCACTACTACAAAAAAATAATTAGATATTTATTTTAAAAATACATTTTGCTGAGAAATTAATGAAACAAGATGTAATAGACGATATCAATTTTTAGAATATCTGAAAAATTCCCGGTTTAACTATGAAATTCCCGGTCATTTCCCGGTCATATCGCCACCCTGGAATCTCTCGCATGGATTTACAAAAATATTAATTTTTTCAAAAAATAAATATTATAAAATGAACAACAAATAAAATTATCTTTTTGTGACCATCTTATATGTTTTTAGGACCCAAATGATGCAAGAAAAAAAATAGAACCTCGTTTAAGAATTTAAATTTAAGTGGGTCAAAATGGGGGGTGGCGCCTACCCTTAACCATCCTACAAGTTTCAGTTTTAAAAAGATAGTTTATGTCACCACAAGAATATTAAAATTATAAAAAGGTACAAACTATCTTGCAAGACCTTATAAACTATAGTAAATGATCAAATTTATTTTAAACATAATACAAGTACATAATTGGTCTCTTGGTTTAGATTCGCAGTTTGATATTGATCCTAGAAGGAGTAACTGGGGTGCAAAATTCAAATTACGACAAATTTATCAAATTTTTCGTTTTTCCAAGTTTTTTCAACTTTTTTTTTATTTTATCAAAAAACAAAAAAAACTTTTGTTATCCTTACTAAAAAACCAATAAAAATCACTATATATAATTATTTTTATGTCAAATAGAAACCTTTTTAAACATGTTTCAAGTTGGGGTGCCTAGACACCGCAGTTACCCTTTAGAGGATGAGAAAATTCAGTTACTTCTTATAGGGTTAAATATTGAAAAGTTGAATGTTATAGTTATTTATTGTTTCAAGAAAAAAAGCATTAAATTAGATGTAAACTTAAAACTGATTCAGTTTAAGAAATGAGTTACTAATATCCCACAAGGAAAAAAGTATTAATGACGTTTTGTCAAATATTTTAAATAATACATAGTATAACTATTCACCTACCATTCCATCTAATTCTATGTCCAAATCGTCAACAACTATTAAAACAACATTACTTCCTTTTACTAAAAGTATATAAGTCAAGAGAAGTAGAAAATTTTTAACCGCCATCATTTGGTTATTGTTATTTGCACATGGACTATAGGCTATAAAGACCTGAGCAGAATAGAAACGTAACCGGAATCGTATCGCAAACGCAACCGGAAGAATGAGTTAGAGAAGGATAGATAGATTTTTTGTCCTTCTCTAACTTATTCTTCCAGTTGCGTTTACGATTATGACGCTGATTCTACACTCACCAAAAACTGAGCGAGCGGTCCGCTTTTCCATAACGCTTCCCATATTCAACTATATTTTAGCAGTTTTAGGTGAGTGTAGAATCAGCATTACAGATTGATAGAGTTCAGTGATGTTTACAGCTTGCGTTCGAACGCTGCGTTTCGCATTGAACAATGAGTGTAAAGGCCTTTCTCCAATAGGAACCTAAACTTTTGCGTTGCGTGACTGACGCGTTGATTTTAGCATTGGTTGCCAATAGCAACCGACGCAATGCATACGCAACGCAAGAGTTTAGGATCCTATTGGAGAAAGGCCTTAAAGGCGCTTGTACACCTCACAAATTCTGAGTATCCTCGGAATTGGTCAGAAGTTTCACTAACTTTGATTGGCTTTGCTCATAGAGAATTTCGAAATTATTCTATCTTTTGGAAATTCTCCATGAGCAAGGCCAATCAAAATAAGTATAACTTTTGACAAATTCCGAGTATACTTAGAATTTGTAAGGTGTACAAGCGCCTTAATAAGTATGACAGTATATGTATATTATATTCCTCTTTCTAATGGATCATTTACACCTTTGGTAAAAAAAATTTTTTACTTTGATTTTCCGAAATGCAAAATCTGATTGGTTGTCTATTATCAATCAGATTGTGAACAACAAATCAGGTTTGTGTACTTTGGAAAATGCAAAATACAATTTTTTTTATCAGGTGTAAATGCTCCATAAGAAGCGTCTTCAATAAAATAATACATGCATTCGTATACGAAAAATACTTCAAGAATAGCACCCCTGACTTTATTTATAAGTCTTAAGGTACACTCTCAGCTCTTGGCTGCCTGTCTGACTGCAGGAGTTGTCATGGCTTCTTCTTCTTCTTGTTCTTATATGACTTTAGGCAGAATAGCTTCGCGAAAGACGTTCGCGAACGTGAAACGTGAGTTAGAAAAGGACAGAGATATATTCGTATCCTTTTCTATCTCATGCATCTCGTTCGCGAACGACTTTCGCGAATCTATTGTGCGTTGGCCTAGAGAGAGAGAGAAACAAAATTCAAATTTGAATTTACCACCCCCGTGACATTCACATTGGACCGTCGCCACTGGTGGCGCTGGCTGTGTAGTCTGGGAACATTTCAATGAAAATGCATGGGATAACACACAAAAATTTACTTTTCACTTATTAAAGTTTATTTAATCGTGTTCATATGTGCATATAATTGATTTAGAAATTTTTAAACATATTTTATAATATAACTTACTTTAGAAAAGAGTAAAAAAAAAAAAAAAAAAGATGTCATAATTCCTGGCGAGAAATTCAAATAAAAAAAAAAATTTTTCTTATTATAAATTATTATTTTATTAATTGCTTATATTTATTTAATAATATTTTACAATATTTATAATAAATTGTTGAATATTTTATTTGTGATATTTGATAAGTACATAATTATCCCATGCATTTTCATTGAAACGGCCAACGTACAATAGATTCGAAAAAGTCGCTCGTGAACAAGATGTACGCGTTAGAAAAGGATATATATATATATTTGTGTCATATTCTTGATAGGTTTTATTAATAAACAATTGAATTTTAAATGTGTTTTCGTTTTATTAGTTTAAAGGCGCTTGTATACCTCACCCATCCCGAGTATACTTGCGTCGTGTATCATTGGAGTAAAAGAGACGGAAATATCTTTTTGTCTCTTTTACTCCAATGGTACACGACAGAAGTATACTCGGGATCGGTGAGGTATACAAGCGCCTTAAGGTTATTGTATGATCGTTTTGATAAAAACAAAATAAAAAAATTATTTCTGAAAATTTTATATTTATTCTGTCATATTATATACATATATCTGCTGACATAAATTATTTACAAAGAAAATATTAAAAAATAGAGAAGCACCCTACAAGGCACGCACGAGTGGGTCGATTCAATCATGCCTCGTAAAGGCCTTTCTCCAATAGGAACCTAAACTTTTGCGTTGCGTGACTGACGCGTTGATTTTAGCATTGGTTGCCAATAGCAACCGACGCAATGCATACGCAACGCAAGAGTTTAGGATCCTATTGGAGAAAGGCCTTTACGCGAGTGAGTGCTTAGTGGTGGCGCGTAGAAGCTTCCGTACTCCGTAGACTAGAGACAGGAGGAACAACTCGGCTGTTTAGGCCTGAGCAGAATAGAAAGTTAGAGAAGGATAGTCATATATTGTTGTTGTTCTCTTACTAATTCTTCCGTTTGCTATTACGATTCCGGTTACGTTTCTATTGTGCTTAGGCCTTCAGCCTACAGAGAGCAGTGGGACAGATTGTGACACTACGTTTAGGCGTGCTACCCCAAGGCGCACTAGTCTTCTGCGCATACCTACCCAAGCAGCAGACAGCGTATGTATATAGTTAAGCATATGTGGGTATGCGCAGAATACTAGTGCGCCTCGGGGTAGTACGCCTAATCGTACAGCTCGAATTGTTCCTCCTGTCTCAGTTGTTCTGACACTTTGTTTAATCAAGAAGTCATATAAGAAAGAAGAAGTTCCTCCTGTCTCTAGTCTTCTTGTGCCAGATATGCCTTAACTTTTTGGTCCTTTTCTAACGCACATGTTGCCATGACAACACGGGCATGTCTGGCCACGAGTGTCCTTCCAATGTAAAGTTGTCGTCCAGCTTGCTTCCATCTTGAATTTTCCCCCACTCAACTCGAACTACCTAATTAGATTTGTAGAATTTGTAGAAGCAGCTTTAAACTGACAACATCAGCAACATTGTTGGTGTCTGGTTCACGTGTTCATCTGTCGTGTTAAAACAAGTAGTCAATTTATTATTTATATATATTTATTGGTTCATTAAGAACAATGATCGTCTCAACAAATGAAGGCAATCCAAATACACTAAAATTAATTATTGCTGCTAACATAACAGGAAAACAAATTACTGTAAATGTAGTCACATTGACCCGTAAGTATTCTCATAACCTACATTAAGAACACAGATAATTTAAGTAATTTTTAACAAAGATTATAATTACTGAAAATAATTTGAATAATGGAAAACTGCGCGATTAATAACAAGATTGCCTTTTTTTATTATTAATTTGTAGGTTATTCTGTAAGCTTTTTTTAAACGATTCTTTAAGTAATAATTATTTTCAACATACATTTATTGTGATTTTTACTACTTGTTCATAAACCTATACCACTAAAATATAATTAGTGATATTGTTCTACCCCCCGACTCTTGAGATTTTACAATTTTAAATGTACAATAAACTTATTACGGAAAAAAATATTTTTTAAGGGGTTGGTGGTTACCATTTTAAAAAAATCATGTAAAATTCTTTAAATTATAATTTTTCTTCAATCAGTGTTAATCAAAGAAATGTTTTGATGTATGTATTTAGTTGACTAGTCCACACATTTGGCTGATTTTCAGCTGCATTTATTTTTCAAGTTTCAGGATAAAAGGATTGTCATTGTAAAAGAATTTTCAGGGTAAATTTTAAGACTAAAGTTACATTTTTCTTTTCATTTGAGCATTTTACGAAAATTTTACAAAATCCAAACTATATATTTCTGCAAATTAGATATCAAGCACTGTATACAGTAATATCTTCTTTTTCTAGATAACAATCTAGGGAGATTGCCTGCTTTAGAGGTAACACCTGGTCTTGAACTTTTTAGTACTCTTGCAGCAGTTGAGTTTCTAGCTCCAACCGAAGAAGAATCCCGTATTATTACTAATAGATGGTTAGAATGGGAAATAACTCAATTTCAGGTATTAAAAGAAAATTGGTTACAAAAAAAACAAAAAAAATTTTTGAATATGTACTTATTTTAAACAAGGCCAACAATTTATATGCTTTCCTTTGTCATGTGTGGTTGAATAATTAAAATTAAGGATGTTTAATTTAGAAATGATTTTTTTTTAGCCAGCACTAGTGTCTTATGGCGGTTCCGGGACATTAGAGATGTCTCATAAACCTCGGATATGGTCACTTTTTAAAGAATTGAATGCAGCCTTAAAAGATAAAAAGTTCCTAATTGAGAAAATCGCAAAAACAAATATTCAAGTAAGTATAGAAAATATATTGTCTACATGTAATGTAATACCTATGTGTGTTTGAATATTGTTTTGAATAATTTTTTTTAGGAGAAAAGTCAAGTTTCAATTGTGGACTTCTTCATGTGGGTATCTGTTTGGGTTGCTACGGGTATTCCTGAAATTAGTAATTTAGTATCGAAAGAATTCATTAACATAGAATGTTGGCTCAGAAATATTGAAGCGAATCCAGTAGTTCAAGTGAGTGTAAAAAGAATGTACTCAATTGCAGCATAGATTTTGTTGTTGTTTATTTTGCAAAACTTAATTAATCTTATTTGATAGCTCTATACTTAAAATTTCTATTTAGCAATCGTTAAAACAGTTTAATTGTGATAGAGGAATAAAAGGAATATCATGTATTCAAGCAACGTCTTGGTTTCCTCTTAATTTATACACTGGTGGCAAGCAATCTAAAGCAATCAATGATGTAAGTAAACTCAAAATACATATATTTATTTCAAATAATTGTCTTGTTAATTTCGTTTTAGGCAAGTATGACAGTTGGCAATGACGTTGATTTAATAATTAGCACCGACGAGCTTCGTCTGATTCAAGATAGTTGGACAACTTCTTCTTACTGTTCAATTGAATCTACGTATCCTATGTATGGTGAAAATTTTTAACTGTATGATAAGCATATATATTGTTCAATTAAACATATATATTTTACAGACCTGTTCCTGTTGAAAAAAATTTTCTCGTGACATCTGCTCTTCCTTATGTGAATAATGTTCCTCATTTAGGAAATATCATCGGTTGTGTTCTTTCAGCTGATATTTTTGCCAGGTTTGAATGTTTATTTATCAAATCTCAGAATTAAAAACATTTAATTAAGCGATTTTTAAAAGTATTATTTTGTTTTTTTTACAGATATTGCCGTCAAAGGAATTACAATACTCTTTTTATATGGTAAATTTTTAGATTCTAAGATATTTTTATTTTATAATAATATTAATGATTTCATTGCCTTATTACAGTGGAACAGATGAGTATGGAACTGCAACGGAGGCAAAAGCACTTGAGGAAAAAGTTTCACCGCAACAAGTTTGTGATAAATATTTTGATATACATAACGATATCTATCGTTGGTTCAATATTGGTTTTGATTATTTTGGAAGAACTACAACAGCAGAACAAACTGAGTAAGAGATGAGTAACTATTTTTTTTTTTTTTTTTTTTTTTTTTTTTTTTTTTTTTTTTTTTTTTTTTTTTTTTTTTTTTTTTTTTCTTTTCTTAGCATGATAAATAATTTTATTGAATTTTTTTTAGAATTGTTCAAGATATGTTTTTGAGGATAAAGTCACAAGGCTATGTTTTTTCTGAATCTGTAAATCAACTATTATGTGAAAACTGCAATAGATTTTTAGCTGATAGATTTGTTGAAGGCATATGTCCTAATTGCAAGTACGAAGATGCACGAGGTGATCAATGTGATGGGTGTGGGCACCTTGTTAATGCAACTGAATTAATTAAGCCACGTTGTAAAGTTTGCAGTAACACGCCAATTATCAAAGCTTCAACGCAATTTTTCCTAGATTTACCTAAAGTACGTAAATTCTAAAAGTTTATTGAACACATCTAAACGTTAAATGAATGAAAAAGATTTGATAAATTCTTTTAGATCCAAGATAAATTAAAAGAATGGGTCAGTAGTGCTGAAAACGAGTGGTCTCCAATAGCGAGAGCAGTAACTAAACCGTGGCTTCGAGATGGATTAAAACCAAGATGTATTACAAGGGATTTAAAGTGGGGAATACCAGTTCCTTTGGAAGGATATCGTGATAAAGTTTTTTATGTGTGGTTTGACGCTCCCTTAGGTTATATAAGTATTACCAAACGGTTTACCAAGTTTTATGAAAAATGGTGGAAACCTAACGAGAAGGTTAACATCGATTTGTATCAGTTCATGGCAAAAGACAATGTTCCGTTCCACGCAATCATGTTTCCTGCCACACTGCTAGCTGCTGATCAGGGACATACTTTAGTTAAACACATTGCATCGACGGGTATGTTGTTGTGTAGTTTTTGATCAATTATTTGCTACTTGTAAAACATCATTTCTTTGCAGAATATCTCAATTACGAGGATAGAAAATTTTCAAAGTCTAGAGGAATTGGAGTTTTTGGCACAGATGCAATTGAAACAGGAATCCCAGCTGATGTTTGGCGTTTCTATTTGGCCTATATTAGACCCGAAAATCAAGATTCTAATTTTTCCTGGACTGATTTGGCAACCAAAAATAATAGCGAACTGTTAAATAATCTTGGTAATTTTATTAATAGGTATGCGCAAAACTTTATTTCATTTCTTATCAATTAAAGTTCTTATTAAACAACATATTTTAAATACAGAGCTCTTATGTTCGTTGAGAAAAATTTCAATTCACAAGTACCAATCATGGAACCTCAGAAAGATGATTATACAGTTTTGGCCTTAATACAACGAGAGTTAACCAATTATATTATTTGCCTCTCTAAAACAAAAATAAGAGATGCTTTAAAACACGTTCTTGCAATTTCAAAACATGGAAATCAATATCTACAATCACAAGAACCATGGGTAAAAATTAAAGGCAGTGAAAAAGACAGGTAAAAGTTTATATATATATATATATATATGATATCTACAATTATTATTATTATCGGTCATTACATGTTTTACTTGTTTAACAGAAAAAGAGCTGGAACAATTGTCGGCATTTGTTGTAATTTAACGTCCTTGCTCTCTGCTCTTTTGGGTCCATTCATGCCAAGTACAGCCCGTCAACTAAGAGGACAATTGGGAATGGACGAAAAGGAATACGGCTATATTCCTGACCTCGTAACAACTATATTATCTGCTGGGCACAAAATAGGAAAACCAACACCACTCTTTACAAAAATAGAAGTTGAACAAGTAGATGCACTGCGACAAAAATATGCTGGAAAAGAATCTTCACCTTCTCCTCATAATATTAAGGAGTTAGAAGACAAAATTTCTGAACAGGTACAATTTTATTTTTAAAATATCTTTCTTCTTTTTAAAAATATTACAAAATTCATATATTTAAATATATTCCACTATTGCAATGGGCGAATTCATAAACTGAAAGATCTGTCGTGCTAAGGAAAGAAGGCTCTAACTAACATTTTTATGAAAAATCTTTTTTTTTTATCAATCGATTCGTCAAAATTTCCTACGTCTGATAAAAATGATAAAAATATAAAAATCTTTTTATTTATTTTTAAATTAAATTTTTAAATATTACAAGAGGTTATAATATTAAAACATAAAAGCCTTAAAACTGTTAAATAATTGTTCCAATAAAAATGTGAAGAAATAGATATACGATACAATTGAAGAGAGTATTAAAATTGGCAAGTTCAAGTCGTAAAATGTTAATAAAAACATCCAAACTTGATTTTTAACTTTAAGGGGTGGTCACGTGGGAACCTCCCAGGTGACCTAGTATGGGAAAATGTGTTTTGGTAGTATCCATCTTGCTCTAATTTTTTATTTCATAGAAAGTTTCAAACTACAAAAAAACGTTCTTTGCCCACATACCCTTAACGCAAAAGTAAATAAAATAAAATGTTTGATTTTACAGAAAAAAACAAATTAAATGACATAATAATTAATAGTTTATAAGAATTTGTTGTTATTAAATATTTAAGTCTTAATTTAAATTCCTGAGAAATTTATTCATTATTGAAATTTTTTTATTATTTATTAGAAATAATTTTAATTAATTAATTAAAACATGAAATTTGCACTTATTCTTTTTTGTCAGGCTCCCTTTTATATACATATACTTATGTGATTGTCAAAAAGATATAGACTTTCCCTCTCGCACGACGGAAAAGATTCACTTTCCCCTGCCACACAGATGAGAAATGACGTACTTTCGGTACGTGTGTTAGAAAAAATGTATTTATTTTATACACTATGTTTTTATATATAAGGGCAATTTTTATACACAGTTTTCTTCGATTACCTCAGTTCCATTGACTGTGTAGTCATAGACTTCTTTCCTTATAGCACGGCAGAGATGTTCCAACAAATGGATATATTTCATTTATGATATTATTTTAGGCGAATTTAGTCCGTGAACTCAAGTCTAAGGAACCAAAAACAATGTGGCAACCACAAGTTGATATACTATTAAGTCTAAAAAAGCAATTAGCTGAACTCACAGGCGTTTCGACAAGTTCTACTGAAAAAAAGTCTAAAAAGAAAAAATAGACAATTTACGAATTGAATTATTTATAATAATTGTATTCTCAAAGCATTAAAGTAAAACTTGATTTAAACTTATGTATAATGATCATTTCAGAGGCAAATAACAGCTTCTTTCTATGTAAAATTTTTACGTTAGTTTTTTTACTGTACGTAATAACTGAAATATTCACAAGAAATTAGTTGAATTTTATAAGTCAATTGTTAAATAAATTTTATTGTGTGAAATATTAAAAGCTAATCATAATTTTATTTATTTTAGCCTTTTTGAGAACAAAATCAAATATTTTTCAATGAATAAGTTTTTTTAATTCCTCTATACAACTAATTAATATGGAACTTTATAAGTTTACTGTTAAATTAATTTTATTGTACAAAATATCACAAATGGTCACAAATTAATCTAAATTTCACTCAATACACTTTTTTAGAACGAAAACACAAAAACAATAATATAATCTCGCATTACGAAATTATCAAATGCCATAACCAAAATAACAGCATTTTAATTTAATTTTTAATAATAAATAATTCAAATTATTATTATTCCAAGTTAAATAATAATCTATATGCAACTACGAATGTTTTATGTAAATACATAAAATAAAGTGTAAGCAGATTAATATATGAAAATGAGTTTATTAAATAGGACGTTTATCGAATGTTTATTTACAAGAATTATTAATTTAATGCACAAAAAAAGTGGAGTAGAAAACTAAAAGTTATCTTTTAAATTATGCTCCACAGGACATGCAAGCGTCACCATTTTCACGTGAACAAGCTAAAACTGACTCATAATCATCAACCTTTGTTTCTGGTTGCTTAGCAGCCACATTAGTAACTGTATTATCAATAGCACTAGATTTCTGTAATCTTGTTTTGTCAACAGTGAATTGTAATGCATTTGCTGCAGGTTTCGTGCGTAGATAATACATTCCAGTTTTCAAGCCCTGCAAAAATATATATAAATAGAAAATTAAATTACATAAAAAAAAAAAATTCATAATTATCTTCCAAAAATAATATTTACAAACGTAACAAAAATAATAAGACAATCCATTTATGTGTGTATTTACTAAAATGATAAAAGTACATTACCATTTTCCAACCGTAGAAATGCATACTAGTTAAAGTTTCGGTCGTTGGTTTCAACATATGGACATTCAAAGACTGTGATTGATCAATAAAAGCACCTCGATCTGCAGCCATTTTTAAAATTGTTTTTTGTTTTATTTCCCATACAGTTTTATACAATTCTTTTAAATCCTCTGGAATTCCGGCAATACCCTAAAATAAAAAGCTGTATTATAATTTTATTCTTACACATTTACAAAAAAAAATTCATTTATTACATAGTGTATGTATCTTCATTAAAAAAATAAAAATTCTATTACTAATTTTCAAAAATATGTCTTTAATCAAACCTGAAAAAACTATTAGTCCAAATCACTTTTTTTTGCATATATATCGTTATTTAAAAATTATAGTAATAGAATATCAAACACAAATGCGTTTCATGTTAAGTGACATTTAATATTTAATTTATAGTACCTGAACCGATCCATTGTTAGCAATAATTTCATTTTTCATATCTTCGTCCCAGAGATTTTTTTCAGTTAAATCTTTCAAAAGATGAGGGTTAACAATTTGAAACTCTCCTGAAAGAACGCGTCTTGTATATATATTGCTTGTGTAAGGTTCAATTGATTCATTGTTGCCCAAAATTTGTGCCGTTGAAGCTGTAGGCATTGGAGCAATCAATAATGAATTACGCACTCCATGTTTTGCGACTTTTTCCTTTAAAACTTGCCAATCCCAAAGATTACTTGGTGTAACATTCCACATGTCATATTGGAAAATCTAAAAATTTTTATATTACACATTGCGGCGAGCTATCATGTGAAAAGTTATTATGTATTTCTTATTTCAACAATCACTTACCCCTTTACTAATAGGACTTCCTTCATATGTAGAATAGGGACCTTTTTCTTCAGCGATTTCGCAACTAGCCTCCAGAGCTCCGTAATAAAGAGTTTCAAAAATTTGGATATTTAACTTTTGAGCTTCTTCACTCTCAAATGGAAAACGCATCAACAAAAATGCATCTGCTAAGCCTTGTATTCCAATGCCTAAAATACAAAACAAGTTATTTGCAGTTTAAAAACAAAAACTGTCTAACAAGGTGAAGAAAAGAGTTATTTAAAAATTTTAAATTTTCCTCTCTGCATGTAATGGGAGGTTTTATCATGATCTTACCGATTGGCCTGTGTCTGAAATTAGATCTCTCAGCTTCGGGTACAGGATAATAATTATTGTCTATAATTTTGTCCAAGTTTTTAGTAACAATTTTGGTTATCTCTTTCAGCTTTATAAAGTCAAAAGTTCTACTATTAGAATTGACAAACATGTTAACAGCAATAGATGCCAAATTGCAAACAGCTACTTCATCTGGACTAGAATATTGAATAATTTCAGTGCAGAGGTTACTGCATTTTATAGTTCCAATGTTTTGTTGATTTGATTTTCTATTGCAGTGATCTTTGTAGAGCATGTAAGGTGTTCCGGTTTCAACTTGCGAAATCAAAATTGCGGTCCAAAGGTCACGCGCTTTAATTTGCCGTTTAAATTTCCCTTCCATTTCGTATTTTGTATAGAGATCGTCAAATTCTTCTCCCCAAACATCTGCAAGTCCTGGAGATTCACGAGGACACATCAGAGTCCAAATTCCGTCGTCCATAACACGTTTCATAAATAAATCCGGAATCCAAAGCCCATAAAATAATTCTCTTGCACGATATTCCTCTTTTCCTAAATAAATAAACATGTTATTTATTTAATATAAAAATAATTAATACATGATTTTTGGAGATAAATGTAATGTAGGTACCAGTATTTTTCTTTAGGTCAAGAAACTCTAAAACGTCAGCATGCCAAGGTTCAATATAAATTGCAAATGCTCCTGGTCTTTTGTTGCCCCCTTGATCAACGTATCGAGCGGTACTATTGTAAACTCTAATCATAGGAACAAGACCATTAGATTCTCCTTGCGTTCCTGCGATGCGAGTCCCCTTAGCTCTGATACAATGAACGTTGACGCCAATTCCACCGGCAGATTTACTTATAAGTGCACATCTTTTCAATGTGTCGTATATGCCTTCAATACTGTCTTCAGACATAGTCAAAAGGAAACAACTGTAAAGAAAAGTTTAATAAATAACAAATAATAAATGAAATGCAACAATCGCTATTAAAGTTTAATTCACCTTGACATTTGTTCTCTCAAAGTGCATGCAGAGAAAAGTGTCGGTGATGCATGAGTGAAATATCGTTCAGATAAATAATTGTAGGTCTCGATCACTCTGTCGACATCTTCACGGTGAATAGCTACTGCAACTCTCATTAACATCTGCTGGGGCCTTTCAACGACTTTTCCATTAATTTTAAGTAAATAACTTCGCTCCAGTGTTTTGAATCCAAAATAATTATAACTAAAATCACGATCGTAGATTATAGCTGAATTCAATCTTTCTGCATGTTTCTGAATAATGTCGTAGCATTCTTTATTAATCATAGGCATTGATTCTTTGGTATTTTTATCGACTCTCTCATATAAGTCAGTTATGACCTCTAAAAAAATAAATATTGCATTTCACACTTTGCTATTAAATTTATTTCGACAGAAAAAATTCCCTCTCTAACTTACCGCTGAAAGCCTTTTTAGTTTCTTTATGAAGATTTGAAACTGCAATCCTGGCTGCTAAAATTGCATAATCAGGATGTTTAGTCGTCATTGTTGCCGCAGTCTCGGCTGCAAGATTGTCTAATTCAACAGTTGTTACTCCAGAGTAGAGGCCATTAATTACACGGAAAGTAATAGCAGGCTGAGAAATAAAATAATATTGTAATACTATATATATCATTACGAAACTTTTATAGTCCAGAAAATTTGAGACACCACAATAAAATTTTCACTTATTCTCGTCTAACAAAAAAACAATACATTTCAATCTTATCAAGGGGATATATTTATGGAACGTTAAAATTGTCACAATAAATTTAATATTAAATCTATACTTTCATCAAAGTGTTTTGCTTTCAAAGTTTAAGCAATCTATATATTTTAATAATTTTTTACTTTTATTGTGCTTTGTGAGTTAATCAAATGTGTAAAGATGAACATTAATTTTTAATTCACCAATAAAGCATCTAAAAGATGATGTTGAATCAAAATGTAATTAGAAATTAAATTCTATTGTTTTGTTTCAAAAATCCTAGCCCTCAATAAATACAAATATAACTCACTGGATCCACATAATCCATGTCTAAACCATAGCAAAGCTTTTGAATTCTTGAAGTTATTTTATCAAAATGCACCTCCTCTTTAAGACCATCTAAAAGAAAAAAAATGAAATTTTATAAATCACCATAACAAAAGAATGAAATTGTACATGATATTAGTGTTTAAATTTTATTAAAGTATATAAAAGAAAAATAGAAAATCAATGAAATAGGATTTATTTTTAGACAGGACAAGAGCAATAAAAACTAGATCGATTTTTTTATTGCAAACAATTAAAAACTAATAAACTTTTTCATAAAATCAATTATCAAATGTATTTAGGATATAAGTAGATAAATAATAAATTAAAGTTATTAAAATTAATATCGAAAGGTAAAATTATTTTATAAATATTTCAACAAGTTTGACAAATGGAAAAAATAGATAAGTCCAAATAAGAAATACATACTTCGTTTTAAAACGAACATCTTGCCCTTTGCAACCATTTTTAAATACACAATTTATTAAAGAAATTAAAATAACACAATTTTTAACAGACAATTAATTTTTCTATATTCAGTCACACGAGGTTGAATGCTGTATAATGGTTTTGGCGGGATCTCAGGTAATAAGCGCGGGCTAAATTATCAGTTATTGGCGTGGTTACTAAAAAACAGGTTAACGTATCGCTTACAGCTGCATTCACAACAACTTTTTTCGCATCACTGAACTCTATGGCCGTTTCCGAATTGGGATTTTTAGCGTACTTTTGATAAAATGTATACTCGGGAAGTATGTAGACACTTCATACTTCCCGAGTATACATTTTACTAAAATTGCGCTAAAAATCCCAATTCGGAAAAGGCCTATATCTTCTTCTTTTTTGTGGCTTCGACTAGTCGGCCTATATCTGAAATGATGTCTGCCGGTCTGCCATTGAAAGTCGCGAGACGAGAGAGAGAGGTCTGATTTCTGTAGGCCTAGATTCCTGTATTCCCTTCTTTGTCGGTACAGGTCCATTAGAAAATATTTAAGGGTATGGTCACACCTTGGTCGATAGCGAGACTACCTGTCTGTCATGTAATATAAAGTACAAGAGTGAGAGAAATAAAAAAATGTTCTTATTTCTCTCACTCTTCTACGTTATATTACATGACAGACAGGTAGTCTCGCTATCGACCGAGGTGTGACCGTACCCTTAAATATTTTCTAATGGACCTGTACCGACAAAGAGGGGAATACAGGAATCAGACCTCTCTCTCGGCTCCCGAATTTCGATGGCAGACAGCATATTTAATTATTCCCATATTTAATTATTTTTATATATATATATATTGTACTTGTACTTGTACTTGCACTTGTACTTGGCTTTTGTATCTATTCTGGAACCGCCTTTAAGTCGGGTGCCAAAGTGTGACCTTACCCTTATACTTCACGCTTCTCGAACTCTTGTGCATTAGCCTTTAAAGTATTGCACGCCCAGTACGCATTCATTCTTATAACTGATCATCCACTGTAAGTTAATTTTGCTATAATTAATTCTGCAGTTTTTAGTTAATATAAAATATTTATTATAATATACTTATTTTTTATAAAAAATATAAATTTAACAAAACAGTAATACATTATTGGTAATGTAAATGACCAAATTTTTTATCTTCAAATTTGTGATTCTCAGTGAACCACAAACAGCCACGTGTCTAATAGGTAATTTTTAGTTTACTGCTTTTTCAATTTTTATTACAAACAATACAAAATTAATATAAAGAAAACAAATATGATGACAATCTATACCTAAATTAATGAAGTCGTGATTTTGAAAAAAACATGCACTACCAACTGACTCGTCATTTAAATTACTACCCTTCTATATTGTTAAGAAGAAGGTTTGTAATACACTTTTATTGTTTCAGGCAGCCTTGTGGACTATTTGTTGCATCCCAATGGAATTACAAAAAAGCTACCACAAGAGAAGCGAATTGTAAGTATCTTGTACATGTGAGGCATTCTCTTTCAAACCGTACCACCTGCAAAAGAGTATCGCGTGTAGAACACTTTTCATATATAATTTAATTTATTTTAAAAAATTTTAATATAATCATGTATGTGTTATAAACTGTTTCTTTTATGAAAACATAATCAATGTGAAAAGAAAACAAAATGATGATAAAAAATACATTATTATATGAAGTCGTGATTTTAGACGAAACATGCACTACCAACTGACTATTTTCAAATAATTACAATTAATGGGCTTGTTAGTAAATTTATATATTATACAGTTGTAATTTTTTCAGATGGTATTATCGCAGACATCATGTTGATTACAAAAGTTGGATGTGGTAAGTGACTTATCACCCTTACGTATAATCAATATAAAATGAGTATAAATGATGATAATGTTTACCTAAATTAATGAATTCGTGATTTTAGACGATACATGCACTACCAACTGACCATTTTCAAATTATTAGTTAGTGCCATTGTTAGTAAATCTAAATACAAAGCAGTTGTAATTTATTGTTTCAGGTGCTACTTTCGCAAATACAATGTTGCTGCAGAAGGATGAACAAGGTGAGTGACTCATCTGCCGTACGCATAATCAATATAAAATGAGAATAAATGATGATAATGTTTACCTAAATTAATGAATTTGTGATTTTAAATGATACATGCACTACCAACTGACTAGTTTCAAATTATTAGAGTTAATGTGCTTGTTAGTGAATTTATATATTATACAGTTGTAATTTTTTCAGATGGTATTATCGCAGACATCATGTTGATTACAAAAGTTGGATGTGGTAAGTGACTTATCACCCTTACGTATAATCAATATAAAATGAGTATAAATGATGATAATTTTTACCTAAATTAATGAATTCGTGATTTTAGACGATACATGCACTACCAACTGACCATTTTCAAATTATTAGTTAGTGCCATTGTTAGTAAATCTAAATACAAAGCAGTTGTAATTTATTGTTTCAGGTGCTACTTTCGCAAATACAATGTTGCTGCAGAAGGATGAACAAGGTGAGTGACTCATCTGCCGTACGCATAATCAATATAAAATGAGAATAAATGATGATAATGTTTACCTAAATTAATGAATTTGTGATTTTAAATGATACATGCACTACCAACTGACTAGTTTCAAATTATTAGAGTTAATGTGCTTGTTAGTGAATTTATATATTATACAGTTGTAATTTTTTCAGATGGTATTATCGCAGACATCATGTTGATTACAAAAGTTGGATGTGGTAAGTGACTTATCACCCTTACGTATAATCAATATAAAATGAGTATAAATGATGATAATTTTTACCTAAATTAATGAATTCGTGATTTTAGACGATACATGCACTACCAACTGACCATTTTCAAATTATTAGTTAGTGCCATTGTTAGTAAATCTAAATACAAAGCAGTTGTAATTTATTGTTTCAGGTGCTACTTTCGCAAATACAATGTTGCTGCAGAAGGATGAACAAGGTGAGTGACTCATCTGCCGTACGCATAATCAATATAAAATGAGAATAAATGATGATAATGTTTACCTAAATTAATGAATTTGTGATTTTAAATGATACATGCACTACCAACTGACTAGTTTCAAATTATTAGAGTTAATGTGCTTGTTAGTGAATTTTTATATTATACAGTTGTAATTTTTTCAGATGGTATTATCCCAGAAACAATGCTGTTTGCTGAAGTTGGATGTAGTGAGTTGAGTGGTATTTTCCTTGGGCGTAATGAATATAAAGAGAAACCAAATGAGTATAATATTCAACAAATTATCATAATATACAGGGTGTTCAAAAAGTATGGAAACTTGCAAATATATCGAAAAGTTTGCATTTTCGTGAAAAATATTCAACACAAAAGTTGTTCCCAACAAAAAGACCTACATTTTTGTATCCAAAAAATTGGGCCCGGGACCCAAAAGTAAAAAAAGGAGTTTCACAAAAATTCGTACTTTTCGAGATATTTACAAGTTTTCATATACTTTTTAAACACCCTGTATATCCTAGTACATGACGGCATGATTTTAGACTAAACATGTACTACCTACTGAATTTATATCATATTATATACTTTTTTCTTATGTTATAAATAGAATTTCAATGAGATCTTATTATTTCAGACTCCCCAAGGGCGATAATCTGTTATACTTCGGAAAGAACTGCCGTTGACCGGTAAAGTTTTACAAAACTAATATAGCCGTTTACTTAAATTCTTAAATTTAAAACTCATTTTCTGAAAATGAACGAAATCTGAAAAAAAAATATGCCTACACACACCTAAAACCACATTTCATATTTAAAAAATGAGAGATTTATAATTTTTTACTATTGTATGATATTTTTATTTTTTTGAATAAATTAATATTCTTCAAAATTTGTACTTGTTCAGAATCATGAGAAAAGCGTAGAAAAAATTTGTTGATGAAACTTACAAGTTTCAGACAAAATTTATATTACGTACGCATTTGATTGATTTAAAAAAAAATTTCTGTTTTAGAAATGTCTTAATTTCTTGAACTTTTGCGATCAAACTTTCATGATTTTTAAATAATTGAGAAGCTAAATCGAAGAACCGACGCTTCACTCGGATCGGACGCGTTAATACCAGTCGGGTAACAGTGAGCACCTCCGGGCCACACACTGTTACCCGACTGGTATTAGCGCGTCCGGTGCGAGTGAAGCGTCGGTTCTTCGATCCAGCTCTTCAATTGATTATGAATAATTCTAATTTCGTACAAAAAGAAACTTTTAATTATTAAAATAAACCCAAGAAAAGTATTCTTAAATTTTTAATAAAGAAGTATCTAACCTTAACAACGAAATCAGAAATTTTAAGATAATAATTTATAGGTACGATTGAAAAATTAGATTTAAAATTTCTCTGAAATTTGACCTTGAAAACCTGAAATGTCAATTACTGATTTTAATATGAACCCTGTCTAAGAATATTTAGTATTGAAAACTTTTATATTATGAGATTAATATATTCAAATACTAAACATTTGTAATATTTAGGCACATTTTACAGTTTCGTAAACGGTTGCTTCTGCTAGTCCAGAAAAGTTATAATACATTCAATGTATTGCATAGATAGCCTTGTTGACCACTTTTCAGAAAAATCAGAGTTGTAATTAAACATAGATAGTTATATTTTCGGAATTTTATCCATACATATTTCCTTATTTGTTGTAAAATCTAGAAAATAAAAAGAAAAACTTTTTTAATGATTTAATGTAAAAATAATAATTAATTATCAAGTACCATAACTAAAAATTACCTACTAGATAACTATATTTTCTCCGTGACAGTTCGTGTGTTATGGAAATTAATTTTTTCAGGTTTAAAATTTATTTGTATGATCCTGAGAATGAACATGAACAAGTAAAAGTCATTCACACACGAACATGTTGGAGTAAATATTTTCAAACTCAAAATTCTCTCAAACATGTATACTCACTCATATTTTTGTAAATATTTTTGTGCATTTTCTTTGTAATCCATGAACAAGACTTTGTCATTGTTCTTGTGCAAGTACTTACATATGCCCAAAAATAAAGATGTTACAGCAAAGGACAATTTGTGAGAAATAATATATTTATTTGAAATTAGTTTGTTTTTACCATTTTAAACAAATTTTGAACTTAAGGCTGAAAGATCAAAATTTAAATTCCTAAAGCTTGAAATCCGTTAAAATTTTAATATTTTAAAGGTATTTTATTTAAAATTTAACAACTTTTTCATTGAGCCATACACGGAAAAAATTAATTCAGTAGATTTTACAGAATTATCACGGAGTAGCGGATACAGCTCTTTACGAAACTGAGTGTTGTAAAATGTCACGAAATATTCAGGATAAACTCCAGAAATATTCAGTATAAACAACGAAATTTCTGTAGTTTATCCGAAAATATCCATCACATTTTACAAAACTCAGTTTCGTAAAGAGCTGTATCCGCTACTCCGTCACAGTTTTGTAAAATATACTGAATTAATTTTTTTCGTGTACAAAATTAAAATAAGGAATTTACTTAAGATTTTCTTTAAATATGTTGCTTCATTAGAAAAAATTTGAGGTTTTCATCGTGTTCCCAATTATAACTTAAAATATAGGTATACATTTATTTCCAATAGTAACTTCATGCTGTATGTCTCAGTAATGTATGTTATTTTTGTCATTTTAAGTTTGATTACTGTTAGCAACTATCGCATATATATGTATAGGGTCCTAAATGTAGGGTGACACCTTGGCACCAATTTATTAAACTTAATGCCTAGGGGGACTAATGTAGATCACAATATTGAGGCTTGTCGTCAGTGGCCTGCAAAAGGTTTGATACTTATTCTCTAATCTTGACTTGAAATTAATTTCTACAAATTTTTAACTTGGAATATGTTAATGTGCGTGAGTTTATTAATGAAAAAATTTTAGTTTTCTATCAAATAGTGCGAAATTATATTTATTATATTATTTGGTATATATACGAATATTCTTAGCACATCTAAAAAATTAGTAAAAACATAATATAATATTTTATATTATAACAAGACTCGAGAGTAGTATTTCATTCATGCAATACCTTCAAATAGGATAAAGTCTGTCAATATTAATAAAAATTGTGTATTTTTTCAGCATATTTTGCATAAGTACGTATAGTGGAACACAATTTTAAAGCTTTATTTCACATTTATTATGGCAATTGTACATCTTGTGTTTTTAATATCTCTTGCCTGCTTAATGATAAGGAAAGAAATTTTTTTTTAAATTATAAAGTAAAAATAGATCAAATAAATACGATATTAAGCATATCTGACTTGAAAGAAATATTACAAATGCTTTCTACCTTGCTCATGATGTTTGGGGTTCAAAATATAGTTGTTAAACAAACATTTGACTTTAAATGTTGCTTTTTTAACGATGTTTCGCAGTTGCACTTCTGTAAAAATGTCAGACAGTTCGTATAGTTGATTTCAAAAGACTTCTTATCGCAAAATCTGAAAAAATACCAGATATCCTGAATTTTTGTACTTTCATTTGCGCAAAAGAAATTGCAAATTTATTCTCGTATACCAATGAAAGTGCCATTGCGAAACTAATTTCATTTTTATATTTAATGATTGTAGAGTTTTTTAAACCATCATTTTAGTTTAGGCAGATAAAAATGTTATATAAATAGTTTTTTGAAAAAATTAATTTTAAATTATGTCATGGTATTAAAAAGCAAGAGTCAACGTCTTCATATATTAAAAGTAAACATCAATTTTCACCTTGTCCGACTTTACCTTTTTTAAGCTGTATTCATATATAAATCGACATTCATAATTTACTTCTATATTTTAGATAACAATGTCTTCGAGTAATATAACTGAAAGAAAACAGACAGATGTCTGTAAAGAAACCGAGTCGATTATTTGTAGCAAGGATGATGCAGATTTTCGATTCGAAGCAATCCACTGTCTACAGACTAGTGCTGTTATAAAAAATGATAATTTACCGGAACGTGGAGCATGGGGTAGCAAGGTAATTTTTAAAATAGGATTAAAAAAACTCAATATGAATACTTTTACTTTTCAATTGTAGGTACTCTTACACCTCGATGGCTACCTGCCTGCAGGAGTTATCATGGCAACGTATACAGGCAGCCACGAGGTGAGAGTGTACCTTATAACTTCATTTCCCTTAAATTAACCGCAGTATTTAAAATTTGAGAAACACTCGATAAAATTTACTACCTTAATCAACGATGCTTAAGAAAAACATTTTAAAAAAAAATTTGATTCAAGAATATCCATTTTAAAATGACGAATAGTTAAAGAAATAAAATTTCCCTTTGAATAATATAGAGTGTAGAATAAAGTGGGAGCAAGGTATCAAGTTCGGAAATTCTCAAAAGGTTTTTCCTTGCTGCCTGAAATTATTACACTTTCACACTAAACCTATATATATATATATATACATTACGCTGTTCGCTTAACTGGATATTACGTAAAAATGTAGCACCGCAATTTTCGTATGCTTTATAAGGTAACGATACTAAACACAAAAATATAATTGAAAAAAAACATGCACGGTTAAAAACTGACTAGATGGCGCTAAATTCGGCTTCAATCACGCTTCTAGAAAAAATATTATGTTTTATATAAAGCAAAATTAAATCCAAAGAATCTAGGTTTCTAACGAGAATACATTTATTAAATTAAGTTCGTTTTTGCCACTGTTACAAATTTCCAATTGCCAAACTTGCCAGCTGGCCCTACTACTATACCTATATTAAATATAACTTTTCTATTGGCCACTTACAATACAACCCAGCCAACTCATTTTTTCATTCACGTGAATGTACATTGTACATCATCTTGTACGAGGATTTTTAACTGGGAAACATATATTATAATGTAAATAAAATTTATATATTATTTACTAGGATATTAATTTCTTTTAGGTCGAGTTCATTTTGTCAGTTGTAGGATTGGCAATCGGATTAGGTAATTTATGGAGATTTCCATACCTTTGTTACAAAAACGGAGGAGGTGCATTTATGGTTCCATATTTTATTGCTCTTGCTTTGGCAGGGGTTCCTATGTTTTTAATGGAACTTTCATTAGGTCAAATGATGACAACAGGAGGTTTAGGAGTCTTTAAAATTGCTCCAATTTTTAAAGGTTTTTATAATTTTTTCTATTTCAACTTTTTTTGTTATTAAAATTGAAAATACGATCAGAATTCAATAATATTGCAGAATGACAAATTCTTTGTGCAAAACCAGCTTATAATCTCACTTCTTTAAAAATATACCAAACTTTTTTGTTTAATCGTTTAAAAAACTGATTAAATTTATAAAATCCTGCAGGGTCAATTTGTAACCATAGTTTCATACGACTATCTTGCATGCAGCATACATACATAATGACTTCACAAATCTTAGAAGCAAAAAAATATTTTTCAAGAATTGTTTCATCTGTGTTTAAAGAAAAAGCTTCATTGTATGTCAACTAAAAGAAATTTTTATTATGTCGTATGCTGATAAAAAAATCTGCTGTATAGTTAAATATAAAATAATATCAAGCAACAGTGTGTTACACGGGGGGTGGGGAGGGGGTTGAAAAAGGTTTAATTAGTATTATAAGCAATTTACCGAACGCCCCACAATAATAAGACGAAATAACATGTAATATTATTAATTGTAAGAATTCTAGACCAAATACAAATTTTTAATTTTCTCTATTATCCTCTCTAATTTAAAGTAATTATACTAACTATTTAATTTTACAAACTGCGTCACGCTATTTTGTACCCCCTTCCCCTCTAGAAGTATGACTTAGTTTGTGAATGATCCCAGAGTTGATGTTTTCTTGTCAATTTAATTGAAATATTTTATATTTTTTGTTATAACTAGATAAAAATTTATCAAAACAATTATTTTATATTCGCACCGCTGTGTTTTTAAAGGGTCTGTTCACAAAGTACGTAACGCTTTTTTTTGAAAATTTAACTCTTCCCCCCATCCCCCCATGTAACGCACAGTTGTATACATTAGCGCCATTTTTTTGTCTGATCGTAACAAATAGCTTGACCCCCCCCCTTGGAAGCGTTACATATTTTGTGAACAGCCCCTTAATAAGAAATAGTAATATTATACTTACATACAGGCTGTTCAAAAAGTATGGAAACTTGCAAATATCTCGAAAAGTACGCATTTTCGTGATACTTATTTTTTCACTGTTGGGTCCCGGGCCCAATGTTTTGGGTTCAAAAATGTAGATCTTTTTGTTGGGAACAATTTTTGTGTTTCACATTTTTCACGAAAATGCGTACTTTTCGAGATATTTGCATGATATTTTTAACAGGTTTTAATGGATTTGGATAAAATTTAGTAGGCTTATTTATCACATTAATCTCTCAAAAATAACGAGAGGATTTTTAAAAACACCCCAAAAAAAATTTTATCGTATTTTTTCCAAAAATTTTTTTTAATTGAAAAAATTTTTAAATAGAAAAATTTAAGGTAATATATAATATAATCGTCTTCCTTACATCAAGACGAATCGATTGGTATATATAAAGTATAGATTTGATTGAAATTTAAAGAATTAATGAAAGTTAATAAATCAAAAATTTACATTTTAGCTAATAAATGTTGTGTTTATTAAAAGTCAAGTTTATATATGAAATAATTGTACTTCTTGCATTGAAACGAATCGATTCGCACATATAGAGTATATGTTATACCCAAAATTAATTAAAATCTTCTTAATTTTTCAAAAAATTTAAGAAATTTAAAATAGTTTTCAACTCGAAATATGTTTTAAATCAATCAATTGCACTGGTGAAATTCATTGCTTCCCTTACGAGGAAGCAAATTTTTTGCTTCACACAATGAGGAAGCAAAATGTTTATGAAATAAATATAAAGGACCACCTCCTTGTTTAATAAATTACTGATTGCTTAAACTATATATAATAAATTTCTTTGATTATTTATTGACTTCTAATCAAAATAATAAAGAACAATTTGTAGGCAATATGCCCGACGTAATTCTAAAACTAAGAAAATTTTCTTCACAAAAAATATTCTTAATTTAAGAAGATCAGCTTCTTGATGTTAGAAAATATTCTTGACGACATCTGTTATTCCGCACTCGGATGGGATATATTATGGCTAAATGCAGACATTTTGTTTTCTCATTCTGATTAATTTATTATTTATTGTAGCTATCTGGTTGTTACTTATTTTAAAGATAAATATAGAAAATATGGTGTAGAAAAATCGAATAACCAATTAAAAATATTAATATTTATCGAATTTAATTTTTGAATTGTATCCGTATAATTTACCCTATGCTAATATGTACGTTTTTGTTAAATGTTAATATTTTAACTATAGGAATTGGATATGCAACATGTGTACTTTCATGCTGGACTAATATATATTATATTATAATTTTGGCGTGGGCTCTTTTTTACTTTTTAGTATCCCTTCGTGCTGGTAAGTATACATAATATTCATAAATTGCATTTTTGAATTTTTTTCCATGTAAAATTTAATAATTTAAATATTTCTACACGGAGAGAAAAATTAAGACTTTATAGTATGAAAGACTATACTGCTACTTTTGTATATGAACTTTTCTTACTATTGGAGCAAAGGTTTGAGAATTTTTAGTGTAATATTTGTCCGTACTAAAGATACATAGTATATATGCTTCTATAGTAAGAAAAATGTGTTTTAATAGCAACAACGCCGCGCAAAAATTTCACGTAGGCTCGTGTGTGCAAAGATCGTTCGTCCGACACAAATCGGATAGACCTACTCGCCAGTAGACCTTTTCATGCTGATCATTCTGTCCTCTTCCATCTCATGCGTCATTATATGCGCTAGATAAGGACAGAACGATCATCAGGAAAAGGTCTCTTCCAAGAGTCTAATACCGAAAAAGCATAGAAATTCTGCAATACGTGCAATCTCCGCGCGGCGCAGCTGTATTTAAACTAAAGTATAATAAGTAGATATACAATAAGAGGCTATATGACAAACTTTATAAGCATAGACAAGTTTCATGGTAAAAAGTTATAAGGTTATACTACATTTACTCAAATTTTACACCTATGTAGCATATAAAAGTTCTGCGCGTTAAATGTACACCTTCCTATACCACAAGAGGCAGATTTTTCTCTCCTTGTATCTTAGAGTTTTTTCAACCCATCAAATACTATGATATATTGTTAAAAAATTAATTTTTTTAATCTGTGGTTCTGGACTTTTGAACTATTTTAAGAAAAAAGTGGGCTCTCAAGAAAAGAAAGCTGCAGTTGTTCTTACCCTGTGGGCAAAAAACCATGTTCGTTCTAAAAACGTTTTAAGGACGTTCTTAGAACGTTTCATGTCCACCAAATAATGTTCTGGAACATTTTAAAAACATGGATGTTCAAATAATGTTCCAGAACATTATTTGGTGGACCGACCGGGCCATAAACACGGAGCTCGAGGGACGCATGCACCGCGGGGGGCCTAAGCAGCGTTCTCGGGCCTATACTTAATGACATTTTCTATTTATGGCCCCTAATGAGTTTTTCATGAAAATTATAAAATTTTTTAATATTAACAATTTTTAATTTTTTTTAACATATTCACATTCCTCATAATTTCACGATTACGAGCATGTGTTGTCCCAATTAAAAATGTTAATATTTAAAATATTTATAATTTTTATTGAATTATGTCGCCTGAATCCCCCAGTATCGATCCCGAATAACCTTTTTAATAAAAATTAAATCTTTTCAAATATCAAAATTTTTTCCCCTCATTTTTCTGCGATTCAGACATAATTTTTTTAAAAAAAAATGTTGAAATTTAAAAAGTTTTAATTTTTTTTAATCCCCCCACATACATTTTGAGCGCGTGTGCCTCTAGCAATGAAACAAAAGGCCATAGAACCTTTTATTTGGGCTTAAACTAAAATTTAAACTTTAAACTACAATCCCTCTCAAAATTGTTGGTAACCATTGTTTAAATAGCATCCTTTGTTGAAAGTAAACAATTTATTACTAATGACTTCTCAGCGTGCAAAGTTACAGAACAGTTCTGTAACTGTTCTATAACAAAAAAGAACAAGTTCTAGAACTGGTGAGGAACAGGTCAGTAAAAATGTTGTCCCCCTGGGGGCACAAAACAGTAACAGGATCTGTAACAATTCTAGAACAATGTTCTGGATCATTGTTCTAGAACAAATACGTATAACAATTTGATAACAAAATAAATTTTAAAAAATTTTAATTCTATAACAATTCTGTAACCGATCAATAACAATATTCTAGAATTACAGAACTTTTATTTGTATCAGTTTGATAAAAGTAAAATTGTGCATGACTTGTACATTGAGAAAACGATTTGTTTAAAGTATATAGTCAAAAGTTGGGTAAAATGGCTACACATGGGCATTTTTCTAATATTTAAAATTCTCTTGTATGTTTTTTAAAATATATTTCTTAAAGTGTGTTCAAACAGTAGTGTAAAGATTAAAACAAATGTTAGACCAAACTATAGAATGCATTTGATCATAAACTGATTTACTTTTGGTAGTTCAAAAGTTGAGTAAAACGTATGTCCCCACCACGCAACTTCTGCCAGGACTGAATGTGAAACTTTAGGCACCCGTAAACATTTTTTACTTAAACATTATTTATAAAACTTTTTAAAAATTTGTAAATAAGTTTACTAGTAGCATTTACTTTTAATAAAGTAGTTCAAAAAGATAAAAGTTAATAATTATCAACAATTATAGATTATAAAACCATATATATGTATTTTAACAGGGCGCCAAGTTTTTTTATTACGCACCTAAACCTGTCACACTAAAAAATGGGATTTCATAATAAGTCTTTTCATTTAATATTAAATATTTTATATATTTTATTATTATTAGTTTATTATTGTTTATTTGAAAATTAAAAAAAAATTATTTTAAAACTTTGCTTTTATGTTTGTCTTATTCACATGAAAAAATCTGTTATTCTATAAATTTCAATATAATTCATATTCTATTTAGTTATTTATTACAATATAAAATAAATTACTATTTCTTCTGCTAAATAATATTTAACTTTAATACAAAGTTGAGAAAAATTCGATCCTTGGAAGGAATAAAATAACATAAAAATGTAGGGGAGACTGGGGCAAACCGGCCATGTTAACAGTTGTAAGGCTCTAGTAACTAAAGAAACTAATGAAAAACCTTTTATAATAGCTTGTTGGAAAAGTCATCTAATTGCGCAACTTTTTCCTACAGACACATGTACCTTAAAATGTATTGTTTAGCTGCTGCATCAATTTTAAAAAAATTTGCAAACTGGCCGGTTTGCCCTACCCCTGAAGTAAATCGCGGCCACCCTTCTGGGGCAAACCGGCCAGTTTATTTTTGTTTGTTTGTTTAGAGAATTAATTGTAAGGAAAACGTCACTAAATATAAAAAAATCAATAAACAATCTTCTCAATAAGAAAAATAATAAGATAGGATTAAATTTCAATTAAAGAAACATCTTATTTATTATAAAACTAATATTTTCAACTAATTGTTGTCGTTCACGAAGAAACGTCTGTCGGTGAACTTTGTAAAACTTCGTAAATCTCCGGAAAGTGGACAAAGATTCACGAAACCGTGCACGCAGTTTTCTAGCCGATAAGTAATCTTCGTGAATTTCTGTTGCAAGAGAAACAGACATAGGCCGGTTTGCCCCACAGGCCCATTTTGACAATTAAGACCTGTATAAAAAAAGTGCTTAGTAAAATCATTAAATAATATACCGATAAATTTAACTGAGGCATGCACCATTTAAACCTAAAAAACAATTTTAATAAATATTACACGATTTTCTCACAAATTATGCTTATGAACAGATCCGTGAAAATTTCTAGCGGAAGCGAAGAAACAAACTTTTGTTTATAAAATTGCATAAACACAATTAAAAAATGTCAAACTGAAGAAATATGTTATTTTTAATATAGTCTTTTCAAATTTATAATTGATATATTTTAAAGTTTGACCTTTTCTGAGAAACTAACACCTGGCCGGTTTACACATGGCCGGTTTGCCCCAGTCTCCCCTATGTTATTAATGTTGTTTATTGACACAAAACCAAAAACGACGATTCGATGACTTGGTTCGTCATCATCTTCAGGTTAAATCAATAATTAGTTGAACCGTTACACCTTAGCGTTAGAAAATTTTATTTTGCTTAGACTAAGCTGGCACGTCAGGTTAATAGACCAGTATCGTCAAGACAATTGGAAACGATTTGTAAATTTTACATCAAAAATCTTCTTTAAGTTTATCGAATTAATTAAAATAGTAAAAAATTACTACTTAAAGTAGTAGTTTTAATCACAAAAGATTTGTTAATTCTACAACAAAAATGTTCTTAAAGCCTATTCTACCACTTTGAGTAGTAAAATCTACTACTTAAAGTAGTAGTTTTAACTGAAAACGATTTGTAAATTCTACATCAAAAATCTTCTTTAAGTTTATCGAATTAATTAAAATAGTAAAAATCTACTACTTAAAGTAGTAGTTTTAATTACAGACGACTTGTTAATTCTACAACAAGAATTTTATTGAAGCCTATAAAATCATAGAAATTAATAAAAAATTTACTACTCAAAAAGCAGTTATATTAATTAAAGAAAATAATTCCTTTTATTAAATTTCATATAACTGGTGAATAGTAGTTGGATTTAGTACTCTTCAAATTTTGAGTTGACTACATTCCACTTGTTTTTACAACCTTAAGAAAGTTAATTTTACTACAGACCTGTAGTTGTACTTTAACTACATGTTTACGTAAAAACAACTATTACTTATTAACTTCTTAAAAATAGTTACATTAACTACACTGTTAAAAATGTTCGTTTTACAACATTTTTAATATACCAATATATATTAAATTTAAGAAACTGTACTTTGAATTATATTAAGATACCTTTTTGTGGTAATATTAATATACTGGTGTCTTAATCCTGATGTTTGTAAATTTAATATACTTTTAATATACCACGGTATATTAACTTTAAAATACATGTACTCTAAGTTAATGTAATGTACATCTATATATAGTAATATTAATACATTAGTGTATTAATGCTTTATTTATCCTAAATTTGTACGTGTCTTATATGTTTAAAAGAGTAGTTATTTTAATGATTTATTTTCAACTTTTACGTTTTGTATTGAATCAAAAATTTATTTGATTAAAATATTTGATATCATTAAATATCACAGAAAAAACCTGGTTTCAAATTAAGTATAAATTCCATACTCAATTTGATTCGCAGCAAAAATGAAACTGGGATAATTATCAAATTAAATATGGAATTTTATTCATACTCAATTTGAAACTAGGTTTTTTCAGTGATTAATCGACTATTTGATTAGCTTTTATCAAATAAATATTAATTTGTATTTTTTTTTTAGTAATGCAATTATATTATTTTTAATTAATTTAATAATTACTACAATATTACTTATTTTAATTAAATATTTATTTGACATAATAGTCAAGTGGCAGGTTGTTTGAATCAAATAAATTGTTTTCAGTGTACAACTTTAAAAGTTTACTTAAAAAATTTTTTAAATTCGCTTCTATTAAATATACTTACACAATTTTTTCCCCTGTAGTTTTAAGGTTAATAATGGTATAGATTCAAATGACTTTACACTAAATTTCGTTCATTTTCATTTTAAATATTTATTTAGTTGAATTTCACAACAGTTACCATCCATAAATAAAAAAATTAGTACTTTTTCAAAGAAAAAATAATACATTTGTTTGTATAAAAATATTTCTCTTTCAAGTTGTTGATAAGAAAAGTGTAAACATTTTTCAGACGAAAAAAAAATAAGAGGTGAATAAACAGCATTTGTGATAAAAGTTACAAATCATCTTTGTCTAGTTGCATTATGCAAAAAGTTAATATTCAGCAACAATAATTTCTTTAAATATTTATCAAAAATTTATTTCAAAGCATTTCTTTTTTTTAGAACATTCTTATTACTGTATAATGTAAAATTATGGAAGAATTGGATGATTTTAGGTAAATTGTAAAAAGAAATTTAAATTACGACAATATTGTCTATATCTTATTACTTCAAATACTTTAAATGGGATTAGAAAATTTTAAATTAATAAAAATTGCAACTATCTAGGTAAAGTAGAAAAAATATTAATAATTAGAGACACTAATTGTATTTTAAATAAGTAATAAATTTTTATTTTAAATATATCTTTAATTTTGTATAATAACTAAATCGAAATGTTTAAATATTTTACACAATCTTATGTCTTCAGCAGTTACAGTTTATATGGACAGTGCGAATATTAACTTCTAATTCGGTTATTTAGTCGCGGTAGTTAAAGCGTCAGCGTTAGGTCTTAGATTAGGTAGGTGGGCCTGGGTTCAATCCCCGTAGGGTTCAAATTTTAATTTAATTCTGAGATTCGAACGTAAAAGATACAAGTAGATAAAATTATAAATGATAGTATTAGTTATAATTAATGTTTATTTTTATTAATTGTTTAAATTATTTTTTTTATAATCATTTTAGCATGAGATTTTGATGTTTTAAATTTAATATACCGGTATATTAATATTAATATACCGCAGTAAATTAAATTTAATATACACAAATATATTGATATTAATATAACTGTGTATTAATATCACAACATTGTGGTATATTAAATTTAATATACGGTATATGCAAATTGCTTCATATACAAGTATATTAAATTCCCCATGGATATTTTTAACAGTGTACATGAACATGATTAGATTAACTAAAACAGTAGTTATTTTAACTACTTTCTAGTCAATGGTAGTTGAATCTCTCGGCAACATTTTTTTCAGTGTACATAAAAACATTAAGTTCAGTTGTTTTTCTGCAACTATCAAAAATTGGTTTTTTCAACTACATAAATCATAAAAATTACTATTTTTAACACTTATTTTGACTACATGAAAACAGTAAGTCTAATTTTTTTCTTCAACTAATAAGTAATGCTTCTTTCAACTACAGAAATCCTAAAAATAACAATTTTTAACAGTAGTTGTAACTATTTAAGTGTTGTAAAGCCATTTAAAATCACATGACAGTTATTTCAACTACAAATATTAGTAATTTTAACTAAGTGAAATTAACTGTATACTAAAATTTTTGTACCACCAACTGTCTAAGTTTAGTTAAAATGGTTCTGAATATGGTACTTTTAACTGCTTTATTTTTAAAAACACATTTTTAGTCATTTTTACCAATGTCATTTCTTTGTGTGAAAATTGTAACACTTGTTCTAGAACAAGTTACACTTTTTGTTCTAGAACAGTTACATAATGTGCACATTGGGTTAGAGGTTCTATATAAAACTTTCGCATTTAAAAAATTTCTCAAAAACGACTTGAGATTTGACGATCACACAGGTGGACTACTTTAAAAAGGTTAATTTTGTCCTGAACCACATGTGAAACCTATTTTTTAAAAATAAAAAACAATTTTTTAACTAAATAATTATTTATTTGTATTAACAACAATTTTTATACAGATGTGCCATGGAGAACATGTGATAATTCTTGGAATACACGACTTTGCATAAGTGCAGGAGAACGACTGAACACACTGTGTTGGAAAGAAAATAACGATACAATATGCTCTACACCACTAGGAAATGTTAGCCACTCTATAATGAAAGACCCAGTGAAAGAATTTTGGGAGTAAGTAATGTCTCTCTTGACTGACAAGTAAACTTTAAAATTTTTTAATGCGGGCAGAATAAAGCGATAAAGCTGTGGTGAAACGTAGAATGAACAGAATTCTATATAATATGATATTTACCCAATGGGAAATAAACGATTGGTTTAATAATGGCCCAATAATGGGAGCCATTCGTTCCAATATTGTTGCAATGATGGCACACAATATTGGACCGCGATTGGTAAAATCTTGGGATGATCACGATGTTGCCAATCATTGGTAGCCAATGTTGTTTCATCATTGGCTGCCAAGAAAAAAATCGGTTTCTAAAAAGCTTGGTTATTAATTGGCTACCAAGATTGGACCATTATTGGAAGCCGATCGTTGGTTTTCAATAATGGTCCAATCTTGGTAGCCAATTAATAACCGAGCTTTTCAGAAACCGATTTTTTTCTTGGCAGCCAATGATGAAACAACATTGGCTACCAATGATTGGCAACATCGTGATCATCCCAAGATTTTTTTAATCGTGGTTCAGTATTGGGTACCAATAGTTCGAGAAAAAAATAAATTTCACACATTACAAAAAAAGATAGTTAAAATATCTTCAACCAATAAAAAGGGAAGAATATTTGCAAAGTGCGAACAAAATTGAACTGAATCCTTGACGACAAGGGAGGCTATTCTTATAGTGTTAAGGAAACATCTTGTTAGTGAGCAGAAACGACTACCGCACACCCTATACGTTACTTGTCGGAATTATTTCCATGCGCGTATGTTTTTGCGCAGCGCGGGGATTTTCAAATATCATTAGAAACATTGTAAGAAAGATGTAATAAATTTTTATTACAATACATTAAAAAAAATTAATTTAATTAAATGAACGAAAAGTGATCTAATTAAACGAATCAAAAATTTATTGATTTTTAAAATTCAAGTTTTTTAATTTGACTGTGTTTAAAATTCATTTGAAATAAAATCTAAGTATTTTGAAATTTACTTTTTTTTTAATTAAAATGTTTATAAAAATTTATTACTACTTTTAATTTTATTTCTATGCAAATTCAATTACCTATTTTATAAATTTAATATTTTCTATTTTAATTGTGTTTAACTTCAATTACATTAAAATCTAATTGCTTGGCAATTTACCTTTCAAATTTTAATTATTATTTTATTTTTCAATTCAAATGTTTTTAAAAATTATTTACTATTTTTAATTTCATTAACATGAAAATTTAATTTTATTATAAATTTAATCTTTTTTATTTTAATTATTTATAAATTTAATTACAAAAAATACAATTATTTTGCAATTCAATTGTTTTTAAAAATTACAATTTTATAGTTAGTCAAAGTGAATTATTATAAATTCATCCTTTTTATAGTAATTGTTATATAATTATTTTATAAATAATATTTTAATTGTGTTTAACTTCAATTACATTAAAATCTAATTGCTTGGCAATTTACCTTTCAAATTTTAATTATTATTTTATTTTTCAATTCAATTGTTTTTAAAAATTATTTACTATTTTTAATTTCCTTAACATGAAAATTTAATTTTATTATAAATTTAATCTTTTTTATTTTAATTATTTATAAATTTAATTACAAAAAATACAATTATTTTGCAATTCAATTGTTTTTAAAAATTACAATTTTATAGTTAGTCAAAGTGAATTATTATAAATTCATCCTTTTTATAGTAATTGTTATATAATTATTTTATAAATAATAAAATTAATTATAATAATTTTGCAGAAAAAAATGTAGTAAAGCGTCGAATTTATGTAATTGGAATTTTATGTTTTTAAACAGCATTTTGTAAGATATAAAATAAAATGTGAATTGTTTACTAATTACCATTAATGGAATGAAGGGAAAAAAGAGAGAAAAATCATGATTTTAAATGTTTTACTTTTGAATAAAATTGTAATTTTTAAAAACAATTGAATTGCAAAATAATTGTATTTTTTGTAATTAAATTTATAAATAATTAAAATAAAAAAGATTAAATTTATAATAAAATTAAATTTTCATGTTAATGAAATTAAAAATAGTAAATAATTTTTAAAAACATTTGAATTGAAAAATAAAATAATAATTAATATTTGAAAGGTAAATTGCCAAGCAATTAGATTTTAATGTAATTGAAGTTAAACACAATTAAAATAGAAAATATTAAATTTATAAAATAGGTAATTGAATTTGCATAGAAATAAAATTAAAAGTAGTAATAAATTTTTATAAACATTTTAATTAAAAAAAAAGTAAATTTCAAAATACTTAGATTTTATTTCAAATGAATTTTAAACACAGTCAAATTAAAAAACTTGAATTTTAAAAATCAATAAATTTTTGATTCGTTTAATTAGATATTTAAATAAAAAGACTTTTTCAGCCCAAAAAAATTTTTGTCGGAAATATTTTAGGGCAATTTTAAATGTTGAAAAAATATTTTATGTATACATATAATAAAAAAATAATTAATATGTAAGTATATATTATATATATATATATATATATATATATATATATATATATATATATATATATATATATTTGTGTTATTTTTTCGTTCATTTAATTAAATTAATTTTTTTTAATGTATTGTAATAAAAATTTATTACATCTTTCTTACAATGTTTCTAATGATATTTGAAAATCCCCGCGCTGCGCAAAAACATACGCGCATGGAAATAATTCCGACAAGTAACGTATAGGGTGTGCGGTAGTCGTTTCTGCTCACTAACAAGATGTTTCCTTAACACTATAAGAATAGCCTCCCTTGTCGTCAAGGATTCAGTTCAATTTTGTTCGCACTTTGCAAATATTCTTCCCTTTTTATTGGTTGAAGATATTTTAACTATCTTTTTTTGTAATGTGTGAAATTTATTTTTTTCTCGAACTATTGGTACCCAATACTGAACCACGATTAAAAAAATCTTGGGATGATCACGATGTTGCCAATCATTGGTAGCCAATGTTGTTTCATCATTGGCTGCCAAGAAAAAAATCGGTTTCTGAAAAGCTCGGTTATTAATTGGCTACCAAGATTGGACCATTATTGAAAACCAACGATCGGCTTCCAATAATGGTCCAATCTTGGTAGCCAATTAATAACCAAGCTTTTTAGAAACCGATTTTTTTCTTGGCAGCCAATGATGAAACAACATTGGCTACCAATGATTGGCAACATCGTGATCATCCCAAGATTTTACCAATCGCGGTCCAATATTGTGTGCCAATAGTTTGACAAGAAAAAAACGATTGGAAACCATTCTTGGCCCATTATTTGTCCAATCGTAACCAATGGCAATTTCCCATTGGGTACTGAGAATTGAAAGTTGTTTGTTTCGAAGGGTGCAAATTGGAACCACTTTTAAGTTTGCACTCAAAAAAATTCTTACTAGATTACCTCCATGAAGTTGGCGTCGACGCTCAGCGTCGAAATTTGTTTTTCACTGGACCAAAAAAAAAACTAATTATTTTTAAAAAGGTTTTGACACTTTTTATCCTGTGAAAAGGATACACCAACTTCATGGAGGTAATAAATTTGACTACTTTTTAACTACTCTGCGCGTAATTGAATTTAATTTGAATTGCCTACCATTAAAGTATAGTTGAAGCAACTAAGAACGTAGTTGCAATATAAATTTTTGAAAATGACTTTCAGACAGTCTATTTGCATGTATTCCTCTACCATTTTATCCAAGATTCAACAGAATCGGAACTTTGATTTTTTATGCAAGGTGTGACTCAACAAAATTAAATAAGTGACTTTTTTTAAAAAGCCCTCTGACGATTTTTGTTATTTTTGCTTTAAAATTCGAAATTGATTATCAATTTACAGAATTTTGATTCAAATTTACTTAAAACTAAATTTTTTAGTAAAGTGAACTGCTACTTATTAACTTCATAAAAAATAGTTAAATTAATTAAACACACAGAATTAAACTATAGGGTAAGTCCGGGGGAGTTGGCCATAGTTTTTTTAAAGGTCTGTAAAAATAAAAACAAAGTGATTTATGTATTAACTTTTATTGCTATGATTAAATTTATTTATTAAATTTATGATTAAATTCAGTGCAATTTTCATAAACGCTGTCTGTCTGTTTGTCTCACCAACACAACAAGGCTACAAGGATTTTTTTTGAGATACCAGAGTGGTTTCCAATTTATTTTTGTGTCCTGAACACGATTACGGGTTCCAAAATTGCGTATCACGTCTAGATTTTGCGAGTAAAGTGGAGGTAATGTCTCCAAAAACCGTGTTTTGAGTGTTTTCAGTATTTTTTTTCCTTAACCTGACGTGATAGAGACTTTTATATAGGCTTAAATTAAAGCTCACATCTTACACTTTAAAACACATAGGTATGCGCAAGATAAAAAAATTTAAATTTTGAAAAAATTAGGTTCAAGTCACTTAAAAAGATTTTTGGGGGAGGCGCATGAATATTGCCCAATTAACATGTGACATAAATGTCAATTAACCGAAATGCATATGACACACATGTCATTTGACCATAATGACATGTTACAAAAATGATGAATTTGACATAAATGACATTTATCAAAATTGACATTTGACATAAATGACAATTATCATAATTGTCATTTAACATAAACGATATGTAACAAAAATGTCATTTGACATGAATGAAATTTATCAAAAATGTCGTTTGACATAATAATGAAATTCTTCATAAATGTCATTTGTCATAAATGACAATTATCAGAATTGTCATTTGACATAAACGACATGTATCAAAAATGTTATTTGACATAAATGACAATTATCAAAAATTGTTATTTGACATAAACGACAATTATCAAAATTGGCATTTGACATAAAAGACATTTATTAAAATTGGCATTTGACATAAAAGACATTTATCAGAATTGTCAATTGACATAAATGACAATTATGAAAATTGTCATTTGACATAAACGACATGTAACATAAATGACATTTGACATAAATGAAATTTATCAAACTTGTCTTTTGACCTAAATATACTAGCGCGATTTTCAAAATTGACCAATAAAAAGCTATTATTAAAATTGTGATTGGTCAATTTTGAAATTCATGCTACAATATTTATGTCAAATGACATTTTTGTTACATATCGTTTATGTTAAATGACAATTATGATAATTGTCATTTATGTCAAATGTCAATTTTGATAAATGTCATTTATGTCAAATATCATTTTTGTAACATGTCATTATGGTCAAATGACATGTGTGTCATATGCTTTTCGGTTAATTGACATTTATGTCACATGTCAATTGGGCAATATTCATGCGCCTCTTTTGGGGTCATTACCCCCCATTTTATCAAAATTTCAAAATTTTTTTTATTATGCGCATATGGGTCTTAAAATGTACGTTTTAAACTTCAACTTAAGCCTAGATAGAAGTCTCTAGCACGCCAGATTAAGGAGAAAAAAATACTGAAAACACTCAAAAATACGGTTTTTGAAGACTTTACCCCTACTTTACTCAAAATCCTGACTTCATACGCAATTTTAGAACCCGGGATCGTGTTCAGCACACAAAAATACATTGAAAACCACTCTGATATAGTTTTATTTTGTGGACCTGTGTTATATGATTGTTTATAAACATTTTTAAGATTTAATTACACAATAGTGATTATTTTATTTGATCATATTTAAATTTGAAAATCTTTGTTGGAGTGTCTTGTTGTAATATATGTCATAAAAAATGTCATTTGCCACAGAATTAATGTTTTTTTTAGCGAACACACGAATCTCAAGGGTGCCAATAACTTAAACAGTATGGCCATCTCACCTCGAAAAAACATGGCCATCTCTCCTAATGTCAGGAGACAAATTGATACAACTAAAATATAAATAAGTAAATAAAATTTTGGAATAAATTTAAAGTTATGACAAAGCTTGTGTCATGTACTTTACCGAAAAAAATTAAATTCACAGAAAAAACCTGAATTCAAATTGAGTATAGATTCTATACTCAATTTGATTCGCAACAAAAATGAAACTGGTTGTCTCATTTCGAGTTCTAAGGTAAAAGTATCAAAATGAAACAGGCAAGTTTCATTTTGAGAAAAAGAAAAATGGAAAAATATTGTGATATAACGAATAATTTTGCACAAAAACATGAAATATAATAATTACAAAGAAGTAAATAACACGCTAGACTTAATATATTTGATTAAAAATTGCTTGTAATCGCGTAATAAAATAATAAAGGAAATATGTTTTTAGGTTAGAAAAATGAAAACATGTGTTTTGACAACAGGAACGGTACTGCCAACTTAAATAATAGCGGTAAATTTAAAAACTTATGAAATTAATTATTATCTACGTAAATAATAATAAATAATTTTTATTTAAAAACTTCTAAATATTCGTACTGGTCAAAATAATCTTTCTGGTGTTGTTGAAATATTAGAAACAATAATTGAAATACAAAATTACTCTGCTTATGATGCCAACTTAGAAATCTGAAATTCCAGCCAATATCATTTTGAATAACATGAAGTTTGTCCCATACTCATTTCGATACCCAAAAGAAAATGAGTTGCAACAAAAATGAGTCCAAGTTTTTTCTGTGTTCAAAATTATTCTATAAAAGAACATAACACCAGTGAGAAACGTAAACTCATCACTTTTTTTCAGAACTAGTCAAAATAACAAATCAGTTTTTTACTTACTTTTTCAATATTTTTCGTTAAGTTTTTTCTTTTAATTGTGTTTTGCCGCAAAATAAAGCGAACTAATCTTTAATATAAGCGATACCTAGCATCAAATTCTATAAAATATTTGAATTGGCCATCTCTCCCGCATGGCCAACTCCCCCGGACTTACCTTATATAGCACAACCAAAAAATCACCTACTCTTATCTTAATTTGTGAAAATATCTTTTTTTTTAAATATTCAGTACCCAAACGGAGAGAACGAGAGAACACTTTTATTATATTTTTATATATAGGCTTGGTAGTAGATAGAATCTCCCCTATATCCTACACACATCGTCATTGGGTGCAGAGACGTGCCACTTCAGACCATGACTTGTGAAAAAAAAGCCATTTGAGTCAAACCACGTCAACAGTAAGTACATTTTTTTTAGATTTTTGAAATAATAAAAGCAATTGTGGAAATCTGTAGCTCACAACAAACCAAAAAAACACTTTGAACCGTTTTTCAAAATTTAAAACTTTTTATAACCTTTTTTTATAATAACAAATTTTTACAATATCCACTTTTTTAAATAAACTTAATTGTGAAAAAAAATTTTCAATTTCTGTAAACTTTTCATACTAATAGAGCAAAGATTTGAGAATTTTTAGTATAGTATTTGTCCGTACTAAAAAAGCATAGTATATATGCTTCTATAGTACAAAACATGTAGTTTAATAGCAACAACGCCATGCGAAGATCGCACATAACATCATCCTACTATGTTTGCATAAGTTCTATGCTTTTTCGGGGATAGACTCTTGCAACTGGCGATTAGGGCAGTTCCAATTAAGTAAAGGTGGGCGTGGCCTAATCGCCAGTTGCAAGAGTCTATCCCCGAAAAAGCATAGAACTTATGCAAAAATAGTAGGATGATGTTATGTGCGATCTTCGCATGGCGCCGTTGGATTAAAAGTATAATAAGTATGTAATAAGAGGCTATATGACAAACTTTATTAGTATAGACAAGTTTCATGCTAAAAAGACATACGATTGTACTATAATTACTCAAATTTCATGCCTATATAGCATACAAAATTTCTGTGCATTAAATGTAAACCTTTCTATACTATAAAAGGCAGATTTTTCTCTCCGTGTAGTAAGCATTATAAAAAAAATTTATATGTAACATACCATGGACTCTTGTCTTTATGTTCCTGAAAAAAAATTTGTATTTCTAATTATAACCGGTGATTTTGAATTTTTTTTACCGTGCACCGCCCGCCAAAGTGGTTTCAAATGAAAAAGTAGGGTTAAAAACAGTCTAGGACCTACAAATCTCAACCTATTGTGGATTTTGTTTAACTCTAGAAGGAGTAACTGGAGTGTCTATAGACTCACACAAGAGTCCAAGGTGTGTTACATATAAATTTTTTTTATAAACCTTGCTGTAGAATAAAGTACAAAAAATACAAATTGTTATTCAAAATTAAAAAAATATTTGCAATTTTTTTTTCACAATTAAGTTTATTTAAAAGAGTGAATATTCATTGACTACCAAAACAATTGCCGAGGGGGAATTTACTCAGGTAGTCAAGTGTATACTCTTCCTGTAATACTTGTGTAATAACGTGTAATACCGTGTAATAATGCGTTATTACGGTACTGTAATAACGCAAAAAAGTCTGTAATATTTCTGTAATAATGTGTAATAGTCTGTAATAACGTGTAATAATTAGTAATAAGGGTAATATGAGGTGTATTACTGGTAGTCAAGTGTACATGTTTTTAACTAGTAAATTATTTTTGTAAATATTTATGATCTGATTAACTTGTGTCTCAAAAGAAGACAAACGTCATTCCTGAAATGAGATGTTTTCCAAATTTCAACTAATTTTGGAAATAGCTTGTTTTTCACGACTGGTCCGAAAATGACACCTTCCTCTCCACCCAACCGACGAATATCAAGATATATCAAAATATAAATTAATGAAAATTTTTCTTTTTAATAATTGCTCAATTATAGATTGTTATTTAAGCCAATTTTTATTTTAAATTTTAAAAGCTGCCCATTTTCTTTGAAAAATAATACCTTTTCATTATGATGAGAATGTAATAAAGTATATTAAAGATATTTTAAATAACAGGAGACGAACATTGCGAATTTCTACTGGCATAGAAGATGTTGGCAGTATAAGATGGGAACTGGCTGGCACCCTTGCAATTGTCTGGATAATGTGTTATTTTTGTATTTGGAAAGGAGTTAAATGGACCGGAAAAGTAATATACACAAATTAACTAAAAACACTTGTACAATAATTCAAAGAAAGGAAAGAAATTACTTAAACAAGTCAGTTAGAAATTCCAGAAGTCATAGTTTTCCGATAAAATAAAGTTGAATTTTACACACGGTGAACTGTATCTAAAGTAGCTATTACTAAACAGTGTGTAATTTTTAACGTTTCATTTATTATTTCTCTAGATATTTTTTAAATTGAACATTATGAATGAGTCTATATACTGTAAAATATAGTGTCGAAACACTAAAAAAAACCCTGGGACCAATTTGAAACGCATCACAAAAATGAACCTCGTAGATGGCTCTACGTTCTATGTCGTTTAAGGGTATGTCCAACATGTGAAATGTAAAGAAACCATGCACATTTTTTCGCACTTCTCATTTGCGTAGAAAATAAAAATTTGTCGTTTTCATTATGAAAATGGTAAATTAATGTATTAAACTTGGTAACTATACATTATTTAACTAATTATATGCAAAAATAAGTACAATTATAATGAAATGAAAAGTACACTGAAATAGCAATTTTTTTAAGGTTTCGAAAAAAAACCATTTGAGTATATCTGAGGCATGGACGTTGAGAACCTAGGTGGGAGAAAGAGATGAGCCATTAGACGGTCACATCTTGGAAAGGGTGAAGTGCGATACCAGGTGAGATTTTGACTTTTTCGGAGTAGGTTAACCGATTGCAATGAAACTTTAGAATTTTATTATATATAGTAAGACCAATCTTTAACGTAAATTGCAGCTTAAAATATTTGTCAGTTTACGAGATTTGCAATAATAACAAAAAATTTTAAACTGCTATATTTTCCGTTCTAATAATCGGATTGAGGTCTACTTTTTTTAAAATGTCAAGGAAAATGAGAGGAATAAATCTCTTTCAGAACAATTTTTTATAATTTTACAACTAAAAAAATTATTAAATAATAATTGAATAAATTTCACGCGACAATTTAAAATTCAATCACTTAAACGCTAAAATGATCTTACCAGTGTTTTCTTTAATGTTCCAAAGGAATCCAATTGTAAATGCAAGTTTAACTTATTTAATTTTAATAATTTACGAGTATGAACAATTGCGATTTCTGCTAGTTGACGTGCAGACGACATTGCGCACGCAGCATTCTCCTATAACCAACTGACGTGATTCGTGGACTAAATTGGCTACGTGAGAATGCTGCGTGCGCAATGTCGTCTGCACGTCAACTAGCAGAAATCGCAATTGTTTATACTCGTAAATTATTTAAATTAAATAAGTTAAACTTGCATTTACAATTGGATTCCTTTGGAACATTAAAGAAAACGCATGTAAGATCATTTTAGCGTTTAAGTGATTGAATTTTAGTTTGTCGCGTGAAATTTATTCAATTATTATTTAATAATTTTTTTAGTTGTAAAATTATAAAAAATTGTTCTGAAAGAGATTTATTCCTCTCATTTTCCTTGACATTTTAAAAAAAGTAGACCTCAATCCGATATTATTAGAACGGAAGATATAGCAGTTTAAAATTTTTTGTTATTATTGCTAATCTCGTAAACTAACAAATACTTTCAGCTACAATTTACGTTAAAGATGATTATTCTTACTATATATAACAAAATTCCAAAGTTTCATTGCAATCGATTAACCTACTCCGAAAAAGTCAAAATCTCACCTGGAATCGCACTGAAATTCTGAAATTTCTACTTTGAATAAAAAATAAAAATTTGTCGTTTTCTTTGTGAAAATGGTAAATTTATATATTCTAGGTAACTATACTTTATTGAACTAATTATGTGAACAAATAAATAATGAAATGAAAAGTACACTGAAATAGCAATTTTCTCAAGGTTACGAAAAATTTAAGCATTCAAGTATATCTGAGGCACGGACGTTGAGGATCTATAGGTGGGCGAAAGTGAAATAAGGGGTAAAATTTCAGAATTTTACCCTTTCCAAGATGTGACCGTCCAGTGGCTCAACTCTTTCTCCCACCTAGGTGCTCAACGTCCGTGCCTCACAAGTAAACCTACGGAAGTGAGAATCTCCTATTTTAATGAAACTTGGTATGAATGTAGTACTCGGAAAAATAAGAGACCCGTATTTTTTTATATCTGCCATGATCCACTTTAAAGGGTAGAAATCACCCCTTGAAGTTATAGGGGTGTAATGTCATAATTAGAGCTTGTGGTCAAACTTTTACTAGTAAGCTAAACACTGAATACCGCAATGAAAACATTAGAAATACAGTTAACTTTCCATAGAAAAATATTTAAGAAATTCAATTGTTTAAACATAATTACTTGAGATCAACAAAAATCTTGAAATCTAATAACGCCATTCGATTCTTATCTTTTCGTCGAAGCGAAGTTCTTATTAGTTATAAAATTGTTTATTTAATTTTTTTATGTAAAATGAAATTTAAAAAAAATTTTGCAAGGCACAGTTTCGTCGTAATTTTTTCCATAGAATCGAATGGCGTTATTAGATTTCAAGATTTTTGTTGATCTCAAGTAATTGTTTAAACAATAATTGATATACTCAAATGGTTTTTTTTCGAAACCTTAAAAAAATTGCTATTTCAGTGTACTTTTCATTTCATTATAATTGTACTTATTTTTTCATATAATTAGTTAAATAAAGTATTATAGTAACCAACTTTAATACATTAATTTACCATTTTCATAAAGAAAACGACAAATTTTTATTTTCTACGCAAATGAGAGGTGCGAAAAAATGTGCATGGTTTGTTTACATTTCATGTTTGTTTACATTTCACATGTTGGACATACCCTTAACTTTGATTCATTTTAAGCTGTAACAAAAATGAGCCTAGCTTTTTCTTTACACGTGTGGATAAAATTGGTTTTACAGACGTGATTTTCCACACTCGCTTGCGGCTAGTGCTGCAAACATCATTATTGATTATTATTACATTATTTTATGATAATTATACTTATTTTTTCTTCGTTTGTGTTTACATTTTTATGTTTGTTGCCCAGCAACTACAATTTTTAAAATTATTATAATACTTATTAAGTACTATATTATAAAATCACAAAAAATCTCCATAAGAAAGCAAAGTAACAAATTTTTCAAATACATAAGTATATTAACTATTCAAATTTTTTCCTCCTTTTCTTTGTAAATCCACTAAAATGTCCATAACAAAATGCATGGAACGAGAAACTATAGAAAATCTGAAGTTTCTTTTCATATGGGTTTCAAGAAAATGTAAGGGGGGTGTTTTGAGAAATCAAGAGTTTTATATTTCACACTATAGAATTTCTTTATGAAATTAAAAGAAATTGAAAAAATGCAAGTACCAATTGAAAGTGCATTAAATTCTCTTTCGAAATAATAATAATAGTAAATTGTACACAGAGAGAAATTTCAAACTATTTTCACATGGGCAACCGATGCGAATAATACACTCACACACCTATGGGTATAATTTATTTGGAATCCATGCCAAAATCACATGGGTCCTTGTATAAATTGCATCAGTTGAAGCGTTTTTCGCACCACTTATTGATACTTTCGCATACTAAGTTCATGTAAAAATCAAAATAGTTTGAAATTTCTCTCCGTGTATAATTTACATAAAAAACTCTCTTCTTAGGATTGTCTTTTGTATGCGCATAAAGGTTTGAAATAAAATGCCTCATAAACTTTTTAGCTGGTGTAATTAATAAACAAATTTACAGGTAGTTTACTTTACGGCATTATTTCCATATGCACTCTTGGCAATTTTATTAATAAGAGGATTAACTTTACCTGGTGCTTTTGAAGGTTTAAGATACTATGCAACACCAAATCTCTCAAAGCTTGGGGACCCAGAGGTAATAATAAATATAATATAGTCAAATAATTTATCAAATAGCCAGTAAATAAATTATATATAAGTATAAATTAATTACAAAAAAAAAACGATTTTTTCACGATTATTATTTTGAGGTCGTTCACATATCACGTGATACATATTTTATAGAAGTGTGCAAAAAACTCGAATGTCGAGTCGAGTCGAAATTTTTTCGAGCCGAGTCGAGCCCGAGCTTGACTCGAGGTATCGAGTACTCGAGTAAATTCGAGAACTCGAAATTTTCGAGTACTCGAGTGATTTCGAGTTCTCGAATGAATTCGAGCATATTAAATTATACATATTTGAAATTACAAACTCATGAAAAAATAGTAAATAGCTTACAAACAATCGAATATTCAAATTTAATTTACACAAGTACTCGACTATTTTCGAGTACTCGATTATTTCAAGTGAATTCGAGTGCTCGAAAGTTTCGAGTACTTGAATTCATTCGAGTGATCGAAGTTACTCGAGTATCCGAATTTTCGAGTTTTTTATACATCTCGGCTCGACTCGAGCTCGAATTAATAATACTCGACTCGGCTCGACTCGAAAAATCTCGATCGAGTTTCGAGCTTCGAGCTTTTTGCACACCACTAATATTTTAGGTATTTTGAACCCCCTTCCATCCCTGCGTGATACTTTTTCTATTGTTAAAAAATTAAATTTCCATGGCCCGTGATAGTTTGCCTACCCCCCTTCCAACCCTATAGGGGTTTTTGCTCTTATTAATCTTTTGAAAGTTAGTTATATATATAGGTATATATTTAGAAATTAGATGAAAAAAGATGAAAAATATCAGATATTATCTCTGTCACTCTCATGGTTATTGTTTTACGCCTGTATGAAATGGTACCTTAAGGCCCTAGCTAAATTTTAAATATAAGTACAAGTACCCAATCATCAAGAAAACTTGCAGGAAGCTTGTCATACAAGTTGTGCAAGATTCAAGTGCAAACATGCAGCAAGTTTGTTGCAAATAACAAAGTGTCTTTTCACGGCAAAATATAGTTAGGAAAGCTAAAAGAAATCTTGCATAATATTAAATATATTAATATTAATTAAAGTATTGAAAATTCGTCTATTATTATAATATAGGGATCAGAATGGAGTAAGTGGATCATTACAATTTTTTTGAAAATTACTTTAGAGAACACTGCCATACTCTAAATATATGTAAATATTAAAATTCGGGTTCTTCAAAAATTTTAATTCAAAATTTTAGCAATATATGCGAATTGTAAACACTAGATAAGAGAAAGATTTTAACATTTCGTGCTACATTTTTTATTGGTTGTATGACGACGTTTGATTACCAGAAACATGAACGAAGTCAGAATACTATTATTGAAATACTTTTTCGGAAATTGATAGCACTTTTGTTTTTGAATTAGTAAACTTAAACTAATTAATAGAAAAAATATTTTTTTACTATATCGAATTAGTAAAATTTCAAATTCAGAGAGTAGGTAAAAAGATTTTTACTTATTATTATTTATTATTATTACTGTTGTTGGTAATGTTCTATTTCATACTTTTTTGAAATTATTAAATACTTTAAAAAATGAAGTACATTTCTGATGTGCAGGTATGGATAGATGCCGTAACTCAAATATTTTTTTCCTATGCTTTGGGACTTGGAGCTCTTGTTGCTTTGGGTAGTTACAACAAATTCAATAACAACGTTTATAAGTAAGTACACTAATTGTAAGATAAAAGATTGGTTGGGGTTACCATTTTTAGTTAGTAAACTATACTGCTGCTATGTAATTTATTATTTAAGGTTACTATATTTATTCGTTGGCATAACTATTTTATTAGTTATAGATTAACTAATTAGTTTCATGGAATAACTATTTGATTAGTTACCTTACTAAATAAATGGTAACAGTAACTAATACAAATTAGCACAAATATAAGCTCTTACTAACGAAATGCTAATCGCAACCAACCGTTTCTCTCTGTGTTCTGGTTATTATATAATATGTTACGGCGTAATTAACAGCAAAAAATTGGAGAGTAATCTTTGAAATTATACTTATGCCTTTTTCGTAAAGGTCTTTTGCATAAATAGGAAAAACAAATATTTATAATTTTTTTTTTTTGAAAAAGTTAAAAGCGTTCAAAAAACTTCCATTACAAACTTCCTGGATAGGAAATTAATCGAAATTAACTGTTCCTATAGTCTCCCCTATATTCTTGTCATGGATGTTGTACGAGTTAACAATTTTCTTGTAACCTTATTTAGGGTAACTGCACCAGTGGTGGATCATGCACCAGTGGTGGATCAACTGCGAGAAAAATGGTCATTTGTGTTTACACGTTTGTAAGTAAATGAACCGCAAGTGTCGGTAATTGTTAAGAAAGTTATACAGATCAATATTACAATTTAAAAAATTTTTTAAATTCATCGCGAAGAAAGCAGGACAACAATTACTATAGTGGTGACAGAAAACAAGAGTTTTCCTTAGCATGTAAGTTAAGAGTATATTTTGGAATAGAAAGCTTTGGAGCCATTTTAGGACAATTTTTAATTCTTTTCACAATAGGAGGCATTTCGTTTCATCCCCATAGAGCCCTGAGAAGAATATTTACGTCTTTAAATAGCGCGTATCCATTGTTTTAGGGTGATCCACGACTGGAACCAAAAAAGTAACAAAATCTAGTGGTGGATCAGTCCTACTTTTCGCCTGTTGACGCATTGTTTTATTGAAAATTTTATGAGTTAAATTTTAGTTAACACTAATTCAGATGTTTATTAATTGTTAACACCTGATTTCAAATTGTTAAATTTTTGTTGAATTAAAATACCCAGAATTAATAAATGTTATTTATCATTGAAACTGAAGCTTTAAGAGTTTTATTTATTTATTACCAAAAATTCTAATAAAAAGATGATTAATTAACATTTAGTCACATTATACCTATAGAAATGAAAGAGGAAAGGATATGGATAGGAAAGTGAATTTGAAAATCTGTCCGTAAAGCCTTATAAAAGTTGCAAAACGTCTCAGTCTCGTAATTTTGAAATGCAATGTTTTTTAGTATGATTTTTTAAGTGATCCACCACTGGAGCAATCTATAACCATGACTGGTGCAAACAGTGATCCAGAATAGGATCATTGACAAATTATCTTTGATGGAGCATTAAAGTAAACGTAGGTGTCAAAATCAAGTCTAACCTAGAAGGAAATGTCTATTGGAACTATCTGGTCCATAATACTTTAAAGAATAACCTCGAATTTGTCTAAAAGCAACCTATACAGAACTTCAAAGTCAAAATAAGAAAGTTAAGGGGCTTAACTGATCCACCACTGGTGCAGTTACCCTATAATAATTATTAAATACATTATATATTTGAAATACACAATAATTGGTTAAATTATGTAATTTTTTAATTTAATTAGTAAGAAAAATTATTAAAAATAACACATTTTATTTTTATGGACAAATTATACTATATAATAATCTCAAAGCACTTTAGTGTGTTCCAAAAAGTATTTAATTTATTATTTGTTTGATATTTTGAAAACAGAGATGCCTTAATTGTATGCTGTGTGAACTCTGGAACAAGTATTTTGAGCGGTGTTGTTATTTTTTCGGTTGTTGGTTTTATGGCCCATGAACAACAAAAGCCTGTTGCAGAAGTAGCAGCTTCTGGTAAGAAACACGTGATTTATATTTAATCAGTTTAACAATTTTTAGTTTACCAATTTACTAATGCATATCTTATCAAAAAAGGTCCTGGATTGGCATTTCTAGTTTATCCATCTGCAGTTTTACAGTTACCAGGAGCATCAATTTGGTCCTGCTTATTTTTCTTCATGCTTCTTTTAATTGGTCTTGACAGTCAGGTAATGGCTTTTAAAAACAAATTTAAAAGAAATTTTAAATCAGTCTGTATATATGTGTAAATATAAAAAACAAGGCCTATTTAACCACTTGAGCGTCATGGCGTTCCAACTGGCGTCGTGCGTGGCAGTGACAGAAGCGTCAAAAATGCATAAATGGCGTTCCTACTTGAATTGAATTTGTAAAGTCTGTAGACATAATTAACTAACTATAACTTACTTTTTATATTTTTTGAGATTAAGCAAAACGTATGTGATAAAAAAAAATTCTTTTTTTAAACATTCAAACAGTTTTTTCGAAATTTAAAGTCGACAATTTTTGGTACTTTTTTGCGAATGGCGTTCTAACATTTACTCAATAAAATCATATTTCTGCTTCCAAAAACTGTGCAAACCACCCAAATCTTGTTACTCGGGGATTTTCGGGGTCGCTGATTACGAATATGAGATCAAATTGACAATTTGACAGTTGACAGCTGTCAATTCAACTGTCAACTTCTGTAAAAGACAATTATTTTTTATGAAAATAACTGTATAAGGGTTTTCGGGGTCGCTGATTATGAATATGAGATCAAATTGACAATTTGACAGTTGACAGCTGTCAATTCAACTGTCAACTTCTATAAAAAACAATTATTTTTTATGAAAATAACTGTATAAGGGTTTTCGGGGTCGCTGATTACGAATATGAGATCAAATTGACAATTTGACAGTTGACAGCTGTCAATTCAACTGTCAAATTCTATAAAAAACAATTATTTTTTATGAAAATGACTGTATAAGGGTTTTCGGGGTCGCTGATTACGAATATGAGATCAAATTGACAATTCGACAGTTGACAGCTGTCAATTCAACTGTCAACTTCTATAAAAGACAATTATTTTTTATGAAAATAACTGAATAAGGGTTGTTGGGGTCGCTGATTACGAATATGAGATCAAATTGACAATTCGACAGTTGACAGCTGTCAATTCAACTGTCAACTTCTATAAAAGACAATTATTTTTTATGAAAATAACTGAATAAGGGTTCTTGGGGTCGCTGATTACGAATTTGATGTTAAATTAACCATTTGATAGTTGGCAGCTGTCAAATCAGCTGTTAACTTTTATAAAAACTGTTTATTCTTAAAGAAAATAACAGTATTACGGGTTTTTAGGGTTGCTGATTACGAAAATAATGTCAAATTGACAATTTGACAGCTGTCAAGTCAACTGTCAATTTTCCTAAAAAGTGATTATTTTTCATGAAAATATCTGTATATAACGTGTTCTCGGTGTCGCTGATTAAGAATATAATGTCAAATTGACAGTTGACAGCTGTCAAATCACCTGTCAAGTTTTCTAGAAAGTGATTATTTTTAATGAAAATAAGTATAGATGGGTTTTTGGGGTCGCTGATTACGTATACGATGTCAAATTGACGATTTCACAATTGTCAATTGAACTGTACACTTTTACAAAAAGGGGTCGCATATATGTTATACAGTTATTCACAGTATGTTATTCACAGTTGGTTGCTGTCAATTCAATAGTTAATTTTTCTAAAAAGTCATTATTTCTCACGTGAATAATTATCAAGTTGTCAGTTTTATATCAAGCTCGTGTTAAGGGTTTAAAAAATAAGTGACGTTCTTATTTCGACAAGGACTCATCGATACTTAACTTTTCTTCAAGTCTGTAAGCGTGTTTATATTTTTTATCATCATTTGAAGGAGAGAACAAATTTGGATAATTTATATGTCGAATCGTCAACTGAATTATGTAAAAATGCATTTATTAATTCAAATCGTCTTGAAGACATAATAATCGAGAACACTTATGTTGATAGCAAAAGAAAAGTAGATCAATATATTTTTATCATATGGTTTTATTATAATTCCCATTAGAATTATCAGCGCGTTATAAGTGTACATTTATGTAGGATCAAAATTTTTCCAAGACTTAAATCCGGATTTACATTTCAAATTATTCGATTCTCAAAGTGACCCAACTTTCCTGTCAAAATAAATATTTTCCATAGCGCAAACCATTTGTATGACATCGAAAGAACAAAAATAAAATAATAACATTTCAATTGGCTTGGTTTCAGAATTAAACACTAAATTCACGAATAAAAGGATTGAAATTGAAGTTATCTTATTATTTGCAAGTCGATCTGTACTCAGGAATACTGTATTGAAAATTGGAATCATCGTCGCTATTTGTATCACTAATTCCGTAATCAGAAAGATAAGTGTCAACCATCTTGCTCTCTTGTGAACGTTTCAGATCTTCTTCTCAAAGAAAGAATGCACATCCAGACAGTTAAACACTACTGTTCAACTGTCTGGATGTGCATTCTTTTCACTTCTCTCACGTGAGAGTGGTGGGGCGCGCCTGCGCAATGAAACTGGAATGCGCTGGTGCGCCCAACCAATTTTACTGTTCAACTGTCTGGATATGCATTCTTTTTCTGATAAGAGGACCTGAAACGTTCACAAGGGTGCAAGATGGATGAGACTTATCTTTCTGATTCCGAAACTAGTGATACAAGTAGCGACGATGATTTCACTCTTCAGTACAGTAGTACTGAAAGTGAATCGTCTTGCGAAGAATCAGATACACCTTTACAAATTCGAAGAGAAACTTTTAATAAAAATTTTTTATGGTCGAAAGCTGGTAATTTCAATCCTGTTATTCATGAGTTTAATGATTCTAAAGCAGGACTTAACCCAGACTTAAATTTCAATTCAGAAACTAAGCCAATTGAAATTTTTGAAATTTTTTATTCTTCCGAAGTCATGGAAATGGTTTGTGCTATGACAAATATTTATTCTGACATGAAAATTGAGTCACTTCGAGAATCTGATAAACTGAAAAGTAATTCCAGATTTAAGTCATGGAAAAATTTGGATCCTACAGAATTGTACACTTATTATGCGTTGACAATTCTGATGGGAATTATAAGAAAACCATCACTTAAAATGTATTGGTCAACTGACCCCTTGCTAACGACACCTGTTTTTGCTCAGTACATGTCTATAAGACGATTTTCATTAATAAATACATTTTTGCATTATTCAGATGATGAGTCAACAGATAAATTGCGTAAAATTCGGCCTATGTTTGAAATTCTGATAGAAAAGTTTAGGTACGCTTACAGACCTGGAGAAAACGTAAGTATTGATGAGTCTTTATTGAAGTATAAAGGTCGCTTATCCTTTAAGCAATGTATTTTGAGTAAAAGATCGCGTTTCGGAATAAAAATTTACAAATGCTGCGATTCGGAGAACGGTTACATATACAACGCTTCAATTTATGTAGGCAAAGATCCAGCAGATGAAAACAAGTTGATTGGAGTATCTGGTAAGGTTGTTGTAAAACTTTTAGTCGATTTGAGTGGTCAGGGACGCACTCTTTTTCTTGACAACTGGTACAGTTCTCCTTCTCTATTTGCGTACCTTTATGAGAGGAAAAACAATGTTATTGGTACCGTTCGAACGAACCGAAAACATATGCCTAATACGAAGGGTTTAAAATTACATAAACTTGCGCGCAATTCAACGCTCATATTCCATTCTGAAACTTTGCTAGTGGTCATGTGGAAAGATAAGAAAGTGGTTACGATTTTGAGTACCCTTCCTGGATCTGACTTTGTCGAAACCTCAAAAATTGATCACAAAACAGGTGAAAAGGTAAAGAAGCCAGGAGTTGTCGCGAAGTATAATAAAAGCATGGGAGGTGTTGACAGATGTGATCAAATTATAAAGCCCTACGAAATAGAAAGAAAGCATTACCGTTGGTACCAAAGAATAGCTGACAATTTATTGGACATGACAATATATAATGCAAATATTATATATAACCTTTCGCATGAAAAAAAAATGAATCATTGCGATTTCAGAACACAACTTGTGAGAGAACTTTTAGAAAAATATAGCACGAAGTCCAACACAGGTGTTCATAGGCAGAGCAAAAATGTTTCTCTTGAAAAAAATACTCACGAATTGGTGAAAATACCTACGGGGAATGAAAATAAACGCAAGCGCCTACGATGCCACAACTGCTCCGAAGAGAAAAAAATCAGAGTTGACACTACTTGGATGTGCAGACAATGTGAGACTCCACTTTGCAAAAATTGCTTTGATAGCCTTCACTAAAACAAGTTTTTCCAAAGAGCATTTATTTAAATATTTATTTCATTTATTATAAATAGGGTAGTAGTACCAGTGACAGCTCCCTGCTTTAGTAGTAGAACAGAAGCATTAAAAAGGGTAAAATATGTTTTTAAAAAAATGTAATAAAAAACAAAAAAAAATAATAAAAAATTAAAAATTAAAAAAAAATAATAAAAAATTAAAAATTAAAAAAAAAAATAATAAAAAATAAAAAAAGACAAAAAAAACAAAAGGAGCACGAAATCCTATTGCTGCAGCCTCCACGTGGCGTGCTCTGGGTAGAAATTATTTTCTAGCAAATGCAGGTAGGTTATAAAATTAAATAATCAACGATTTAAGATGCCCCCAAGTGACAAATTTTAAACTTTTTATAAATGTCGTTCACCGTAAGATATCCGCCATTTTCAATACTAAGAAACCAACATATCATTCGAAATCAGCGATCCCGAAAACCCTATTACTGTCATTTACCTTAAAAACAATCACATTTGAGAAGAATTGAATGTTCAATTGGCAGCTGTCAACTCTCTAATTGTCAATTTGACCTCATTCGTAATCAGCGACCCCGAAAACCATTATATTGACATTTTCATTAAAACTAATCACTCTTTATAAATTCGACAGTTAAATTGACAGCTGTCAACTTTCAAATTGTCAATTTGACCACATATTCGTATTCAGCGACCTCGAAAACCCTTATACTATTATTTTCATTAACATTAATCACTTTTTATAAATTTGACAGTTGAATTGACAGCTGTCAACTGTCGAATTGTCAATTTGATCTCATATTCGTAATCAGCGACCCCAAAAAACCTTATACAGTTATTTTCATAAAAATAATTGTTTTTATAGAAGTTGACAGTTGAATTGACAGCTGTCAACTGTCAAATTGTCAATTTGATCTCATATTCGTAATCAGCGACCCCAAAAACCCTTATACAGTTATTTTTATAAAAAATAATTGTTTTTATAGAAGTTGACAGTTGAATTGACAGCTGTCAACTGTCAAATTGTCAATTTGATCTCATATTCGTAATCAGCGACCCCGAAAACCCTTATACAGTTATTTTCATAAAAAATAATTGTCTTTTACAGAAGTTGACAGTTGAATTGACAGCTGTCAACTGTCAAATTGTAAGTTTGTCATTAAATTCATGTTCAGCGATCCCGAAAACCCTTATACAGTCATTTTCATAAAAAATAATTGTTTTTTATAGAAGTTGACAGTTGAATTGACAGCTGTCAACTGTCAAATTGTCAATTTGATCTCATATTCGTAATCAGCGACCCCGAAAATCCCCGAGTAACAAGATTTGGGTGGTTTGCACAGTTTTTGGAAGCAGAAATATGATTTTATTGAGTAAATGTTAGAACGCCATTCGCAAAAAAGTACCAAAAATTGTCGACTTTAAATTTCGAAAAAACTGTTTGAATGTTTAAAAAAAGAATTTTTTTTTATCACATACGTTTTGCTTAATCTCAAAAAATATAAAAAGTAAGTTATAGTTAGTTAATTACGTCTACAGACTTTACAAATTCAATTCAAGTAGGAACGCCATTTATGCATTTTTGACGCTTCTGTCACTGCCACGCACGACGCCAGTTGGAACGCCATGACGCTCAAGTGGTTAATATTAGATTAATATTTATATAAAAAGGGTGTATTGTATAAATAATTTGTTTTAGTTCTGCACTGTAGAAGGTTTTATAACAGCAGTAGTTGATGAATGGCCAAATCTTCTGAGAAAAAGGAAAGAAATATTCATCGCTATTGTTTGCTTTTTGTCTTACTTGATTGGACTTTTATGTATAACAGATGTAAGAAGAAATTTTATATACATTTTATATATATTTAAGAGCTCTGAACAAAATTATTTTTTTTCCTTTAAGTACATACATGTTTTTTAGATGTTTTATGAGCAATTAATATATTTCTATAATCATATTTGGAATTAATAACTTTTCCTTCATGAATAAATGAATTAAATCTGTTTATTTATCTAATTGCTCTAAACTATTGCTTCCTCATGGAGGAAGAATTGTAATACCAAAATTTTTGGAACTCGATTTTTTTATCTATCTTTATTTTTTTGATCACGCTTAAACTCAGGGCATTAGTAGTACACAAAGATGTTAATTTTTGGTTAAAAAAATTATTTGACCAAAAAAAAATGAAACTCTAATATAAATTTGACTTTTTAGGGCTGAAAGGTACGATTTTTTAAAATCATTTTTTAGAAGATTTCAATATTTAAATATTCTTTTTCCACTTTTTTAACTATATATTTTTATAGAAAAGAACCTCAGAAAAAAAATCGTACCTTTCACCCCGAAAAAGTCAAATTTATATTTGAGTTTCATTTTTTTGGTCAACAAATTTTTTTTCCAAAATGCATATTACCAATTGAAAAAGCATCAAAAAAGGTTTCGAAGCCATAATAAAAATTAAACATTTTTTATCCATTTAAAAATTTGATTAAAATTGTATTTTACTCATTACTTTAAAAAAATGTTAGGACACTTATTAAGATATTTTGTTCATTCGTTTTGTAGAGTTTTTAAGACGCATCATTTGAGGTATTAGTAAACATTCTACTGTTATTTTATCCAAAGTTATTGAATTTTTAAAAAGTAGAAAAAAAAAATTTTTTTGCCCATAACTTCAAAAAAAATTTTAATACCTAGAGTAGAACGGGGTGAAAAAGCCATTTGGGTTTTATATTAAAACTATTGCATAGTTTTATCAGGCATTTAGAATATAAATTTTATTAGGTAATACGCAACTTTTGATTTTAGTTTGGCCATTGTATCTATAATATTATAGTTTTTATTGTAAAATTTAGTTTTGAGATCATCATTAGGCACAAAATTTTCGTTAACTTTCTCAACATATTACGACTCGTTCAAGTAGATGAAAAATAAAAGTAAACGTTTGTATACATAAAGAGAAAACTATTCTTAACATGTGTGTGATCTAGATTTTTTTAATTGATTTAATTTTGATATTTATTATAGCTTTTTGTAAAAATGGCCCTGAGTGTAAAAAAGCCAAATACCTACCTGTGGGAAAAAAGCCACTCTTAATAGTATGTAATATTTATTTGTTTTCTGGTATTCGTAACCTCGTCCTTTTTTTAACCTCGAAGAAGAAGAAAATTTTTCTCTTATATTTTATATTAGAAAAAAAAGAAACAAAAATTGATAATATATTTTGCTCCAATCGCAAAGTGTCTTTTTCACCCCACCAGGTGGTGTAAAAAAGCCACATGCAGTGCTCTGGTAAAACTCATATAACTTTGTCTTTTCATGGGATACGAAGATTGTCCGACCAGGATTTTGAAGCTGAAGAACTAAACTTTCAGAACCAATTGGAATTTCGAAAAAAAATTGAATACCGATTTTACATATTAAAAAGTAAAAAAGTGTCTTTTTCACCCCACTCTACTCTACATATAGATTTTTATCTTTAATTTTTTAGAGTCTTTACAGACGCATCTTTTGACCTATACTACTGAACATTCAATTGTTATTTTATCCAGAGTTATTAACATTTTAAAATATCAAAATTTAGAAAAACCTGCGACTTTGCATTATTTGTTTTAAAATTTACGATAATAAGTTACTATAAATCTCCTTGAGGAAGCATGTTCATGAAATAAACAGGGACGCATAAATATTCCCTTCATTAGACTTGATGGAATTTTTGTGGTGTCGAATTAAAAATTATCAAATTTATATTTAGTAGAATTTTAAAAAAGGACTTTTTATAATGAGCCTAATTTTAATATCGAAAAATTTCTATCTAACAAAATTCTTATTTAACAAAAGTTTTATTCTAAAAATTTCTATACAATCTAACTTTTATTTAATAGAATTGTCATTTAACAGAAATTCTACTTAGCTATATTTTTAAGACAGAGAATTTCTATTTCACCGATACTTTATTTGATCAAAGTTTCACTTGTCCGAATTTTCATTAGATAGAAATGTTAAAACGTCGAATTTTCATATGATCGAACTTTCATATACCAGATTATCCACTTGATATAAACATTTAGTTAAGTAGAATTTCTGTTAAATGACAATTCTATTAAATAAAAGTTAGATTGTATAGAAATTTTTCGAATAAAACTTTTGTTAAATAAGAATTTTGTTATATAGAAATTCTTTTAATTGGAAATTCTGTTAATAAAAATATTTTCAAGTGAATAGATAAATAGAAATCCGACAAAAGAATAGATAAATAGAAATCCAACAAAAGAATAATTCTGATAAATAAACATTTTTTTTTATGAAAATTTTGTTAAATGGAAATTGTTTTATTTGAAAATCCGATATATTAGAAATTCTGCTTTATTACAGTCCAGTTAAATAGAAATTCTACAAAATCAGAATTTTGTTAAATAGTAATTTTTGAATATTAAAATTGGGCTCATTATAAAATCTACTGTTTCAAAATTGTACTAAATGTAAATTCGATATTTTTTAATTCGACACCACAAAAATTCTGGCAAATCAAATGAGGGAAATATTTATGCGTCCCAAAAAACATAAAAAATTTATACTTCATCATTGTTTAAAAAGTAGAGATAAAAGACCGAAAACCACAAATTTTGAATAACTGCGATTACGAATCAGATGTTAATTTTTCAATCTTTCAAAAAAAAATTGAAAAATTTAGCTACTTAAATTAGCATAAAATCTTAATTTCTTGCGAAATGATACCATTGTGTATTCAAAAGGTGCATAGTTTTAATCATTCTCTCAATCTTAGCATTATAATGTTTGTTTAAATTATTTTTTAAAATAATTTTCAAATGTAATCGCATTTAAACATGCCCGAATACGTAATAACGCAACGACGCATGTTTTTGTTACTTAGCGTATTTTATGTGTTCTACATAATGTAGGGAGGCATGTACGTGTTTCAACTTTTGGACTCTTATGCAGTAAGCGGATTTTGTCTTCTCTTCCTTATGTTCTCTGAATGCATAGCAGTTTCATGGGCCTTTGGTGTTAATAGATTTTATGATGGTCTTCGAGACATGATTGGTTACTATCCATGTTTCTGGTGGAAAATATGCTGGACTGTCACAACACCAGCTATATGTATTGTAAGTTAAAAAATAATATTCTGTGCAACAAATGATCTCGTCACTATTTACTATGTTATAGTAGAGATCTTTCAGAGCAAGTATTGGAAATGTATAAATTGCAGGGTGTTTTCATATTTAACTTAATCAAATTTGTGCCCGTTAAATATCTAAATTATGAATATCCTTGGTGGAGTCACATGCTGGGATGGCTATGTGGTTTGTCGTCGATGATAATGATTCCTGGATATATGCTTTATATTTGGTTTGCTTCATCTGGGAGTAGTTCAGAGGTAATAGAGGCATGTCATATGATATTTAGGAGTCATCTCTATAACTTTATTTATCTTGCGCTTTTTAATATAGAGAGGGGTCTACTTAACCATACCAAATATTTATTATTTTTGGACTGATTTGCATTAATAAATTAACTTTTTTTATCGATTAAACCTTATTCATTTTTTATTATACAAAAAAGTTGTCTGAATGTTCTTTACGCCGCAAAATTATAGAATAATTTTTAAAAAATTTAATTAATTTATTTAAAAATACAATTTATTTTTAATTTTTAAACCTGTTATCGGCCTTCAATTACTTTGAAAAAATTCATGAATAGTTTTAATTACACGCAGTAGATCGAAATACATATTTGTGGACAACTGTACATAGAGCTTCAAAATATTTCTTTTGATTTTTGTGTTCATTCTTTTAAATTAAGAGGCAGCCTACGTTCGAGCCTCTTTTTTGGGAAGGTTATATAGATATAATATATATAAGATATAATCTGTCGTTTTTTTGAGCCTCTTGTGCACTCTATTCTTATATCTCTATGAAAAAAGTGTCATTAATTTATTAACTCTTTCATGCTCAAATTAATTTGAGATGACCTAAAATTTTTTAAAGGCTGTAAACATGTTACTAGGGCTCTCTCTCTCTCTCGTACGCAATTTTTTTCACATCTGCACTCGAGAAACAACTGCTAACGACTGACTACTTGTAACAAAAAATTGCAGAAAAAATTTTGAAAAAGTGGTTTTTTGTGTCAATTTGCAATGATGCCTGCAGGCAACATTTGTCATGAAACGGTTTTTCAACGAAACTATAATTAAGGTTTTCTGTCTCAAAACTAGAGTTTGGAATTGGAAATTTTTTAGACTAAATGAAAAACATTTGTTCAATATTCAGTTTTAAACATCAAGGAACTTATGCTTAAGATAACAAAAAAATGTACATGTTGCCAGAAAGCAACACTTGTTCCCAAAGGGTTTTTATAGAAATAAGTCCAAAAATAATAAATATTTTGCTTCCTGGTGGAGGAAGCTTTGTAGTCCTTTCGTTTATAAAATTTTTAAACATGGTGAAAACAAATTTTCCTCTATATAGAAACACACTGAAAAAAAACTAGTAGGTTTTACTAATTTTAAATACTCTGAGTAGTACAATAGGTCCTCAACTGAATTTAAACGGTTCTATTAACTATATAAAAATAGTTAAACCAATGAAAAATGTAATTGGGAAACGTTCACATATGACGTCACACTAATTTTCAGCTTTTTTGACCCCTACCCCCCCTTTGTCACGCTCTATCACGATTTGACAAGACCCCCTTGATAATGGACGTCACGTTCTTTAAACACCCCCCCCTTTTTTTTTGTTTTTTTTAAATCTTAAAAATTTTCTAAGGTATTAAAATTGTTTTTAAAGAAATAATAAATGTTAAGATTACTTTAATGTAATAAAAAGGGTTTCTGATAAAAATAATTTATTTTTTCTTGCAATTATATACTTATAAATATTTTTTGCTTAAACAGAGTTATTAAACTTAAAGTTTAATAACTCATTTTTCCAACAATGAAAATTAATTTCATTATTAAAAGTAATACTTGTTTTTTAATTATTAATAATCACAGCAGTTCATTTTTAATCTTTTCTCAGCAATTTTTTAAAACTAGCAGCTGATTATTGCAGCTTTTAAACTATACATCAGTCTATATTTTTTTAAAACAATGTCTTAAATTATTCGCGGGAAAAGATATCAAATTCAAAATTCTACTATAAAAGTAGTAAACATACTTCGTGACATCACGAAGGAACTGAACCCCCCCGTACGCCATGTCACGTTTTGTCACGTTTGACCAAGACCCCCCCCCTACCCCCTAATGCGTGACGTCATATGTGAACGTTCCCTTGGTAGAATGACATTTTGTGATTGTATTAACTCAATTTAAAAATGTTAAAACAACTCAAAATGTAAGTAGTAGATTTTACTACTTAAAGTGGTTCAATAGGCTTTAAGAACATTTTTTTGTAGAATTAATAAATCTTTTGCAATTAAAACTACTACTTTAAGTAGTAGATTTTACTACTTAAAATGAGAAAATAAAATTATTTTTTATTTATAATTGTTTATTACACCTTCCGACAAAATTCAACTTTTTTTTTGACCCACAAAAAAATCCAACATTTTTGGAAACTAGGACCCAAAAAAAAATACCCGTGCCTGACCGTTTTGCTAGATCAAATCATTTGTGGTTTTTAGGGGTGAAAACAGCCCCTAAATAAAAAGTGACAAGATATCTTTTAAAAATTATTAATATTTTATAAAACTTGGTATCTGGGGGTTTTCGGGGTCGCTGATTATTAATCTGATGTCAGATTTTCAAAATTCAAAATGGCGGATTCAATATGGCGGTCAAAATTTTAAAAAATTATTAAATTTTTTTTAAACCTTGGTATCTAGGAGTTTTTTGGGTCGTTGATGACGAATCTGATGTTAAATTGTCAAAATTCAAAATGGCGGATATAAAATAAAAAATTAATAACTTTTTAAATTTTTGACCGCCATATTGGATCCGCCATTTTGAATATCTGACATCAGATTAATAATCAGTGACCCCGAAAACCCCCAGATACCAAGTTTTATAAAATATTAATAATTTTTAAACGATATCTTGTCACTTTTCATTTAGGGGTTGTTTTCACCCCTAAACGACTTGATCTAGCAAAACGGCCAGATACGGGTCTTTTTTTTGGGTCTTAGTTTCCGAAAATGTTAAATTTTTTTGTGGGTCAAAAATTGTGTCGGACGGTGTTATCAGTAGAATTGACTTTTTCATCCTCACTCCTATACTGACGCTTATTTTATGCTCTAACGATTATGTACCTAAAGCTGGTTCCACAATGGGTTCGACCCAAGGTAAACGCAACCTTGACGCGACGCATCCCAATTTGATTAAGGTGCTTATATACCTCAAATTTTGATCAGATGAACTTTATTTCTGGACCGTGAAAATGCGTGAAAATTCATTTTCACGGCGGGTATTTTTGAATTGATTTAAATAAAAAATGTTTTTTTAAGAAATATAATATTAAATAATTGTTTTAATACGTAAGAACACTTTAAAATAGTGATAGAAAGATGATTTGATTGAAAAATTTAGCAAATTTTGCTTTAAAACATTTTCTGTTACGAAAAAGTGTAAGATCACGATGTTTGTGAAATGGTTTGTACAGTGCTTCTTCGATGTGATTGTCTCGTTGTTTGTTTATGTTTTGTCGGCGTTTTTTTAGTTTGTAATAAATAATGAGTGCTCAAGATAAATCGGTAAGTTGAAATGTTTATTAAATAAATTTAAATTCAACTAATTGTTTCGAATAACTGAAAGAAACATGTACACATGTACACTGTACAAACCATTTCACAAACATCGTCATTTTACACTTTCTTGTAGCAGAAAACGTTTTAAAGCAAAATTTGCTAAATTTTTTAATCAAATCATCTCTCTATCATTATTTTAAAGTGTTCTTACATATTAAAACAATTATTTAATATTATATTTCTTAAAAAAACATTTTTTGTTTAAAACAATTCAAAAATACCCGCCGTGAAAATGACTTTTCACGCATTTTCACGGTCCAGAAATAATATTCATCTGATCGAAATTTGAGGTATATAAGCACCTTTAGCATTGGGATGCGTCGCGTCAACGCTGCGTTTACCTTGCGTCGAGCCCATTGTGGAACCAGCCTAACAGAGAATAATTTCTAACCGACGGGAATTGAACCCTCGACCTTAACGCTCGCAATCCGATACCTTAATCGACTAACCACGCACGCTCGCTACGACAGTAATTTAATTCTACGACATAAATGTTCTTAAAGCCTATTGAACCACTTTAAGTAGTAAAAGCTACTACTGAAAGTAGTAGTTTTAATTGGAAACGATTTGTAAATTTTACATCAAAAACGTTTTTCAAGCTTATTGAATTAATTAAAATAGTAAAAAATTACTACTTAAAGTAGTAGTTTTAATCACAAAGGATTTGTTAATTCTACAACAAAAATGTTCTTAAAGCTTATTGTACCACTTTGAGTAGTAAAATCTACTACTTAAAGTAGTAGTTTTAACTGAAAACGATTTGTAAATTCTACATCAAAAATCTTCTTTAAGTTTATCGAATTAATTAAAATAGTAAAAATCTACTATTTAAAGTAGTAGCTTTAATTACAGACGACTTGTTAATTCTACAACAAGAATTTTATTGAAGCCTATAAAATCATAGAAATTAATAAAAAATTTACTACTCAAAAAGCAGTTATATTAATTAAAGAAAATAATTCCTTTTAGTAAATTTCATATAACTGGTGAATAGTAATTGGATTTACTACTCTTCAAATTTTGAGTTGACTACAATTCCACTTGTTTTTACTAGCTTAAGAAAGTTAATTTTACTACCGACCTATAGTTGTACTTTAACTACATATATTTACGTAAAATCAACTATTATACTTATTAACTTCTTAAAAATAGTTACATTAACTACATGAACATGATTAGATTAACTAAAAAAGTAGTTATTTTAACTACTTTCTAGTCAACTACCCAATGGTAGTTGAATTTCTCGGCAACATTTTTTTCAGTGCATCAAGGAAAAAATTTTGATGCACCGGTTGTACTGGTTAGTTAAAAAATTTTTCTGTATCCCCTACCCGAAAGTACGGACTTCCCTGTCGGTAATCGTTCAGGGAAGAACGGCTTTTGTGGCCGGCCAGAAACAACGTGCGCTCTGATTGGCTACGAGACTTTAAAGGCTTGATGGCATAGCAACCACATAGCAACGCTTATTTCATGGCCTGTTTTGTGTCAAGTGCGGTAAATAACCACAAAAATAAGCAACCTAAGTTAAAAAAAAGTGACAAATCATGTATAAATAAGATGTACTTGTGTAAGTGTTATTGTACTTTCTCCTTCTTTTTAAATGTCTAAACTGAAAATCTTTCACTTTCATCCACTATTATAAAGTAAACAAAAATTTTCAAAGGTTAACTATATATACACAAAGACACAACACAGGTGATTAGATGCCTTATGGTTAATAAACTAAATTCCATATGCCAAATTATTATTCGTGCATTGGATTTTTGTGCGTTTTATTTATATTTTTCATATAATTTTGACGCCCGCCCCGACCAGCAAAACCTCGGCTTCGCCTCGGTTTTGCAAAAGTCGGGCGGGCTACCTGTCATCTGTAACTAAGCCTTCTGCTACAAGCTTCGCTACGTGGCCGGGAGGGCGCGCTGACGCGAGCCACAGCAGTAGACACATGGTTAATGCCATTTTATTAAAAAATAATAATTATTAAACGTACTTTCGAGTGGGGATAAAGAAAAATTGTATACGACACACGGCCAAAAAGTTTGATGCCCTGCTGAGCGTGATATAAGGCCTCGGCTTCGCCTCGGCCTTATATTTCACGCCCGCCAGGAAATCCAACTTTCTGGCCTAGTATCGTAATATACTATTTGTACTTTAAAAACGGACATCAGTTATCCCGGTTTGGTGCAACCTATGTCCCGTACAGTGCGTCTGATGTCCCTTACAGCGCTTCTGACGCGCCAAATCAGGATAACAGTTGCCCGCAACCCATAGTACAACAGTTCTATCGTAGATTGCGCATCTGATGCACTAAAATTTTTTCCGTGATGTTATATGAGATCCTGATCAATTGTCCGGATGTATGTATGTGTGTGTGAGTGGATCGTTTTTGTAAACACGATATCTTTAACAGGTTTTAATGGATTTGGATAAAATTTTGTAAGCTTATTTATCACATTAATCTCTCAAAAATGACGAGAGGATTATTAATATTTGATATGGTTAATTAGACCACCTGTCTCTATTGAAAAACGAAAGATAAATAAAATCGCTGAGGTGACCCCTATGAATCTCATATGAAACATTTAAATAATTAAAGCAACTTATTAATTTATCGCTGACCTGACAAATAAAACTATATATTGTTTTAGAAATTTCGAAAATTGGTACGGATAGATGATGATATTGCGACTTTACGAATGAAATTTAATGCCACCACAAATACTGAAATGAAATCTGAATCTATTCTGATTTAACAGGTAGTTAACATTTTTAAGTAATATACACGCGGATTGCGAATATTGCACTAAATCGTCGATATAGTTTTATTAACTTTGTAGTCTGCAGTCATTTTTTTAAATAAAAGAAACCTTTCATACACGTTTATTAAAATAAATATTTGCTAATAGCACCAATTGAAATAGAATGCGATGTTCAAATATCATGATTTCATACATTATAATATATATTCCACGGGAAATTGGCATTCAAAATTTTTTTTTGCACGAAACATTTTTTATCTATTTGTACTAACGAGTAAAAAATTATGCTGTATATGAAATTTGTTTACTTTTTCTCAAATTTTTTAAATATGTATTCAAACCTAATAAAACTAAAAATAGTAATTTAAAAACTAAAAAAAAACACTTTTTTAGATAGGGGAAGAAATTCTTCAGTCATCAGAGCTTGCAGTACAAAAAAGAAATTAAAAATCGAATGTGTCCATCATTGAGAAAAGTCACTTTTTAAATTTAATTTCAACTTTTTTGCTGCTTCCGTTATAGGAACGATATTTTTGAGCACATATTTGAAAAATTTGAGGAAAAGTGAACAAATTTCAAATATAGCATAATTTTGTATTCATTAGTACAATAGATAAATAAAAAATGTTTCAAAAATACATTGCCAATGATGACGTTAAATTTTAAAATTTAATTAATTTAATTTAATTTCAAATTTAATTTCGAAATTTAAATTTCGAATAAATATTTTCCGTGGAATGCACAATATATGTTTAATTTATTTTTTAAATTTAATTACTATAAAAAATTATAGATTATTACGTTGCATTGTTTTTATTCGATCCATAAGTTGTTCTTTCCATTGTTCCTCAGAGACGGTATTGGCCCATTCTGGAATCGCTGTATTAGGTAAAGAAAAAGAAGCCATTACGTGTTTAACTTGATTGATTTTATCTGCATCCATATCAATATTTGAGAAATTACAAGAAGACGACCAAACTTGCACTGTCTCTGACTGTATTATCTATAAAATGTAATTTAATGTAAAATAAACTTGTATATTTTCAATATTATTGCCTACAAAAACTATTAAATAAAATTAGAAATAGATAATTTAAGTCTACTTCAACAGATTAAATTTGTTGTAATAAATTTTAATTATACAATGCATTGAATTAAGAATGTTTTCACACATTAAAAACGCACATGTGTTTGGCTGCTTGTCGATTCAGGCAATACTTCTGGAAGATTTAAAGGAGATGAAGCCCATTCTTCTTCCTTAAACAGTAACATACTTAAATGAAAAATGCTTTAATAAATAAATTTTGTCAACATAAATGGTAAAAAAAACGGTCAATAAAAACCAATTAAAAACGTATGAATTTAATATCAGTTGGAATATGTACTTAATTGTACTTAATATGTACTAATTTTACTAACTTACTAAAAAACTATAAAAATTTTGTCAATAAAATGTTTTTCCCGACACCCATTTTCCCTAATCCTATTCTCCGACACAAAAGGTTTTTTTTCTTTGTTTTATCAAAATCTTTATTGTTGCCATGGTAGCAATCGGGGGATAATTTTTTTTTTGTAATAACGAAAAAAAAGTATTTTGCCGCATCTGATTCTTTGCTTTGTCATTAATGATAAAACTATCACATACAATGCAGTGTATGTACATATTTTGAATTGTATCTAATGTTATACAATATAAAGATGTTCCACAGTTTTATACTTCCATAAGTTAAATAGAACAAACCTCATCCTCCAGTAATAAATCTCCATCTATTGGATCTTGTGCCAATGGAACATATCCCTCAATTGTATGATCTTCATCTTCGCTTTCAGAATCACTTTGAACTCCTACTCCAGCAACATTTGAACTACTCCAGTTTTCATCAACAGTATCATGCTTTGGTTCAGGAGACATTAGCATCAAAACAAATTCAGTTTTAATGCAATTATCCTGAGAAAATAAAATTTTCATTAAAAATTAACAGTACGATGCTAATTTCATTGACAATAAATACAAAACATTACAATTTATAATTAATTTTAAAATACCAATATTCGTGAACGATTCCATTCGTCTAAACTTAAAATTTTTCAAGATCTCGAATGATTTGATAAATTGATAATCTTGATATACAATATTTGTATTCGACTGGTTTTATCAAATGTACTGAAACCTTGAAAATTTAGAGTTTTGAGTTATCGAAAGGCTTTCTAACTTTACTCTAACATTAGCTAAAAATTTTTAAAATGCCTCTTACGAACAATTTCTTGAACTTTTCAAATTGTTCTCCAATAATCCATTCCAGACTCGACTTTAATTCTCCAACTTTTTCAGTTATATTTATGATATTTTGTATGATAAATTTGTTGTTAAAAAAGCATTTACTGACAATGAGAGAATTTTCCGCTATGGAGATTAAAAGTATTCAAACAGTTTCCTTGGCAAACCTGATTTTCCTTTTTAATTAGAAAAAAAATTACACAAATTTAAGACTCATTATCATGAGAAAGTAATAATGAAAATATTGCTACAGTTCTAGAAATCTTTGCAATTTATATAAATAAAATCCAATTTTTCACAATGTCTATATCATGAAAACTCATATGGGTCAGACCATTATATTTTGAATAAAATTAAAATTTTTATCATTTTCATTAAAATATAAATTTTTAGTGGAGGGGGTACAAAAAATAACTGTCATTTTTTAGCAAGTAGAAAATAAATAAAGAACTCGGAATAATTTTTAAAAGTTTAAAAAGAGTTATTGGTTCTTGTTTAGAATTAATTAAATTATTATTGTTTAATGATTAAAGTAGTCAAAAAATAAGAATAATGAATACAATTTTGTTTTCAAAGTTCGTCATTATAATAATTTCTTTTTCAAATTAAAAAGACCCACATCCAAACATGAAATTGAACATTTATATTTCCTTTTTAAGTAACAAAATTACATGACTAATCAGATTTAATAAAAAGTTGACTTTAAACGATTTTCATTGAATAATTCCGCATAACCGTGCCTAATTTTTAATAATTGGTTTATTTTATTCTCATAATCCAGCATAATTTAATAGCATAATCAGAAGCTGTAAAAATGCATATTGTTTATTTATCTAATCGTAGTGCTTTCACAAATGATGAAAACTTTACGTTTTCGGATTTATCATAAAAAGCTTGACACAAAAACCAGTATTTCCTGGTGATAATACCTAATTCTTGTTAATCACAATAAACAAAAATTAATTTCCAGTCCATTTTTTAATCTCACAATTATATTGTAGCTAAGTTTTAATTAAATAAACCACAGTAATGTAAGTGATTGAGCTTAGAAAATACTATACCGATGATTCCCTCAAAAGAGAACCTAAAATATTGCATATATGAGGCTTTTAGGATATCATCTAAACCGCACTTGTTTTAACCCACTTTTGCCTCCTTTTACTATCATCCCGTCAGTTGAAAATTAAAAAAAAACTAATAAAAATTACAATTTTTTTTTTACAAAACTTCATGTAAAAGAACATTTAACCGACGAAAAATAGTAATTTATAAAATGGAAACATTTTAAAATATTTTAAACTGTGAATGAGTATTGCCAAACAAATTAGTAAAATGAATATGGGAATATTATAAAATGGAAGAGGAATGTAGTAATTATCTTAACATCACAATTCCTTTTAAAAAATATAATTAAAAAAGAACAAAATATTTTTCTAAAAGCATTAATTTTTAATAACACTACAGTTAAAAAAAATAGAATTATAAATACACTATTATAACTTTACCTTTTAATATATGTATTCCATATAAAACATAAAAATAAGAAAAAATAAAACAATGTATATATCTGCTGTGTAAAATAATAACAAACTGTTTCAAGGTATTTCTACAACACATGCAATTTTTAGTCGCTATGCTCATGTGATTTGCTCGTGTGCGCGCGCGCAACAAATTTTCAGCTGACGAAAATTAAATTAATTAATGAATTACTAATTATTTCAATTTAATTAATTAGTACTAATATTTTATAATAAATTAACTGATTACTAATTAATTTAATAAATTAGCAATTCATTAATTAATGTAATTTTCGACAACTGAAAATTGTTGCTTGTGTTTGTACACTCCTGGCTAAATATGCCTACACTTTTTTGTCCTTTTTTAACACACCTGTTGTCATAGCAATATGTACGTTAGAAAAGGACAAAAAAGTGTAGGCATGTCTGGCCATGAGTGTACACTCCTGTTCATTGATGCTTTCCACTTTTTGTTCTCGTCATACACACGTGTAAAATTCAAATTTCCCTATTCCTAAATAACCTCTCCCGAGTAACAATAGGCGTTTTCTCCAGATTCTCGTTATGAGCGCTCAATGAACACTCGAGAAGGTTCTCAACCTGTTTATAAAATTATTCAATGCTTCTGATTGGTTAAAACATTGCAATTAATGGTGCGGTCACAGCTTGGCTGCATGCCTGAAGGAAGACGGGGCGACATGAGTGTAAAGGTGCTTTTATACCTCAAATTTCGATCAGATGAACATTATTTCTGGACTGTGAAAATGCGTGAAAAGTCATTTTCACGGCGGGTATTTTTGAATTGTTTTAAACAAAAATGTTTTTTAAAGAAATATAATATTAAATAATTGTTTTAATATGTAAGAACACTTTAAAATAGTGATAGAAAGATGATTTGATTGAAAAATTTAGCAAATTTTGCTTTAAAACGTTTCCTGCTACAAGAAAGTATAAAATGACGATGTTTGTGAAATGGTTTGTACAGTGTTTCTTCCTTGTGAGTCTCTCAGAGTTTTGTTTATATTATGTCGGTTCTTTTTAACTTGCAATAAATAATGAGTACTGAAAATAAATCGGTAAGTTGAAATGTTTATTAAGTAATTTTAAATTCAACAACTTGATTTGAAAATTAATTATAATTACTTATAAAAATCATAAGTAATGATAAAACTTGATATTTAAAAATACAAAAAGTATGTGTATGAATTTGAGGTTGTAAATCAATTTTCCACGCATATCTCAAATACTTTTTGTATATTAAGTTTCTTTCAGTTATTCGAAACAATTAGTTGAATTTAAATTTATTTGATAAACATTTCAAGTTACCGATTTATTTTCAGCACTCATTATTTATTACAAGTTAAAAAGAAGCGACATAATATAAACAAAACTCTCAGAGGCACTCACAAGGAAGAAGCACTGTACAAACCATTTCACAAACATCGTCATTTTACACTTTCTTGTATCAGAAAACGTTTTAAAGCAAAATTTGCTAAATTTTTCAATCAAATCATCTTTCTATCACTATTTTAAAGTGTTCTTACATATTAAAACAATTATTTAATATTATATTTCTTAAAAAAACATTTTTTGTTTAAAACAATTCAAAAATACCCGCCGTGAAAATGACTTTTCACGCATTTTCACGGTCCAGAAATAATGTTCATCTGATCGAAATTTGAGGTATAAAAGCACCTTTATGTTCATCTGATCGAAATTTGAGGTATAAAAGCACCTTAAACGAGAAAGAAAATTCAAGATTTTCTTCTCGCTTACGGCGCACTTACACCCACTGAACTTTATATATACACATTTGGAATGCTGTCTGCCATTAAAAGTCGCCAGCCCAGAGAAAGGTCTGAATCCTGCATTCCCCTCTTTGTCGGTACAGGTCAATTAGAAAATATTTGACAGAACATATACGTGAACATGACATAACACAGTTAACAGTAAACTTTTGGAACATACTGTACTACGCCTGCGCAGTTTAGCAAGAGAAGGAGAGGGATTCGGGAATCAGACCTCTCTCTCGGTTCGCGATCTTTAGGGAGACTCTCTCGGGAGAGTCCAGAATACGGGTCTGTGAACGTCGATGCGTTGATAGTGACGCGTCGGTCTTATGGAGCGGTCACACCTCGCCTGCAGGAGCAGTTGCCAATGGCAACCATGTAAAAGTAAGAGAGATGGAAAATCTTCTATCTCTCTTACTCTTACACAGTTGCCATGGGCAACTGCTCCTGCAGCCGAGGTGTGACCGCTCCATTACGGGACATCAAGACCTTTCTCCGATTGGGATCTTGATTTTTTATCTCTTTCTTCTACATATATAGGCCTTTCTCCAATAGGATCCTAAACTCTTGCGTAGCGTATGCATTGCGTCGGTTGCTATTGGCAACCAATGCTAAAATCAACGCGTCAGTCACGCAATGCATACGCAACGCAAGAGTTTAGGATCCTTTTGGAGAAAGGCCTTAATAGGTTCCTAAATGTTTGCGTTGCGTGACTGACGCGTTGATTCCCAAGCGCAGTGACGTCATCAAAGCATTGATACCAATCGCGAACAAAAAGTTTAGTTTATGATTTTAAGACACTGAATTTTTTAATTATAAATATTAAATAAATAAAATTATTAAAAACCGTCGAGAAACATTTGCATTTAAAATGTAAAGTTGGAAAACAGGGATAAGAGGGACATAAACTGAACTTTTTGTTCGCGATTGGTATCAATGCTTTGATTACGTTTATCCATTTGCTCAAGTCTTAAAATTTAAATTCGTTTCTACATAAATTACAAGTTAAAAATGTTCGCACAAGATTGTCGTGCTGGAACGTTTTGTATAGCGCTGTCTTTTTCTATCACTTGGAGACGTATACAGCACAACAAAGCATGTGCGAGAACTCTTTGGCCGTTTCCGAATTGGGATTTTTAGCGCATTTTGATAAAGTGTACACTCGAGATGTATGCAGTGTCGTTTTTTTCGCACGGAAAAACAAGGACACTGCATACTTCCCGAGTATACACTTTATTAAAAATGCCAAAAAATTCCAATTCCTTAAGGTGAATACAGAATAGACACAAAAGGCAAGTGCATGTGCAAGAAAACCATGAGTGCAAGAGAGATAGGTAGTCTGGATATCTCTCTTGCACTCATGGTTTTCTTGGACTTGCCTTTTGTGCCTATTCTGTATTCACCTTTAGAGATACGGGTCTCGCACAAGCCATAACGTCATGGTTAAAGGCCTTTCTCCAATACACTGTAAAAAGTCCAAACAGAATTTTCCCAAAGATAGGAATTTTACTTTTAAGAATCCATGGCACAAATACTATATTAAATGCAGAAATAATACAGGGTCCAAAATGGAAAATACAATATTTGGTAATTTTACTATTTCGAATATTGGGATTTTCCATTCCTCGGCGAAATTCCTACTTTTAAAGTGGGTAATAATGTTACCCACTTTCAAAAGGACGAAATGACTGAAGGCTGTGAAACTGCACTAGATGGGAAAATTACCATTGGCGAACGTAACCTTACTAAAGCAAAAATGACAATTCCACACTGTAGTATTTTTCCTGTTTTTAATGTAGTATAATCACAAGTGTTGGTAATATTCCCGTTTCTTTAGAAAAATACATTAGCGTGTAAAATTACCATTTTTTAAAAGTAATATTAACAATTTTTGGAAAATTCCCCAATTTTGAAATTCATAATATACGCACACATTTACGATTTATGCGCTGTGTGCAATCGTTAATGCCTGGCAGCAGTCGGCATTCATCGACAATTGTCTTTTTGATTGTAAAGATGACATAAAAATGGTAAAATTTTACGACACGAGTTATTTTATCCTTACATAGGACAATTCATAAAAGTTTTTGTTCATAATTTAAATTAAACTTGAATATGAAAAACAAAAATGTTAATGTTTCTTGTGCAAAAATATAGGAATAAAATATAGAGTCTAATTGTGTTTATAATTATTTTTTCTTTATTTTATAAAATTCTTTAGCGAATATTAATAACTTAAAAGTAAATACCTTCATCGTAATCGCATAAAAAGTATAAATTATTCCTATATTTTTTTCTAAACATAAAAATTTAATATTTTATAAAATTTCGGAAAAGTACTGATGTCTGTATATTTACTTTCTCCTGCGTTTAAAATACCAGAAAGTGTAACTGTACAGTTCGTGGCAATTTTCCCATCTCGTCTGGAAAATTACATAACCTAAAAATTTTATTCCCATCGACAGTAAAGGTGCCGTTCTGATAGTGGGTAATAATCTTTCCCACTTTCAAAGTGGTAAAATTCCATTAAGTCTTTTTACAGTGTAGGATCCTAAACTCTTGCGTTGAGTATGCATTGCGTCGGTTGCTATTGGCAACCAATCCTAAAATCAACGCGTCAGTTACGCAACGCAAAAGTTTAGGTTCCTATTGGAGAAAGGCCTTAAGGCCTTTCTCCAATATGTTCCTAAACGTTTGCGTCGCGTGACTGACACGTTGGTTCGCAAGCGCAGTGACGTAATCAAAGCATTGATGCTGATTCTACACTCACCTAAAACTGAGCGAGCGGCCCGCTTTTTCGTGACGCTTCCCATATTTAACTATATCTATAATTATATATATAAAAAACGTAACGCAAGTGCGGACCGCTCGCGCAGTTTTAGATGAGTGTAGAATCAGCATGATACCAATCACGAACAAAAAATGTAGTGTCTCAAATTCATAAACCAAACATTTTGTTCGCAATTGGTATCAATGCTTTGATGATGTCACTGCGCTTGCGAACCAACGTATCAGTCACGCAATGCAAACATTTAGGAACCTATTGGAGAAAAACCTAAAGGCACCGTCCCATGACAGTGTGAAACGCCGGCGGGAAAGCGAAAAGCATGAGAATAAAAGAGATAGTGAGATATCTTTATCTCTTTCATTCTCATGCTTTCCGCTATTACTCCGGTGTTTCACGCTGTCATAGGACGGCGCCTTTCAATACGCCATGTGGTATTTACCTATTTCGGACAACCATTTTCCGTATTTCTTTAATTAACACGATAGAAAGAGAAATAAAAACCAAAATGTCTGACGATGTATGTAAAAGTCAATAGACCGCCAATCACAATACCACCGTGATCTATAAATAGACATTTTCATTTTGAATAATTTTGTCTCCAAATAATTCGAAGTTCCGGTCGATGATATTTTTATTGTATGTTAATAACATGGAGAATTTTTGAGTATGACCGAATGACATGACGACTGAGCATGCGCATTCATCACTTCCTGTTTAAGATAAAAAGGTCTTGTTATTGTACATTCTGTCCTTGTCAGGCTCACAGCAAACGTGTATACATATATATAAATACACATATGTATAAATATATCAGTAAGCGTATGTATGTACTTATGCACAAAACGCCATTTTGAAAAAAGCCCATTTTATGTTTTGGGTTCCCAATATATAATGCATACAGTCTATGGTAATTTGATTCAAGTTGTTTGGCGTCGTTCCAATCGAATATCGCTTTCACTTTGAGATGTAATATAATTTACTTAATTTTACATATAAACTTTTTCTAAAGAAAGAAAAGGAAAATGTTATAAAAATATCTCACAGTAAAGCTGATAAATAACAGATTTAAAGAAAAAACATGTAATATTAAAGAATTATTTTACTGTCTCATCCCTGTACACTTCCCGCCAAGTTCGCCATTGTGCGCGCCGCGGAGTGGTTGTCCCGTGGAGGAGTCTCGGCGTGTATTCTCGACAAATATACGTCTAATTCTGTCTAATTCTTTTTATTAACGATTTGTGTGCAACCTACGACGACGACAGCGATTTAATAAAGTGACAAGGTTGTCGGATTCCTGTACCTCTGGTGCGGGTCCGCAAAAAATTAGGTCTAAAAAATAGTGCTTCTGTGTGCGGTACAATAGGCAAGATATGTCAATGTTTCATGGTGGTGACGACGATCGAATTCTACTAGAGGAAATTGTGGAAACATCTGAAGAGCAAGAGGAATTCTGTTGGTGAGTCTGGTTTTTTTTTAATGATTCCAAAATATTAAGTAACGGCATATCTGCCGCTGTTGTCGCCATGTGTCCATCTATCCCGCAGTCAACGTAATCACACAATGACGCCACGTCAAAGTGTTATGGAAGAAGTTTCTCTGAAAATGCATGATAAAGTACAAATAATTTAAAAACAAATAATATAGTATTTTTTTCATCTCAAGTATGTTTTATTTACGTTACATGGAGAAAGGAAATACAAACTTGTTCTCAAATACAGCTACCCTTACCCATACATTACATATATTCACATAGCAGGTTTAAAATTAAATTTTCTGCAAACTACTTTTCATATCTTCAATAAGACTGACAAAAGAACACCATATTTAGCATAAAGTTGATCCAGTGAGCCGGTTTTAATTACAGGGCGTAGGCTGTTGTCTGCGCACACAATATCAAATTACTTAATAAATCTTAATAATCATGAATTTTCCTTAAAAATGCAGGAACATGATTGAACTATAGTTTGGAATAAAGATTTTGAATAAGCATGAAAAATACTTTTAAACTGACCGGCCGGCTAGGAGGTGGATTAATATAAATTTAAACAAAAAATTTTTTTAATGAATTTAATTTTTATTGGATCAGATTTCATGAACATCTCCCATTTTTATAAACATTAGGTTAAGCTGATTAAAATTTATTTCCTAAATTCTTTATGAGCCTCTATACCTGAAAACTTGGATATTGACACTATATATCCTATACGTACACGCCCAACAAGCATGGCGTCGTTGCCACGACAAAAATATTCATAAGTATTTCTTTTAATTTTTTAAACTACACTATTTCAAAAATTTTGCTTTAATACTACTTCTACATTATAACTTATTGTCATGTAGAGTTGTAGTCTTTGTCAAAATATTCTTTAAAATCAATTGTTTTTTATGTCATAATAACAATTATATATTAAAAAAAAATTTTATAGCATATGTTCTTATACTAATTATTTATTTTCTACAGAAACATAAAAAACACATTTGAAAACAAACATATTCAAATTCATCAAAATAATTTATATATATATAAAATATGTTTGATTTGTTATAAAAAATATTTTTATTTAACCATTCTATAAACTTTTATTAATAAACTTATATATTGAACATTCGATAAGATTTTGGTTTAAATAAGATGTTTTCAATATACGGACATACAATAAAAGATAAATATTCTATGCATTTCAGTTTTCCAATTCCGAATATTCTAAAATATTGGTTAAAATATTCAATATTTTACCTCATAATTCAAATTGCATAAACAATCATCTACATGAACAAAAACAATTGGAACAAGAGAATAAAAGTTTTAAAAAACCGATATTTTTTATTTTAAACAAGAGTGAGAATCAATATTATCTATTTGAAAAAATATTTTTTATAATATAAGACATTTTAATAAAAAAATTCTATTAATAATATTTTCGGATTAATTTATTATTCTTATATTTCTTGCGGTAACTGAAAAATATATTTTATTAATATTTTTAAAAAGTAGTGTAGTTAATAGTGCGGATGACATTCTAAACAGCTGATAGGGTAAGCACACACAGCAGCTGAATGGCGCCAACTATCAGCTGTTAGTGACTCATGCACTAATGTATACTCAATGCGGCTAGTAAACTTTACTACTGCTACTACTATTCATACAATTTTTCAAAAAGATTAAAACATATAACCTTCTTATTCTACGAGTAGAATGATTACATTCAGAAAATAAATTTCTCTATATTTATTGTTGTTTAAACCCGAAAGTAGTAGTAGTAGTAGTAGTATATATATATGATGCATATAATGCAATAAAATGGTCAGATAAATTTATCTAAATTAAACAACATTAAATATGTCTATGGTGTCAAATTTATAAATCATCCAACTCAGAGGTGTAGAAAAAAATTTAACAATATTTTTTTGTCGTCACTCTAATTTAAAAGTATTAAATTGGTACTGAAAATATAAAATTGATATAAATTTTTATATCAATTTGATACTTTTAAATTAGTGTGGTTTTAACCATGCTATCGTCTTCATCAGAAACGTAAAGAAAATTTTAAAATAAAAGTGTGTATACAACACAGAAGAGTGAACAGAAAGAAATGAGTTTGCAATTATGGGTGGCGAATTTTTAGCTCTGGTAGATAATATTTAGCTGCCACAGCAAAACATGTTAGCCATGCAAGCTAATTATTAGCTACATTAGCTAACAATAATTGCTATCCATATTATTAATTAAGAGTTAATTGCACTCTTCTGTGTTGAACACACGTTCTTATTTAAAATTTTTTTTACGTATCTGATGAGGACGTTAGTATGTCAAAACTTAAAAACAATATTAGTTTTAATTTTTTTCTACGTCATTGATTTGGATGATTTATATATTCAACATCATGCCTATGTCTAACATTATTTACCAAGTAATAAATTCCATATTTATTAGATATTAACAACTATTCAATTTCTGCTTTATTATAGTAAGAGTGAAATTGTGGATGAGTTGTGCTTGCTAAGTGCTGAAGGTGTTGACGAAAAACAACAAAAATCACAAAAGGATATTAGTGCGACTGCAGCCGCCTGTCGAAACAACGTTTTATTAAACGGTGCTGCAGGTAGCGTAAGCAGAGATTCATCACACGGTCACATGGAGCAAGAAAGGCGAATGCGGCGAGAAATCGCTAACAGCAATGAACGTAGACGTATGCAGAGCATCAATGCTGGTTTTCAGTCTCTTAGAACATTGTTGCCACATCACGAGGGAGAAAAATTATCAAAGGTATTTAGTCTGCTTTTAATACTTAGTAATATATGTATGTGCCATTCGAGGAGTTTTTTTTACCATTTTTCGGAGTATGTATAGTATGATATTTATTCATATATTTTAGTATATAGATTAAAAAAACCATTTTTTGAGTAAAAACAATTGTTTATTTAAAAGATACAACAATAAATATTGAAAAAATCCACGTTTGAACGACTACATGAAATGAAATAGCTTAAAGTACAAAATTTTTCTTATTTTTCCAGCTTTCATATCCAAAAAGAAAATTCCGGTCCTTGGTGAAAGTTGCTCAAAATTTTAGAAATTGGTTTTTTCTTATTTTCAATTATTTTTATTAGCTGCTGTGGCCACGCACGACGTTTATTTTCCAGTCAATGATAACAGCATGATGTGTAAACTATATATGGTAAATATAACCTCACTTTTCAGAATTATCTTGGTATTTGGCTATAAAATGAGAAACGTCATGCGCAGTCATAAAAGCTGATGAAAATAATTCAAAATAAGAAAAAACCAATTTCTAAAATTTTGAATAAGTTAACACCAAGCACCTGAATTTTCTTTTTGGATACGAAGGCTGGAAAAATAAGAAAAATGTTGAATTTTAAGCTATGTATTTCACTTCGAGTAGTCGTTGAAAAGTGGCTTTTTCAATGTTTATTGTTGTATCTTTTGAATAAACAATTTTTTTAAAAACTATATATTAATAAATATCATACTACCAAGTTTCATTTAAATTGGTTAGATTACTTCGAAAAGTGATTAAAAAAAACTTCTTAAATTGCACATAAATATGTATTTAAAATATCAATTTTTAGCAATCATATAAACATATCATAATAATTATATGGCAAATGTTTAACTTTTGGTACATTTAAGTACAATAAGTACTTATACTGAATGCCACAGCCTCCGATAACTGACACTGTGCTGGAGGGGTAATTTTTTCAGATAACAAACATTTTACACTGTTTACAAATCAGACAAATGTAAAAAATATATAATTAAGAACGTTTGTCTGAAATTAATTTTTAGCATTTGAAGCGATTTTCAGATTAGCAACCACATAGAGAAAAATGGATATTCTTATCCAAATGGCCTTTAAAATCTAAACAAACATGAAATGAAATTGTTGAGCGAGTGGTCGGTCACATGTGGGAAGGGGTAAAAGAGCTACTGTCGGTCCTCTGGTGCGGGTATAATTTAAAAATTTTTTCCCTTCCCACATGTGACTGTCCAATCACTCAACTCTTTCTCCCGCTAGGTCTTCTCCGTCTGTGTATCAGATATACTCAAATGGTTAAATTTTGTATAACCTTGAGAAAATTGCTGTTTCAGTGTAATTTTCGTTTTATAATAATTGTACTTATTTGTTCGTATAATTAGTCAAATAAGGTGTAGATACCTGGTCTTATATATCAATTTACCATCTTCACAAAGAGAATGACAAATTTTTTTTTTTTTTTCAAATGAGAACCGGCAAAAAATGTGCATGGTTTGTTCATATTTTCATGTTTGTTTACATTTCACATGTTGAAAATCTTAACTTTTGTTTCAATTTGCCTAATGTAGGGCATTCTTTATTATTAATTATTTTTAACGTTAAAACGATCCCAGTGGAAAATTACCAATGTTAACCATTAGGCCATTATAGGACCAATGATGGTCCAATATTGGGCCACTCTTTTGCCTATGGTAAATTTCCCACTGGGATGCTGAAGTCTATAATGTTTATTATCAACGATTAAAAAATAAATTATTTTTTAAGACGGAAAATAATAAAAAAAAATTTTATTATTATTTTTTATATTTCTTTGATGAATAAACATTGCAAGAAATATCTTTGAGACAAACATTCATAAAATTTTTCAACAAAAAAAATATTTCTTTGAATAGAGTTGATCATAAACGTTGTGAACTTCAACATCATATACTAATATTGATTTGTGACGAGCTCTGAAAAAAGGTACCTAAGCATAAAAAAAACAATTTTGAGGTTGTGATAGTTTTGGTTCGATTAAAGATCCTTTTTAATTATTTGAATTCAGAAACAGTATTTATTATATATTGTTTATGTAATGACAATCTAAACATTAATGATTTGTAAAAATGGTTGATCATATTCTATTTTAACTCCAAACTCTAGTCATATCAAAATCATTATATGATGACGTCGGTGAAGTTCACAACGTTTATGATCTCGGACTGTCTGTCCCAATAGCAATATCTACTTCGGGTTGCGTAGAAAAGGCTAGAATCTAGTCTCCTTATTGGCCAGGTCTTGACAGACAGCCCGAGCGTAAATGTTATTACCTGCACGCTGCTGCTCAATTTTATGTTTAACCCTGACGATTCTGTGATTATCTGTAAAATTTTGTCGCTTTTAGGGGAGAAATTCGTCTAATTGCACGTTTTTTCAAGATTTTTTTCTAATAAAAGTGGTAAAGTTTATTGAATTGAAATAAAGCATTACTTAAAATGTACAATATAAGCTATGTACGTATAATAATTTTTTTAATTAAAAATATTACAAAATGGCAGCGTTACAGGAGTTTGAAGTTAGAACAAAAATCAAAAAATAAAATTTTTATCGTTAAAATACACAAATACGCTTTGCATTTCTCTTCTTAAACGTTCAAAAACAAACAAATATCAATTATTAAATTAGTTTTTATTGACGTACAGTGAATCAATTTAGAAAAATTAATTGAAGGATGCGCTGTAAGAAAGTGTTAAACGCCAATATTTGATAGGTTAGTTTTGCATGACATTTAACGTCCTAAATGCTTTATGGTCTAATATATTTTTGAAACAATAAGAAAATCTTGCTTCCACAAAGTTTACGATAATTATAAACAATCTTTTATTATCAATGCATTAATATTAATAGTTAATATTTAGATGACGCTCAAGTTACCAACGTTAATTGGACGAATCAACGAACGAATTTTTCAGTTTAGTTTAAAGGCCAAAAACCAATTTTTTTAAAATGAAACTTCTTTATTTTGGTCCCAAATACATCCTTAAACACTAAAAATCCTCAACCAAGGCGGGTAAATATTCAATCTTAGGAAAAAAAAAATTCTTTTCGTCGATTCAACGTTGCAGTAACTTCAGTGTCATATATTTAGCTACAAAAGTGTAAGTGCTGTTTTGGCAGATACAGCTTTCTTACAGCGCACCCTTTAATTGTTGCTTACAGTAAAGTATAGTTAAGTTACGGTGTGATATTTATGTAAATAATTCATTTTTTATTAAAAGGGTTAAACTAAATTTATAAATTGGATAAGTTTTGGTATTCTTTATATTGTTCTTTGAATCTTCTATCTTATTTTAACGCAAAAGTAGTCATTAAAAAAAATTAATTTGATTTAAATAATCAGTTAGATGCCAATTATTATTAAATTAAATTTGTTCAAATGCATTTTATTTAACTCAAATAAAAATTATTTTGTTCATGTTAATATTTATTAAATAATAGTAAAGTAACTTAGAATCAACTATTTTTTTCAGTATGATGTTATAAATAAAAATTACTATTGCTGTTTATTTGTTAAAACAGAAATTACTGTTTGACGTTGGATTCATTACAGTATGTGCAACGTGTTCATTATAAAAAATATAAAGGACATGTAAGTATTGTGCGCTGCACAGAGAATCATTCAAATATACCTATTTTGTTCATGAGCCTTTGACAATAAATTCAAATACCGTCTTGTTTTTATCAAACGAAAGAAACATAATTTTGCTTTCTCGTGGAGGAAGCTTTGTAGTCCTTTCGTTTATAAAAATTTTTAAAGTGGCGGAAACAAATTTTTCTCTATATAGAAATATATATATAGAAATATTCTAACAAGATTTCTTTCCGTGTGGATCCCTTTTTTGTTTAGAAGATAACTTTAACAGGTTTTAATGGATTTAGATAAAATTTGGTAGCCTTATTTCTCATATTAATATCTCAAAACTGACCAAAGGATTTTAAAAAATAAACAAAAAATAATTTTATCGTCTTTTTTCCAAAATTTTTTTTTAATCGAAAAAATTTTTAAATAGAAAAATTTAAGGTTATATATAATAAAATCGTATTCCTTACGTCAAGACAAATCGATTGGTATATATAAAGTATAGTTTCAATTTAAATTTAAAGAATTAATGAAAGTTAAAAAATCAAAAATTCACATTTTGGCTATAAAATTTTGTGATTATTTATAGATGAAATAATTGTATTCCTTACATGAAAATGAATCGATTGGTATATATAAAATTTACATTTGAGGTAAATTTAATAAATTAATGAAAGTTAAAAAAAAAAATTCCTATTTTAGCTAAAAAATTTTTTATTTATTTAAATTCAAGTTTAAATATAAAATAATTGTGTTCCTTGCATTGAAATAAATCGATATAATTGTAAATAATTATAAATTATATATTATATTTCATTAATTTTCAGAAATTTCAGCTAAAATGTGAATTTTTGATTTTTTAACTTCCATTAATTCTTTAAATTTAACTCAAATCTATAGATACTCAAATGTTTATATTATTATTATATTATTTTTGTATATTTATTTCATTGTTAATGCTTTCTCCACGAGGAAGCAAATTTTTTTGTTGATCGTAAAGAGGAAGCAAAATGTTCATGTAATGGACATCTGAATTTACAACTTGTTTTATATGTCAATTTACGTCAAGCTTGTATTGCTAATAGAAAATAAGCATGTGTTGTCATTATTTTTCAAATACGTATCAAATTTATTCAATTTTTTTTTTTTTTTATAACCACTTTTATTTTACAATTTTATAATAAATTATTTTAAATAACAATAATTTGTACATGCATAATTAAAGTAAAACTTTGTTAGGTCATGGTTTGTAACAGAATTGCTAACCAGTAGAGATAGCCGGCCGGCATTCTGTCAGCCAACTTAATCAATATTGCTATGACTACGACAAGCAGAGAAGAGAAGGCTGCTGGCGCGGTGGGGAATACTCCG